AGAGAGAACTTTGGATGAACCTAGATTGACCAAACTTTAGAACTGAGTTGCTCAAGATGAGCGCCCTTAAGGAGGGAGAGGTGGTAGCGATGTGAGAATGAACACTAAAGAAAATAAAACGAACACTGCAAGAAAAAAAATGAGCCATAGGAAGGATGGCAAGACCAACTGCAGATGTTACAAGCACAGCCCTCGAAAGGAAATAAAGATGATATACAGACAGGCCATTCATGACAAACAGCCTTAACACATTGCGGACCGACGATTTAAATATTTAAATCACCCTGGGGCCGCCATTATTAAACCTACTATCCTAACTTGTGCACTGTTCACTTTAAAAATTAATATAAAATCTCCTAATTAATTTTATGAACTAACATTTTTGGAGAAACTTACCAATGGTCCTAGAAGTGCTTGAGGGTGTGATATTTCTGGAAACATTCCCCTTTGTGAAGTGGCATTACACAGAACTTGCAAATGTGGACATTCTCCTTTTTTTTGTGAACTGTGCAAATACGGCATTGCCTAGAAGGATGCTTCCCCTTGGAATGTTCACTCTTCACAATTTTCACAAGGGTATGTTTCCGCATATCACGCAAGAGTCGCCCTGGGGGGTCAACATGAGGCCTGCGTGGGGTGGGAGTTGATGGGCCCGGTCGCACTAAGTCTGTGTCTGACTCTGGTTCTGCCGCCACCATCTGGCCTGTAGCCCAGGCCTTTGCCACGTTCATCAGAAATGCTTTATATTTCAATTTCGAATCAGGGTTTAGATTTTTGTGATTTTTTTAGATTTTTGCTGTCCCCGCAATGTTATTACCCCCATTATCGTCGGAGCTACTGTCACTTTTACTGTCTGTGGCCACAATTCTTTGTTCTCCCCTGTCACTGCCGCTCTTTGAATCACCATTACCACACGTCTCACAAGGCAGGTCAGCTAGCTCATTGGAGAAGAATTTGTCCTTGTCCATACCCCAACACTAACTACTGGCTGATACATAGAGCTCGAAGAGCAGCAAAGCATTTTCGTTTATAGTGCATTAAGAAAACAGCGAGGTCAAGTTACTGACAAGTAAGCAAACATTCCAGAGTTTTATTACACCATTGCGTACAACTTGGGTGGCGCCAGAGCAAGGTATAGTGTATTACAACCTAACAGGTCCTAAAATCATGATATCATGCAACCGGTCCGCCACATTTAAAAGCCAAAATCATGATATCATGCAACCGGTCCTCAATGTGTTAAGGAGGGAGCAATATTATGTGCTGCCTGAAAGCTGCAACCTGTCCACCTGCTGGGTGGGGCTTCATGGAGCACGCTCCTGTGGTGACACAAAATGCACCCTTACCTTTGGTTCTGATGGAACTTTTGAAGACATATCAAGGAGGAAGAGGTGGGCATGGCATGTAGCACGAATGGGGGAGAACAGGAATGCATATAGGATATTGGTGGGAAAGTCAGAACAAACGAGACCACTGGGAAGACCAAGGCGTAGGTGGGTGGACAATATTAAAATGGATCTTAGAGAGAGAGGATGGCAAAGTACTCCCCGGCTTGATCTGGCCCAGGATAGGGCTCTTGTGAACATGGTAATTAACCTTTACGTTCCATAAAATGCTGGGAAATTCTTGAGTAGCTGTACAATTGGTGGCTTCTCAAGAAAGGCTCAGCTCCATGAGTGAGTGAGTTGAAGACAAATCCATGGTAATGACTTCTAAACAGACTGTTACCACAGATACGAAAAACAGAACTCTTCAAGGAGGTGATTCCTATCCCAGAAGCCTAGCAGGGATAAAAGGAGGCCATTTGAGAAGGTGTCAGTTCAAAAGTGAAGTTAGAAGGACGAGAAGTGACTCGGCAGTCAATCAGCATGCTCTTAAGAACTAAAAAGATATACACAGAGCGGGACTCATTATCCAGAAGAGTTAAATGTGTGAACGGTTATAATAAAGTGTAATTGTGATAGTGACATCAAATAAACCCAATCATCAAATCTATAATCCACAATTATTTGTCACGTTAATCCCCTATGTGACAATATTAAATAAAAGGCCAGGAACAGTATAAAAAATACTCTGTAATGTCTCTTAGTGATAATGCATTAATGGTACCTCTTCTAAAATAATTATTGTTGTTATTATGAAGGCCATTCAAAAAGTATAAGACAAATGTATGTACAGTACTGATAAATGTTTAATCATGCAGATCAGCACAGTCTTTTGTGAAGTACCCATCTTAGAATGCAATAATGCTATATCATCACTTGACCTCTGGCAGGAACCTGCGGTCAAACAATACCAGTCTTTTAAATGCCTTTAATTTTCCAATTCTTGAGTTTTTGGACATAATCTACTGTCCATCAGACCAAATGAGTAGGCTTTTACCTGAAGACAGAGAGACAGAATCCAGTCTCCAAAACGCTGCTTTAAATAAAAAATGAGACAGATCATGTCCAAAAACTTAGTAATTGTATTAATATACAATCATCACAAACTTTCAAGCCTTTAATTTTGTCTTCACAGTCTAAGAGCACATCTGAGATGATGAAAAGTGCCTGGTTCTGAAATCACTCACTCATTCACCTCTGTCTTTAATGCACCTTAAAAATGTTCACAATCTCTCTTTTTATTCAATATAGCATTAAAATTGCATCAAGTGCTACATGTTTTTTATGTTTGCTGCAAGGGACATAAGCCCAACTAGTGAGAACAACATATGAAGGGAGCACAAACATGAACACTGCAAAGCAAAGGACATAAGACCAACTAATGAGTACATACATACATACACAAGGGGGCACAAACATGGATGCCGCAAAAGGATAATAATGCGGAACTGACAGACACTTCATTCTCAAATAATAGTGTAAACAATGATAATGCAATAGGGTGGAAATACGTGGTCTGACAATAAAGTGCTACATACCTCATTGCTGAATATCACTGTGGTCACCTTCAAAGTACTCCCCTTGGGAAGCTATACGCCAATGCCAGTGCCTAGACCACCCTTCAAAACAATTTTGGAACCGGTTTTCTGAAATGGCCTTCAGAGCCGCTGTTATTTTACTCCTTATGTCATCAATGTCATCAAAATGCTTTCCTTTCAACATTTCCTTTATCTTCAGGAACAGAAAATATGTCACAAAGAGCTAGATCCAATGAATAGGGAGGGTATTCAACCACAGTTATCTTTGTATCAGCTAAACACTCTCTCGCAGACAGTATCATGTGAGGAGGTGCATTGTCATGATGCAAGATCCATGAGTTGTTGGCAAAAAGTTTAGGTCGTTTCTGTAACTTTTCACGCAGCCTTTCAGTACGTCCAAATAGTAAACTTGGTATGCCAAGGTCATCAAACCATACCGGGGTTTCTGTCCACTGCTGTCACGGCAAGCACACAAAAGAGAGTGTGCGAACTTTATTGTCAGACCTCGTATATTGACTTATGATTTAGTGCTGAGCAACTCTTTCAAAAGTGAACAATGGCCTGGAGATGGCAAAGTAAAGCAGAAACATGTAGCAATTGATGTGAATGTTATTTTAAATTAAAGAGAGATTTTGATCATTTTAAGTTGCATTAAAGATGGAGGAGAATGAGTGAGTGATACTTTACTGCAACAGGATGCTCAAATATAATATTGTGGTTCTGAAATCTTTCTTCAATTCTGGAAGAAGCCAAAAGCTGCCTGGCAGCAAAATCTGGGCTGCAGGATGTGATACAATACACAGTTCACCAACGGTAATACCTTGTGCAATAAAGCATTACTAAGTTCTTCAAAACATCCTTTAATTTCTCAACACAGTAATTCAGTATTCAATTTTATAGGGCATTAATAATCTAGGAATTCAAATTTACCTAATATGCAAGACTACATATGTATAAGGTCCACCAATTTAACCTCTAAAGTACGGACTTTTAAATTGTAGAGAGCCTGCTGAGGCCGGAATTTAAATGGTCCTGAGTCTTTAAAGTTGCAAACTTTCAGAAAAACATATTTTTTGTTCTATGCAACAAAGAAATAAGAACTTAAACAGCCTGAAAAACAAAATTTTCTACATATACACAAAAGAACAATTTTTACAAATGAAAATATACTGTGATTATTTTGTCATGAAATGCAAAATATCATCTTTATTATATACATTATGAATTTCCAAAGGACTTACCCGTAGTATTTTCTCGAAACTTCAGACATGTTGATTTGGTAAAAAATAATCACACTATATACAATAATCCTTTGTTCAGACTGTACGAGAGTATGAACTGCATCACTTCACAGTTTATGATAACTCCATTCAGTGCGCACACTGATGCACGTGTGGCACTGGTCATCGGCACACAGACCAACATCACACTTTTTACAAAAGAAGAGGGTGCTCCTGGTTTTCTTATTTAGTGAACACACATGACGCCTTTGTTTCCCATTGGATGGTTAGTGTTGTGAATGTTTCACCTCTAGTCGACTCATTTGAGCCTCAGATTAACTTGACTTCCCCCGATAAACGCCACTGACTGTGATATTCGCCTCATGCAACTATACAATCAAATCTCGCACTAGGATTTCACGGAATCTTTTATGTGCCATTTTTCCACCACATCACTTGTGCAATAAATAAGCATTTAGAATAGTCATGTCTAGAAGGTGAAAAAAACAAATTGTTTGCCAATTTCCATGTCCTCCGGTCAATTCCATAACTATTTACCATCCTGCCAGATTTATCCACAATGGCCACATGTGCACTTCATTGGCTTTATATCTCTACCAAGAAATAAAATAAAAAAGTTTCATAAATACAGCAGATAAGTGACAATACGACACTGATTTTCTGACTGATAATTCACTACTGAAAACAAATCCTTGAAAACAACCGACTTCCTTGCAGCAAACTCAAGTAGCACTAATCTGCATGCTCAGATGAATATTTACTTCCGTTCTCAAAACAAAGCTGTGCTCTATTTGACTGACCCGGTCATAAACAGTCTTATCTAAACCAGTACCGTGATAAACGATTTAATTGTTCTGAGCTAACGAATGAACCACTGACTTGACCTTGCGTAGATTTGTTGTGGTTTCAACCTGAAGATCAAACTGTCAGCACTCCCAAAAAGTGCACGTGTACTGTGTTAGATAATTCTAACATTTGGCAACAGCGTAGGGTTACTTGCTGTTAGATGTATCTAACAATCCTTCATTAAAGGTTGATTCCCGGAATGGCCATGGCCTGTCACTGTGGCGCTGAGTCCAGCAAACACATGTACCCAAGCATGTACGTGTCCGTGGTATACTGTCGGCAGAAAAATGAGTGACAAGAATCTGGAGCAGCGGATAAACATCAAGTTTTGTGTGAAGATCGGCAAAAGCGCTAGTGAAATGAGAGCCCTATTAACAGTGGCTTATGGTGAATACACTATGAAGAAACTGAGTGTTTCTGGATGACATAGGCAGTTCAAGGAAGGACAAGAAGATGTGCAAGAGATAACCCAGGAAGTGAGCAGCCAAGAACGCAAAGGACAGATGCAAATGTGGATAGAGTATGAACCTTGGTGTGCTCAGATTGAAGATTAGGTGTGAGACTAATAGCAGAAGAATTGACTATGAATAGGGAAACAGTGAGACAGATTATTATGGAGGATTTGGGAATGAGAAAAATTTCCACAAAGATGGTGCCTTCAATCATTACAGATGACCAGGAACAATGTCAGCCTCATATTTCATCTGATCTTTTACACAATGCAGAGATGTTTGACAGGGTCATTACTGGTTATAAAAAGTGGTGTTTTCAATACAACCCGGACACAAAATGCAGAGCATGCAGCGGAAAACACAGAATTAATCTCAAATGAAAAAAGCACCCATATCTCGCTTGCAGTTCAAGACCATGCTTGTGTGTTTCTTTGATCACAAGGGACACTTCACTATGAATTCACATCACACAGGCAAATGGTGAACCAACAGTGTTATTTGGAAGTGTTGACAAGGTTATGGTAATATGTTCAGAGGAAAAGACCCAAACTCTGGCCTGACAAGTGAATTCTCCACCATGACAATGCCCCTGCACTTGATGCATTAAGAGTTCCTGGCTACGAAACCCATTACAAAAATGGACCACCCATCTTATTCACCTGACACAACCCCGTGATTTTGGGCTCTTTCCAAAACTAAAAAATGCCCTGAACAGACAAATATTTTCTGACATTCCTGACATCCAATGCAATGTGACAATGTTACTGCGAGGTATTCCGGAAAACGATTTTCGAGTCTGTTTCTGGCAGTGACACCATTATCTCAAGAAGTGCATAGCTTCACAAGGAAAGTATTTCAAAGGTGACAGCAGTCAACAGTGCACAGGTAATCAAATTCTGCTTTCACAGGGCCATTCCAGGAATTAAACTGTCGCACCTTGTATATACTACCTACTGAAACAGACAACACGTCGACTACTTCATGAGCAGCAGTCATGCAACAGTTAACTCAGGCAATTAATCCAGCTGATGATATGTGTTGTTCCATGATTAATTCCATCTGTCCCCTTCAACATGTCTGCCTTTCGATGCTATTTACCCATGATTAGCTCCATCTTCTGGGATAGAACACTGTCAATCAAAAGTCAACCAGCATCCTGGTTCAGCAGCTCAGTAGCCTTCAGTAGTGCTTGCAATGTGCTTCACACTGGTTTCTTGCTTCGCTTATTCTTCACCCTGAAGATAGACTATACAGCATTATATCCCAGAAGACATAACTCCTGATAACCACTGTTGGGAGAACATCATATCCTAAATGTTTCCTCATAACTGATGATACCAACCATGAGGGACACAGTTATCACATGATAGCCCAATGCTACCAGCACACGTTCCTTATTCTGTTGCAATTTCTGTCTTCTAAAACAACCAGTTCTGTCAACAATCCAATACTTTTTGAACAGCCCACATATGTTATACTGATGATGATGATGATGATGATGATGTGGAGGAGGAGGAGGATGACAAATAAAGAACAAAAGATGGAGGAGGATGAAGCAAATGAGACCAAGTTCTTGTAATAGCTTGGCCATGAAGTCACCAGGGCTGTTCTGTTATACATATTGGTAATTCTCCTTAGCAGAGAGCAGTGGAACCTGCTCCACAGACTGCTTGATGTCATAGCGTGTCAGCCAGTCTGTACTGTCAGGTTTCAACAGGCCACAGCACCGGACCTGGGCAAAGTCTATCAGGTTCTGGAACACTCCATGGTGAAATGGGCTGTGAGTTGCTCCACTCAGCTGGCCAGACTTGTGAAAGTGCTTGTATCGCCCACTGTTCATTCTCTCATTGGTTGTCATGCCCAAACACATGATCTGAAATTGTCAACAATCATTACAAACTTATCTAATAAATCAAGACCACTACCTGCTTTAAATAAGCAACTGCTCATAACCTTGCTAACTCTGTGGTAAGAGAACTCAAAGGTTTGACACCACTAAAGTCTGACACCTGACATAAACCTGAGCCAATTCAAACCAGTTCATATCCTCACATTCTACTTCATTGCAATCCATGTATGGTTTTCCTCCTACCTTCTTCTGAGCGTTCCAAAGTGGACACATTCTACCAAATTTCAGTATACATATCTTGTTTTCCTTATGTGAACTTCATTTCAAGCCCAATGTAATCATCCAAATTTGACTTCTTTAGCAATACTAGACGAAGTACATAAATTACGAAGTTCCTCTCTATCTATTTCCCATTGCCTTCAACCCTCTGAAATGAAAATATCGTGACATGACAGCTGAAAGCCAGAAGTGTGGAAAAGAAGAAATCCTTTGCTATGGAACGGCTCTGTAAACACATTTCTTTGCAAACAGAGATTGACACAACAATTGAGGAACTGTTGGAAAAGAAACGTGCAACAATAGAAGAACTGTGTTTTCTATGTGGACTGCTCCACGCCCATATACCTGTGACAGAAATGGAGCTCCAGTCAGTAAATTTGCCATAATCTGCACTGTTGGAAATCTTGACAGGTGCACACCAGTCTGCAAATTTCATGTGGCTTTCAAAATTGTGCATGTGTATAACTACATACCTAAATGAATGCAGGACACAGGCAGAAGCAATCCTAAACCATGTTAATTCCAAATATGCATGGTACTGGACATGGAGAAGCCAGGCATAGGAAGAATAAGAGGCTTAAATTTTGCAGCAATCAGGCCTGTGATCACTCAACTAACTGCAGTTTCAGAGTAGTTACATAAGTTAAGGCATAACCTGAGGCACAAGACTTCACTGAGAGGAAACCTCCATATACCTTGTAAAAATGTTTGTATAGTGCAGTGACAAAAGGAAGCACAGAGTCCATAGTGACCCTCATGCTGGGACAGCATGAATATATTCATGCTGAAACAAGTGTAGCATATACATAGAAAGTCCAACCCCTCCTTCGTCAAAGAGGATGCCCCACTTCTAAACACATACATGTCTTACTTACTTACTCATGGAACAGAGCCCTTCTGGAGGAGCCGCCAATTCTGCAGCTACTCAAGCATTTCCCAGCATTTTATGGAACCCAAAGGTTCATTACCATGTTCACAAGAGCCCTCCACTGGTCCCTATCCTGAGCCAGATCTATCCAATCCATACCATCCCATCCTATCTCTCTAAGATCCATTCTAATATTGTCCACCCACCTACGCCTTGATCTTCCCTGTGGTCTCTTTCCTTCTGGCTTTCCCGCCAATATCCTATACGCATTCCTCGTCTCCCCATTCGTGCTACATGACCTGCCCACCTCATCCTCCTTGGCTTGATCATTCTAATTATACTTGGAGAAGAGTACAAATTATGAAGTTCCTCATTATGTAGTTTTCTCCAACCTCCTATCACTTCATCCCTCTTCAGTCCAAATATTCTCCTCAACACCCTGTTCTCAAACACCCTCAGTCTATGTTCCTCCGTTAATGTCAGAGACCAAGTTTCACACCCATACAGAACCACAGACAAAATTATAGTTTTGTATATTCTAATGTTTATGTTTTTGGACAACAGACGAGAAGACAAAAGGTTCTGGACTGAAAGGTAGCAAGCATTACCCGAGTTCAATCGCGACTTAATTTCCTCCTGAATGAGGTTTCAATCTGTTATCGTTGTTCCCAAATATCTGAACTGTGCCACATATTCAGAACATCTGTGAGCTATCTTTATGTTATGATTCTGCCCTACAGTCTGGTGGTGAGACAGCAACATATACTTAGTTTCCTCTATGTTTATTTCTAGACAAACCTTGTTACTTGCTTCAATTAAAGTTTGTGGGTTTCTCTTTATGGTATCTGTATTATCACCCAGTAGATTCACATCGTCAACCAATGGTTGATGTGTCCCATTTAATTTCAGTCCCACCTGGTTTCCCTGGACCTTCCTAATTGCATATGCTAAGGCAAAGTTGAAAAGAGTGGCGATAAACCATCTCCTTGTTTTAGACCATTCTGGATAGGAAACTTATCAGACAAATGTTTACCTATACAGGCTTTACCATTCATTTCATTTAAACACATTTTAATCAACCTAACTAGTTTCATGGGTATCCCAAACTCTATTAGAATATTGTACAATACTTCCCTCCTAACTGAATCATAGGCTTTTTTGAAGTCTATGAATAGCTGATGTACTGTCTCATCGTACTCCCATTTTTTTTCCAATATCTGACAAAGGCAAAAGATCTGATCTTTAGTTGATCTGTTACATCCAAACCCACACTGATGATCCCAAATAATTTCATCTATACTCGTATATGGACTTAACCTTGAAATAAGAATATTGGACAAAATTTTATATGAAGTTGATAGCAGTCTGGGAGAGAAAAAATCTTGTTCATGGATCTTGAGGCAACTGAAGCCAGAAACGACTGGTCTGGTGAGGACTGGCGCCAATTTAACCAGTCAACCAGCCAAACTGGAGTCAGTGGTTAGCAGATGACATTGTGAGTGAATCTACAGGCAGTCAGGACTAGCCTGTGGTGGATGGACACAGCCAGGAGGCAGAAAATGGCCAGGGGTTGCAGCTATGAGCAGTTAGTGTGAGAAAGTCATCAGCCATTGAGGACCAGAACTGTTGAACAAGGAAGCAGAGGAATCTACACTGTTGTGGGACCATTACCAGGCAATGACTGGTGAAGACACAGACGACTCAGAAGACTTAGTGCATGCCACAGTGAATAGTAAAGTACATAAATTAGTGAAACTGTTATAGTTACTTGTAATTACAATCTACAAGCATCTAAAAAACCTAATCACAAATCCAAAACCCGTGTCTAGTCACTGAATATGTGATATTATTTTCCTGAGCATTTAGTTGTCAAATATTTGCAGTTCATGCCCTTCTCTTAAGTTTCAGAAGTTACATTTTAGACCCACAAATGACAATATTTTCTAAGGTATAAAACACATTTTTCCTCCAAAATAATGACTAAATATGTGCATATGGCTTAGTATCTGAAAGCGTAGCAACCTATCAAAAGAAGTTTTCCCTCTAAAATTACCGGACATAACTTACAGCCCAGAAAAAAGAGTAAGTTACATTTCAGAGTTTTCGAAAAGTAACTGGGATAATAATAGTTTCTGAACTAAGAAGCAACATTATCTGAACGTACGTCACACATGGCTGATCACAGTGTTCACGCAGTCAAAGACATTAACAGTCTACACTCATTCAATCACTGACATGGTGGGTTTTAATCCCACTCGAGGCATGGATGTCTGTGTGCATTTATTGTGTGTGTAGGTAGCTGCCTTGCACCAGGCTTATCCCCTGTCCAAGGAGTCCTACAATCTGTGTATAAATTAAGAAACTGAAAAAGTAGCCAAGGTCCAAAAGGCTGTAGAGGCATTGAGGGGAGTGAGGGAGGGAGGGAGAGAAAGTCGTACATGAAGGTAAGTAACAAAACATGTGAGATGGGATTATACACAAAGACATATAATGGATTTCTCAGAACAGAGTGAGGACTCACCTGATACATCTGGCATGTGAATAGAGTGGCTACCCATGCAGCATGCAGCACAGCATTGGCTGCTATCCAAGCCACCCAAGCATCACACACTGCAACTTCAGACAGTCCTACAAGCAATGCACAATAACTTCAAATTTAAGACAGAACTTCCACTCTGATATTTCTTGGCACACAACTGTTGAGTGTGTAAAAAGGGGTTAATCTGCACCAGTGCCCAAGCAACATAATCCAAAGGTTTACTGTAAGCTCCACACACTCTTAACCTCAGAACTGGACGAAGGTAAGTAGTCCGTTTCATACTCCAGTTGCTTTAATCGCAGAAAAATAAACACTCAGTACCCATGAATAGGAGGTTGGGTTCGCCCCAGAGTTTGTCCAAACACAGTGACAAAGAGAGAAATCCTTTCCCTGCCCCTGCTAGAGACTGAACCTGGTTCATTCAGCTCAGAGCCAGCCACTTTACTGACTAAATGCTTTCATTTCACATTGCATGCGTCTACCAGATAAATATAATGTAGTGGCAAGCAACCTGCAGTCCACACATAACTCACAAAACTCCCCATATGGGCAAAATGTCTAATTTCAGAAATTAAAACTAACACATATTTGTATTTAAAAATGTCCATGTTAGGCAGGTCCATTGTCACCACGGCATGGTGCGTCCTCAGGTTGTGGATGGAGAAGACGCCCTCCAGGTATGGAGGGTAGATGCAAATATAATGAATAAGCAGTCAAGGAGAGCCGACAACAGGTGGTCCACCAGCTTGGGGGTTGGGCGTTAGGCTAACAACTCCTCAGCATAAAAAATAAGCTTGTTACAAAAATTCTCAAGAAGCCTCAGACTTGGACAATTTCCTTGGATAAACGACCTAAGCAAAAGAAAATGGATATGAGATTTGGTACTTAGAATGTTAGAAGTATGTATAGGGCAGGTTCGCTCAGGGAAGTGCAAAAGAAATCCCAAAAAAATGTTAAGATTTAGTGGGAATGGGGGAGGTCAGATGAGGCAGAGGTGGCACTGAACCAGCAGGAGAATATACATTTTTCTATGGAAAGGGGAATAAGAATCGTTAATTAGGTACACGTTTTCTCATACATAAGAGAATCATATCAGCAGTTAGGAGGGTAGAGTTCGTTAGTGATAGGATGTCATATATAATACTAAAAGGTTGCTAGTGTGATATCACCATTCTGAATGTTCATGCTCCAACAGAAGATAATATTTATGATATAAAGGTCAAGTTCTATGGGGAACTAAAACGTGTATTCAATATATTCCCAAAAAAAGCCACATGAAAATTCTGTTAGGAGAATTCAATGCCAAAGTATGGAAGGAAGACATTTTCTACCAACGACTGGGAATGAGAGTTTGCACGAAATTAGTAATTATTATGGAGTTAAAGTAGTAAACTTTGCCACACCCAAAAATCTTACTGTGTAAAGTACAATGTTCCCACACTGTAACATTAATAAATTTACCTGGACATCTCCTGATAGGAAGACACACAACCAAATTCGACTATATTTTGATAGAGGAGATGGCATTCAATTATACTTGATTTCCAATCATTCTGGGAAGCAGATTGTGATACTGAACACTACCTGGTGGTGGCAAATGTTAGGGAAAGACTGGCAGTGCATAAACAAACAATGCACAACATTCATATGGAGAGGTACAATCTCAAGAAATTAAATGAGATGGTAGGGAACAGTATTGTGTTCAAATCTCAAATAGGTTCACAGCTTTGGAAAACTCAGACACTGAGGTGGATGTTAATAAAGCTTGAGAAACTATTAGAGAGAATATAAAAATTTCTGCCAAAGAGTCTAGGTTATTGTGAACGAGGAAGACATCGTTCAATGAAGAATGCTCAAAATTATTAGACCAAAGAAAACAAGCCAAATTGCAGTTGTTACAGGATACAAGCAAAATAATGGGGATAATCTGAACAACATAAAACGTGAAACCATGATAATTTTCCTGAAGTTCAATAATTTCCATTTGAATTTGACTTGGGACATCTGCAGCATCACAGTCAAACGGATTTTGAAACAATCTAATTTCCTGAGCACTGGAATCCAAATCAGCAAATTGCTTCCGAAATTGTTCTTTCAAATCTAAAATGACTAAATCTGCAAACGAGGAAGGAAATTCTGCTTCACCCTTTTTATGCAACTCTGCACAGTATAGCATATGAACAAAGTTACAATTTTACACTTGCCTTTCCAGAAGTATCAACTTTGCTCTGAATGCCTTGATAAGTGCAAATAAATCACAGACTAAGTTAATTTCACCCTGTATCTTTAAATTCAAATGGTTCATATGGTTTACCAGATCAGCAAAACTGCTAATTTCCAAAGCCACTTGGTATATGATAGAAGTGGTTCGCAATGGCTTTTCTCGGTAAGAAATATATCAATTTCATTCCTGGGCAGAAAGAAGCGCGAAAGAACTTTTCCACAGCTAAGTTATCGAACTGCAGTATAATATGTCAGGTCAGTAAGCTCGGAATCACATTTACCTGTACTCATTGGAAAATTAGTTCAATTGGCGCATTTCTGCACAATTCTTTCGGGGGCCGGATAAAATCATATCGCGGGCCACATGTGGCCCGTGGGCCATAGTTTGGGGACCCTTGATCTAGATAAAACAAATGTAATAAAATTTACAATAGAAACTCACCACATGTCCATTACACATTGGGTATAATTATAAATACTGTCAAGTTATTAGTGTCTGGTACACAGGGTTTGGGTAAATTCATTTACTGGATATTCACTAGGCATAACTACAAATAATTACAACATTCTCAAGCTCACTGTAATTATAACACATGTAAAACCACAAACTAACTCTTCTCAGGCTGACTTTCAATTTTTCTTTACATGTGAATTTTCCGTGGCTATGTCCTACCAGCAACAGACTCTCTCAGATATTTTTGGAACTTCGTTATATAGCCGTGATACAGACCACACAGAAAATATCTCTTCTATTGTAAAAAACGTTGCATAACCTAGAAACTAGTCACAGAGAACCCAGTTCCTATTGTTGCTTGGTGCAGACCACATAGATAACACAGTTTTCCTTGTTTTCTTGTATGTTGAGAAGTGTCTACTGAGCCCTTGCCTGGCAATGCTTTGATTAAATCTGTTACAATATACACAAGAGGCAGTAAACACAAAATTACTGGGGTTTATAGACTCTATCAATCGCCTAGTGTTCTAAAAACTAGAAAACACAATGCTGCAGAAACTTGATCTGTTTCCATCCTCATGTGAGAGAGGAGACACCTACTCTGTTCAATCCCTTACAAAGAGCAAACCTCAATCACTGGACAACTCATGTCATATTCACTACAGCTATTTAATTACCTAAGATCCGGCTAGGTCAAAGAGAGATAACACAAGAATATGCAATAAAAATTGTGATTAAACACACATATTCATGGAACTAGGATAGAAAGGGAGGTATAAATTTATGCTACAAACTGAGCCAACAAACTAGGTCAATGAACAATAATGCACAGAATTAAATGACTTGGTGAAAATATATAGTGCCTATCACTAGCACCATCTGTGGAGTAAACCCAGCAATTCTGAGTGTTAGAGACCATCGCCAGAACACTTTAGAATCCAAATTCCTTGGCTTACAAATTGATATCATTTAAACTGCAAAAACCGTGTCAGACAGCTTCTTGCAAGGCTAAGCAGAGCATGTCATGCAGTCAGATTTACGTCTATCAGCAACAATGACCCTCAAATCATTTTACTTTGGTTATTTTTTAATAGCCTCATGCATAACCACTGTTTTTTCTTGGATCTTCCTGTGTGAAAATTGCAGTTATACTGTAAATATGTTTTTATATTTGTATGACATATTCCACATCCTACAGTCATTTTGTCTAACTTTGGATCCTGGGAATGCAATGTAATATAATGTAACGTAACACTGTCAGAGATTGAGAGCATCTACATCCTTTATCAGTGAAAGAAAACATACCCATATCGAACATACTTACATGTCTTTGTCGTTAGGAAATCTGTCACATGCTCCTATCACTAGTTACTCAGTGAAATTAATCTGAGACTATGCTCTGTTTGTATTTTCCAGCTATGAAATAAATAACAAACAAAATCAGCCATCAATACTTGATCTTAAAGTAGTTGTGTGAAAGATACTGAAGTGTGTTACTACCTAAAGTTTGTGCATTCTTATTAAGTTGGCACAATTAAACTAAAAAAGTTACTGTGATAAATGTTAACTGAATTGATTGGGTTTAGTGAAAATATAAACAGTGTTGAAACATACATGTTTCCCAGGGTATGCTAAAATGGCAAGAAACTTTACAAATCAATGGGTCAATAAAGCACATAATTCAGCAAAGGTAAATTATACATTTCTATTTTAAAATTGGGGGAGTGGGGGAGCAAACTCACCTCTCCAGAAGCTTTTCCCCAGTGAGGTGGCACACATGGTTTGCCAGAAAAGCACACACCCATACAGCATGAAGAGGCACATTGCCAGCAGCGTTACAAGATACCCAATGAAGAACCGGTGGTTCTTAGCACCTGCAAACAGTAACATGAGTATGTGTGCACATGTATATGCATGAATGAAATCAGGGTTCATTCTTAGAAAAAACACTGTATAAAATAAACCTAGCAAATGGAAAGCATTAACTAAACTTCATGGCAAAGAGTCTTTATTAAGAGCTGTTCAACTGTTCAAGAAATTCCCTGCTTTCAAGGTACCTGAATGCTTCCTGATGTGTTCACAAAAGCCTGCCAGTTAAATGCAGTCCCACCACCCTAACACCCTATTTCTCAAAAGTCTGCTGTAGTATTACCTTCCAATCTGTGAACAAGTCTTTATCTTATATGCATTTCTTACTGCCCACATGCCAGCTACATGTCCTACCCACCTCCTTCCCCTTGATTTAATGGCCCACATAATACTGGACAACCAGCAGATATTATGTAGCTCCTTGTAATAAAATTTTCTGCATCTCTCCTTACTTCTTTCTTGGCTCCAAATATTTTCCTCAGCACCTTGTTCTTAAATACCTTCAATATTAAGTTGTCTCCTAAGACTGAGAGGACAAGTTCACACCCATACAAAACAACAGCTAATCTTTAGGTTCTCAGACAGGGCACAGAACGATATAAATATTCTAAACTGAATGGCAGCAAACACAGTACTGCAACATCAGACGCGAAATCACCATCTAAGTAAATCTAATTTATTTTCTTCAAATAATGCATCCTGTTGTGATAACTTATACTAATTTTTTTCGTTGCAAGCTGACTCTTAATAGAACTGGACACTGAAATGCGGAAAATAGAGGAACCCATAAAATAAAAAGAACAGTATACAACATCCCACTGACTGATTCCAAACAACACAACCACTTCATGGGAGAACTAAAGAGAAATAAGAACCAAATCATAACCAAAACAATGTCCATAAATTACCATGTAATATAACATCACAACTACAATGATAAAAATTAATATGTAACAATACATGAGACATCTAAACCTCATGTAATGATATCTTAACTAAGTGTCTAAGTGTATTTTACAATTTTGAACTCTTGCAATTTTTCTTACAATTGTAAACCTCGTAATTTATTATTATCTTATATTATTCATACTTTCACTATTGTATGAATATCTGTAAACATCAATTAACATAAAGTTTTATTCTGGTTCAATGGATATATATGAACAGTAAAAAATGTAAAGTTGTCCCTGTACTTAACTAATTAAGCATTACGCCATGAAGGTGTATGGGGGAATGGATGTATAGATCCATATTTTCTTGATTTTGGCACTAGTTGGAGTTGAGTGGTCAGCTACATGCACCGGCCGCTTTACTCCCAGGGAAGAGCCCCCAGTACCCATTGGATAGGTGGCTGGATGGGCCCCAGAGTTTGTCTGGATGACATGGAAAAAATTCTTGACTCTACTGGGACTCGAACTCCAAACCCTATGTCATCCAGCCCGTAGCCAGTCACTATACCGACTGTGCTATCCCCACTCCCCTATATGAACAGTGGTGGCTTTAATTCTGATGAAATACTGAAAATCTGATGCATTAGTAATAACTGTAAACTGTAACATATTGTGACGTATTTGCGCTATGCAGGACATCCCCTCCCCCGCCAGCAGTGACGTAACACCTTCGGTGCGTTGCCGCTGCTACGGTAATAGGACAGTCAACACCCCGCCCACTTCCGCGGTGATGTAACACAGGATGCCGCCGTTGCTACTCAGCAGTAAACAACTCCCGACAGCGTTGCTAGGCTATCGGCAAACACGGCATCAGGCAACAGTGGTACCTATTACGTAACTGTTTTCTGTGTGGTCCGTAAGGGGGCTAAATAAGGGGCAGCGAAGACTATTCAAGAGTTAGTTACGAGTTAACCAAGGAGTCAGTCAACCAGTCAGTTGTAGGCCAAGTAATTGTAATACTGCAGATGGCAGTAGTTGTGAAATTGTGAATTGTGTGATTGTAAGAGCAAGTGTGAAATAAAATTCGCTATATCCAATACGGCGTGAAGTTATTAGTCGCGTTACATACCACCCAACACGTGACAATATATATCCATACAGAATGCAATTCAATAGTTTAAGAGTAAGTTATTAGCGTGTATCTGCCTGACGACAGTGTTTCATAAGCTGAAACATGCAGCAAGATACCACTAAAATCGATAAACTTGTTACACATGGTTAACATGAAGAAGTTTTTGAGAGTTGTTGTGATGTAATGGATAAACAAACAAAATTAGTCTAATTTATTTTCTTGTGCTGATTAAATACTATTAAAACCCCTACACGTTTTGGTCATAAATCACCATCTTTGGGGGGGGGGATACCAGATATTAAATGAAACTTTACAATTTACATATGAATAAAGATTTAAAATATCCAAGCAATACAATTTTTGTAAGTTAAAACTAAAAATATATTAAGAGTTCAGTCATGTAAACCAGTCCTAAATCCAATTTTTTTTATAACTGGTGCATCATGCTATATTATGTATTACTGCCTCATGCTTGTTTCTTATTTTGTCAAAACAGTGATGGTGTGTGACACTGTGTGCATTTAGAAAGGTGAAATACTAAACTGTAGTGGTACTGGCATATAAACAATTCAGTATTTCACCTCTCATGAAACTTTCATTATGTGGATCCTGAGAGGTGAAATATTGATCTGTACCTGTACCAGCACATAACAGTACCCATCACGACAACGATCATAACAGATCCAGCAGCATCAGAGAACGCGGAAGAACAGCGAGACCTCACAAACAAGTGAAAGTGCAACCAATAACATAAGTTGAACTTTAATTCAAGAACTTTTAACCAATAATAATAATTAAACTAGTTAAAAAGAACTAGACACAGTTGGAGCGTAAGTAAAATGAGACTGTAAACAACAAGTGAAAGTGTAACCAGTGACATGAATTGAACTTCGATTCATGAACTTTTAACTTTTAACAATTAAATTAGAATAATAATTTCAACCTGTGTTTTATGAAAAGAACTCGATATTTTAGTGAGCGTAAATCGGGATAAGATACAGGGTCAAATGAGTGAAAAGTGAATGTGACCGCGTGTAATTATACAGCCGTGTTCATATACCTAAGGATGACCTCTTGAGGTCGAAACATGTAGTGATAATAAAAACGTGTTTTGTAGTCGGTAAATTCCCTCTACTATTAATTAAACACACAACAGTATGCAAGAAACGATTAAAAATAAAATAATATAACAGTACCTCACCTCTCCAGAACCACACATCACCATACTGACACCATGAAAACAAAGCCTGAGGCCATATTACATGGTATAGTACAACACAAAAATTATTAGGAAAGTTGCATTTAACAGTGGTTCACATAACTGAACTTTAAAATAATATAAGTTTTAAGTTATTATAAAAATCTTATGACTTAGACATTTTAAATCTTATTCATATATGTAAATTGTAAAGTTTTTTGTAATAGCTGGTATCGCCACTGAAGACGGTCATTTAATTGAAACATCTCAGTTTAACAGCATGTAATCACCATAAGAAAACAAATCAGATATACTTAAATGATTTCATATCCTATTTTAACACATAAAGTATAATGGCAAAAATGAACCCTAACAATCTATGGTAATGTACGTTTATAATCCAACATGATATGAAATTTAGCTAATAGGCTATTATACTAAGCTCATAAGCAGAAAAAATAACTTCAAATCCTTTTAATTACTTCTGTTGTCATCACTGCCATCATACTAGGCTGCAGCAGCACCAGGATGAACAACAGAAATATATACTTTTAATGCGTCTCTGGAGGACAATAGAATTTAACTGGAAGAACTGTAACACTGAGATAGTAACAGCTGGGCCCTTAGACACTGATTCTTATACAAAGGAAAACTCTAAACTGAGAAACAGTAAATTAGATCCACATTGCATAAAATTACAAACCTATGCAGTTGCCAACCCATGGACAGTGATGATCAAACTTTGCAACACAGCGGTTACACACAGAGCAGTGCTTAGAGCGTATAGGGCGCCGTACCAAACACGAGCTACAGAACCACTGGGGTTCAAATCCACCACGTTCTGCCAGCTCTATTATTGTCTGTAATTATGACAATTAACTGTGTTACTGCATGATGTTGTAGCTAAAATATGTTGTCACTCCAGTTGCTATACATAGTGTAAATAAATATATGTTACAATGCTCTGTGGTAGATGGGTTCAATCTGATCATATTTGGTTAATACACCCATGTCTGGAAACACTTTGTTTACATGTTAGGGCCTCTGAAATGTGAAGGAGGACCTTTCCCAAGGACAACACTTTCAACTCCAGAAACAGCCATGTACGGGTCCAAGAAAATCCTACTGCGAAGCATATCCGAAGCCACCAACACCGCTTCATGGTCAATGTGTGGGCAGGGGTTATCGATGAACATCTAATCGGCCCTTACTTCTCACCTCTGCGGCTTACTGGCAGTATTTACCTGACATTTCTCCAAGAGACCTTACCCAAACTGCCAGAAGTGGTGCCTTTGGAAGTCCATTGTGAAATGTGGTTCCAGCATGATGCCAACCCAGCATACTGCAGTAATGTCATCCGTCAGTGTTTGGATGAAACTTTTGGCAACTGATGGATTGGACATGGAGGCCCAACAACTTGGCCCCTCACTCCCCTGACTTGACTCCACTGGATTTATTTCTCTAAGGGGATACATACAAAGCCTGGTGTATGAGACTCCAGTGGAGACACAATATGACCTTGTGGAAAGAATTGCAGTAGCAGCTAGAATCATCCAGGAAATGCCGGTAATCTTTCAAAGAGTTCAGCATAACATAGGCAGGCAGTGCAGAACATGCACTGAAGTCGGCGGCCACCATTTTGAGTAAAATTTATAATGTAAAACATCCCCTAAAACTTATGCATCCTCTTGGAAACTTCTGTGGCTCTTAGTGCCAAAAGGAAGCATTTTCTGGACATTGGTGTGTTTACAAAATATGATCAGATTGAACTCATCTATCTACCAGAGTAACATATATTTATTTACACGCTGTATATTCTTTGCAATATTAGAAACTGAGTCCATATCTGTCAACATGTTTTATCTACTAAACCAGTGAACAGAATTAGATGTAGAAGTTGCAGCAGCAACATAATAAAAGTAACTGGTGGTGGCAGTGGAGGTAGCAACAGTACAAACTCTTTCTTAAAGAACCAAATTGCCTGACTCTCACTGTCGGCTTGTTAGCCAGAATCTTAATCATTATTTCCTGAGAAAATGAAGTCTTCACTGGTGGCTAATATACCATGCACTGTAAACACGAACATGCTTTCTTAGGTGAAATAACTTGTTTAGAAGAATTCATCACCACAGCAGATGCTCAAAATGCCTCCCTTCTGCTCTTAGACAAACTTCAAGTCTCTCGAGACACCTGTTAGACACCAGTTTGAGTTAAATGACTTTCATAGATGTAACTGTTTTACAAATGTGCTTAAGTTCATCCAGTGTGTGGGGAATAATGGAATACATTGTTTCTGGATTTCCCAACAGATAAATTCATAAGAATTTAAATCTGGAGAGCCTGGAGGTCACAATCTGTGACTTACCAGTCTGTCTTCAAACACCCTGCTTAGAACATTAATGGAATAATGAGTAGCGTGCGCTGTAAGACTACCTCGCATAAAATAACTATATGCATTTTCTTCTTCTGTAATGCTCTCAAAAAAGACCAAAGAATATAATGCTGCTCTGAATTAGGTCTGTTAAAAAAATATGGGTCCCACTATTGTATCTCTGTAGCAGTAATGAAAAACCACCTACCAATCTTATAATCAAGAAGTGGTACTTCAAAAGCCTGTCTCACATTAATACTGCTCCAGTATCTATTGTTCTCAGCAATGTTATATTCCCTGCTACAGAATCTCCAAAATGACCAGATGGTATGGCATGTGTTCTTGGAGACTCTGCAAAGCACTCAGGAAGTCTGCCACAGTCCAGCTGTATAATGCTATTAGGGCTGTGGAGGTGATATGGGAAAAGTCTGTGTTGAATGCTTTACCATGTAACCGGATAGAAGAATGGAGGTTCCCTAGACAGGGGAAGGTGCCAGTGGCAAGACAAATCCCAGTGCTGTGGACAGGATTTACGAAGGACAGTTAAGATTTCACTGCAAAATCATAAGCTGCCACAGTCCATCTTAGAGCAGATCAGGGCATTGAAAGTTCAAGAATTACTGCCTGGTCTCCCACTCAGCACCTGCTAAATAAAACTTTTAAATACTATATGACCCTTCACACCTAACATAGAGCCATCCCACGAGAGTTTGCTGTCAAGGAGGGGGCCTAGAAACTTGACAGCTGAAGGAAAGGGCAGAGCATTACCACTGAGGAGCAGATTGAGAGGATATAAACGCTGCAATCACGTGCAAGTGTATGCATTGGCCGTTTGCTGCAAGGGAGAATCTGTTCTGCACAGCCCAGTGTGACAGATGCTTTTTGGCTCTCCATTGGAACCATGTTCTGGGAACTGTAATAAATGGCAACATCATCAAATATAGTGACACTGAGGACAAAGGATCTATCATATTAATCATCCCACTAATGGAGACTGCAAACAGGATCACATTTAAAATTGATCCTTATAGTATTCCATTTTCTTTTTAATAAAGTGCAGAAAAAAACATTTCCAAGATAAACACAGTAATGGTGACCCTGGAAAAAGCTCAAGAGAAACAATGGAAGCCATGAGTGTGAGAGATATTCTAGACATTTGTACAGCTACAGTGTGTAAGCTATTTTGTACACATGGTCACTTAACTACTCAACAACAGATTTGTATTTGGAATACATGAACATCAAGGCCAAAGAAGTATACAAGAGAAAGAAAATATAAATTTGTAAACATGTATACACCCTTAAAGTGGATCCTTGTACTACTGCTAGCCATGTTGGTAAGTGCTGACCACACTGCAAACTTTCCTAGATGAGTTATGTGCTTTTAGGATCATAAATATTTCACACTCTGCATTTTACTTCATTAAATGATTCTGAGTTATAATTTACATTGGGCTGGACCTTCTTTTCAGCAATTACAAAAACTTCTTACATGCAGATGAACTGCAAGATCCAGTGTGGATACAGACCCTGTATTTCTGTTCCTGAGTGCTGGACAACACGCCTGGGTCACCTCGCCATGCATGTAGAAAGTTGTACCATAAAACACCAGAACATAAAATGAACACCACTGACAGCCACAGGTCTACGTGTGGAGAGATCCATACAAACCACGTCACATACATCCAGAACTGAAATGAGACACCAAGATTGTTTTAAGTGTTCCTTACAAAATAATAATAAAAATAATTATGTGGAGGTCATGCCTGTCCATTTGTCTGTGACTTTGTATATCAGCACATAAACCACAAGACAGACCTTTTTAATTCAACATTGGAAACTTTCACAAAAACTTTCTAGCCAATTCTGATTTTTGATCATATTCATATCAACACTTCTTAACATATATCATACACTGATAAGCAAATTTGATTTGGTTCATCCTGGTCCGTCACACTAGCAATAGTATAAAAAAATCAATAATTGTGGAAACTGCTATTACAATGTGATTGGTCATTATCAAGACATACATACAATACAATTACAATGTCATGAATATAAAATCTTAGCCTTTAACAAATACAGCAATATGCCTGAATTTATTAAGATATTTATAAATTATTATAATTAGTTTATTTACAAGTGTGGTTTAAAAAACTCTGTTTAAGTCTGGAACCAATTTGGTTTGCATCCTTTATACTACCTCTCTTTAAAGGAAGATGCGTGTCTACCATGTCATGGTTCCGTTATTTGATGAATAGGACTATTTAGTGTCATCCAGTTGTTCAGGCTGTGCTGTGTTGTCAAACACAGTTTAACAACATAGCAGAGCCATAAGTGCACAGGCAAAAAACAGTGATGCAATGAACAAAACCTCATCAGAACCAACAGCCCAGGATGACGAGTTGCAGGAAGTAAAGAGACACAAGAGGCATAACTCCAATTATAACTACAATGATAAGTCAGCCAAGAAGTTGACTAGAACAGTCCCAACATCCACAGGTGTCAAGCTGCCTCCAAAAGCAGTGTCATCTTGTAACTACTTCACACCCCTCAGAATTACTGACACAGACTACTGGAACAGGAAGCTCACAGAAAACCAGGTAGGCCACCACCAACAGTGACAACTTCTACCACAAACCTAATTCAAATCCAAAGCGACCTAAAACACATCAAAGGAGAGTAAGAGTTCTGAAATACATGAAATGGAACTCATATCATAACAAATGAAATGGTGGACTATTCAGCCATAAAATCCTATCTGGAGAAAAATAATCTCCAGTATTTTACCTTCTCTCTAAATTCTGAAAAGCCTATCATGAAAGTAATGTCACCTTCCTCCAGATACACCAGCACAAGATATTTCCAAAAGCCTGAGCTTCAACATCATCAATGTGAGGTAACTGACGACCAATTGAAGAGCCCCAAATGGACAAACCTTACGTGGAAACCATCCTACTATTTCTTGTTACGTTAACAAGAAACGTAAAATCTCAAGAGATATTCAAACTGAATAGCCTTAACCATATAATTATTAAGGCAGAATCATACATAGCTCAAACTGGCCTTACTCAGTGATACAACTGTCAAAACTTTGGCCATGCCTGGGCCAACTGCAAGCAACCCCCTCAATATTTGTGGTGTGGCAGTGGCCACCTGCATAAGGAATGCCCCAAAAAGACGAATATAGAATCTACACAGAGTTGCTGCAATTACGCCCTACTAGAAGGAGAGAAATCTCATTCAGCATTATACCGAGGCTGCAGCCATGTGAAAGGAGAACTGCAAAGGAGAAGAATACAGTGAGCTGCCAAGAGACCCTCTGGGAGGACATTCTTCTCTAGTTCACCTCACCAAAGCAGTCCTATGCAGCTGCACTGCGTCAAGACAACTAACAACAGCTACCAAAGGCACCACAGACAGAAGGGAAAAGCATCCAGCACCCCATGCAGCAGTATCTGCCACAACAGGAATATCAGAAAACAGGTCTGTCAGTACAGGCTCCCAATTCGTCTCACAATGACACTAGCCACTGTAGTGCATCAGATCATGACAGAGCTCGGTGAAGCTGTGTCACAAGAAGACAGAATAATGGTCATTACAAAAACTGTACTTAACATAATGCAACAAAATGTCTGCTAGAGTTCAAAGGTCACTTTAAGCCATAGCATTTAATGCAAATGGCATTGGAGGCAGCGCTATGAGCTCAGTAAACAGCTGTAAGACTTATATATAGATGTAGCTCTTCTCTCAGACACACACCTCAAACCCAATGAGAGATTCTTTATTCCAAATTATCACTTTTATCATACCGACCACTTCCTGGGAAGAAATGCCAGAACTACCGCTGCAGTGAGAAAGGGCACTCCTCTCCACTTGTTTAAATAGTAGCCACAGGGGGTTTGCATACTGATTGCAGCAGTCTACAAGTTCCCAGGCCATGCCTGGAATGATACAGACATCACTGTGTTCTTAAGCTTCAAAAATAAGTCACTACTGGCAAGAAATCTGAATGTGTTGTTTAACACACAGCAGGCTATGAATAAACACGGAAATACTAAGAATCTCCTTTTGCAAGATAGACGGGCGGCACAGGATCAGCCACCTCCAAGAATAACAATAGGAGAACTGACACGAACCTGTATGATTTATAAATTTTAAGCTTGAACTAGAAAGTTTTTTAAAAAACTTTAAAAAGTTTTAACACCAGGAAGGCTGCTGTGAATGTGAAAGGTTGAACATTGTGTACATTGTGCATTTCAGACATTATATGTGTATGTATATAATTAACATCTATTGTAATAGTAGTTTCCGAAAAAGTATTGATGCCCTCTGAGGATGAACCGCAGGGATCGAAACATGTAAGGGTGATGAGTCTTCAAATGATAAAACTTAAATAGTCACATTAGACGGTGTTATTTTTGGCTTTGTAATTGTTAGTGTGACGGACCAGAATGAAACAAATTAGATTACAACTTTCTTTAGGTAGTGTCATTTCAGTCCATGCATACATATTTTGTGAATATGAAGTCACACTTCTATCGTTCCTTGATTATTTGTACTGATTTACACAATCTAGTGCTCAAAAGTCAGATGAGTTTTAGTTCTGAGACTTGAATTGTGTCTTCTATCCAAATTAATATGGTACACTTAGAGCATGTTATTGAGAATATACAAAAGACAATGAATGTGGAATGGAAACTGTGGCTTGTGGTAGGATACCTTGGTGGCTAGATAGACAGACATAGGCAGTAGATTCATGAGTCGGTCATCAAATATGACCTGGCTTGCCATATACAGAACTATGTAGCAGGTCACAAGGAGTCCCAGCTTGACTAGATAGTTCTGACTAGATTGAAGGATGATGCCCACTGTGTAGAAGGCCAGGAACGGCGTTGACACCATGCACCAGAAACGCAGCCTCTGAAACAACATGGTCAGAGTTAGACTCCAATACATAAACCTGCACAGGATTTTATAACTGATCATCCATTTCACTGGTTTTCAAGGGATCAACCAGTCATCATAACCATAACAATGTGATTGTGCACCTACACGCATGTTTGTGTGCGCATATGTCCATGCAAATCCATGTGTATGTGTGCAAATACAGATTGAAAGTGGGAATAAAGTGCTGAGAAACATATATGAACCTAAGAAAGAGGACAGAAAAACTACACAATAGGGAGCTTTATAACTTGTAATCTTCATCCAATAATATTAAGGGATTAAATCGAGAACAAGATGGATAGGGCATGGAAATGTACAGAAAACACTGTTCAGAAAATCACAAAGGACAAGACCACTTAAGGAAACTAACACATGGGAGGACAATATTGGAACGTGGATGGCACAACAGGAAGCAGGCTCTGCATTTCCACAAGGGACGTCATATACCCCCACTCCTTCCATCACTACATAACGCTTGGTAAATGCCCCTCCCCACTAGGCTGTGACGTCAGGCAACAGGCAAGTCTGTGTATCAAATATTGCTAGAGGGCATGTGGAAAGGTTTATTACAGCTGACAAAATTTTTTCAAGTGTAAGAGCAATGTTTACACACACGTACACATAATGTGGTTGGGTAAAGCAATACACATCTGAATTATGAAGTCCCCCAAGCGGCCTCGAAAGTCTAGGGGTAACGTTCCCACCTTATGACTCAAGGTACACAGGTTCAAACACGGCGGAGGTCATGGAATTTTTAAGGGCAGAAAAATTCAGAGAACAAGTCCTCCAGGAGGGACTTTAAGCCGTGTGTCCCGTGTCGTAGATTTACGGCACTTAAAAGATCCTCATGTCTCTAGGAGACCTCTGAGCAAAATTGGGCAGTTTCCTGCCCAAGTAGTTTCAAATTCCTCTGGTAGATGGGGACGTATCAGGGACCACTACCGGAGAGGGCCAACCTCGCTGGCGGAATGGGGCTGATAGCGAGCATGGGCATGGTGACTAATTAGAATAATTAAAAAAGGGGGACGCACAATAGATCAATAAATGGTCGCAGTGCATGGGGTAACCCACCCCCTCCAAATAACAATAATAATAATATCTTTAAATTACTGAAATAAAAAGCTCACCTTTTCAAAATGCATGTTTAGGATATCAGGGGCTTTGCTTAGCATACAATCCAGTCATAACATTCAGTACTGAAAAGTATAAAACACAGGTTTGAAGAATCCCTTTTTCATTAAAATGATAACAGCTAATGAAAGAAGGCCTGTTTCTGGCATATTCAGAATTGATATTACTTGCAATTAGTGCATGCTTCACCCTGTCAGTGCACTNGTCTCTAGCATCAATAGTTATCGACATACAGAAGACAAGGCGAACCTCCATTTCAGCCAAAAACGCGTTTTTTCGCATTATAAAAATGACTGTACCGGGAGAACCTAGCGGATTATAATTTTTTTTAAATATTTTTGGAGTATGAAAGTATCTAGAAATAAGCATACTAAATACAATTTTTTTTAAATGGTCGTGCAACCTATCTGGACGACTTCACATGGAATGACCCGTAAGCCAATTGTTGAGGTATTGATTTTTTTGGTAAAATTCAAAGTGCCCACAACTTTGCTATTAGTAGAATATCAAAGTCGTAATTTTAACTCCAAATTACTCTAGAATAGTGCATTATTTGCTATGAATTTCAAAATTGTTGGAGCTTCCCCACCGGAGATATGAGATGCTAGAAATGACCGATTTTTGGGCCCAGAGCAAAGTTTGGAAGCTCCTGGAAAATTCTGGAAAATACATACAGGGCTCAAAACTATGTGATTATATTCCCCATGTAGACAATAAATGGTAGAAAACACAGATCTGGTACTTTCCCCCTCCTATTAGTTTCTGGAGGTCAGAAATAGCTATTTTCCCAAAATCGGCAGGTGAGTTTAAAGCTTAATTAGACCTAGAGGAAGTGAGTTGAGTAAAAACACATAATGATATGAATCGTAGTCCATATCATGAGGAACAAATTGGTTATTTATTCGAGTCTCTATCTTCAATAGTTATCGAGATATAGATAATAACGCAAACCTCCATTTCAGCCTAAAACGAGTTTTTTCGCATTATAAAAACAGCTGTATCGGGAGAACCGAGCGGATTAAATTTTTTAAAAAAATATTTTTTAAGCATGAAAATATGTAGAAATAAGTGTACAAAATATTTTTTTTAAATGTTTGAGCGACCTATCTGGATGATTTCACATGGAATGACCCTATAGCAACATTAACAGTGACTACTGAAAGTTGTGTACAGTGCGTACTAGAAAGTGCATCTGTGACTGTGACTTTTTTTTTGTAACCCGTGTAGTGTTGTCAAATAAAGAAGGTACATTATTGCACCAACAATGAAGTGTGATCCGGAGACTTCTTCCACAAAAACCTCTCTCTCATTGGAGCAAGGCCCGTTAAGCTCTGAAGAGAATCTCACTGCTCAAACTCTGAACATTGTTCCCTTTTCCTGCCCTCAAGCCTTCCGTCATGGTTCTAAGCCCACGTGGCATACCAACCACAAATGAGAGGCTATGACTACAACGTCAATGAGTGAGTTAAGAACAAGAACTGTTATAAAGTGCCATCCTCAACGTGGGGCAGTGAAAGAGCTGTTATATAAGGGAGACAGAAAAGGAGATAGAGCACATTGTAGGATATACAGAAATACTGGGATGTTAGGTGGAAACAACATACTTGTCAAGACTAAAGCATTAGTCACCAACCAACCAACCAAAGACACAAAATATGTAAATGCTTTAAGAATTTTATTAGCATATACAGCTCTGGGTCACTTACCTTATCTCTAGTGATCTTGTAGCATGGGTTACGGCGTTTTGACCCACACATTTCTTCGATCTTATCATGCACCTTTTTTCCAATCCAAGCTGCATTTTTGTGAGATTGAAGAAGACTATATGGAGTATCACCCTGCAGACACACAGTTAAACTTACATGAGATCTAAGTTTTGAGTTTAGTGTCTGCACTGAGAGAAACTGTGTCTTAATTACAGGCATAAACATTCACTTTCTGTTATCATTATGCTGGCACCAAATCAGTACACTCCTTTTATAATGACTGATTTCTGCAATTTCCATCCTCATACTGCATAGCAGAATAAATTAATATACAATCAATGTATTATATGTGGGATTTTCTGAGAAAGAAATTACTGTTATCAGCCATTACGGCAACAAATATACAGTTAACTCCGTACTACTCAGCCATGGATTATCCAGTTTGCATTCAATCATGATTCCATGTACGGTTCTTTCATTTGTTCCTTATAATCACATATTGTTAGACAAACACACACACACACACACACACATGAACTAGGTTGAATGTCTTCTCTTGCCTCAAATAACCAGTGCAAGTGTTGAGAAAGGAAAAGGAAAGATGATCTAACACAAAAAACAGGGGAAGGTAATGACACACATAGCACTGTTTCCAAACATTCTTTCTTTGGGTTATTGTGTGTCAAAAAGATGAGCATCTATGAGGAGTGAAAAGGTAGGTGAGATGTGCTATTATCAGTGTGAAGATTCCCCCCCCCCAATGTCACAGCGATAATACAACCCATGGATCAAGTTGTGATTGTGTCAATGAATGACAATATCATGCTTTCCATTTCAGTGCTCCTGTCATGGTATGGAGGGGGGGAGAGGGACTGACAGTAACAAATGCTGTATTTGGCATGTGTCAGCTGCAGTCTGCAGTAAAACCAGCAGGGCTTCTTCAATCATGGAGGAAACTTCTCCCAGATTTGGAATATTCAGAATTTATCCAATGAAGAAATAAACAGATCTGAAATTAGTGATCCAGCGGATGTTTTAAAAGTGTCTGAAAAAGAAAATAAAAAAATTAAAAATGGCTGCAGAGTAACAGCATGAACCTGGCTTACAGAAAATGAATGGTACAGACATTCTTAGTGCTTCCCAGATTGACTGCTAGATCCATTCGGTTTCAGTCACTTCAGCACACCAAACAATGAAATCTGAAAACGATTCTCTTTCATCATACGTGTAAAAACCATTCAAGTAACTGAAGTCAACAATCTGAATCATCTTCATTCAGAATATGAAGCAGTCTGTGTACAGTTTCCACTTCTCTAGTCTCACAAGAACATTGCCTTACAAACTGTGTGAAGGCCTGTAACACTATTACAATATTTCCACCGTCAGTTACTTTCAAGGTCTTCCTAATCATCCTTTGTTCACCTTATGTACTGTTCCATCTGCCTCAAACTTATCATGCAACCTTGCAATTTTTGTGTGTTGATGGTGGGGCTCCAAATTCATTTCTCCAGTCTTTACACCTCAGTCACATACACTTTTAAATAGCACTTTAGGATAAATTTTCATTGCTCAAACATTAACTGTGGTTCCACAATTTTGTTTTACACTGGATACTGCCATCTAGTTCAGTGTACCAGCTCTAAGAGCCATGCACTTCTTTCAAATTCAACACTAACATGACTTCAAAATACTATCACTCAGTCTCCATTTTTTACACGTGTTAACACACATAATGCATTTACATTTTTCTGGAACACTCTGGATTTGTTTCTAGCGGTTGAGGAGAACACCTGAGCATTCATCTGAGGAATAAGGATTGGAATTAAAGAAGCATGTACTGACCTGTGCATTGGCAATATCAAGGCTTGCCCCCTGAAGTACAAGAGTAGAGATGGCGGTATGGTTCTGAGCAAGGATTGCCCAGTGCAGTGCTGTGTTACCTTGCAGCTTATCTTGTATTGTTGTGCACGCACCAAACGTTAGGAGGAGACGTGTTGGGTCAAGACTACAGTGCAAAAAATGATAGAACATTCAAATATCTTACCAACTTCAAAGGAAATTGGTTTCAACATTAGAAAGAATCACCAGAATGTCCCACAATCCAGTACTGTAAATATGAGGGTACATGCACGGTTAGTCACATCATCCTGAAGATGGAGACATAAAACGTCTATGAAATGTTAGCAATTCACCCTTCAAAATTATCACCAGAACACCAAGCCTCAACAAATTATCACAAAACACAAAAGCCTTAGGATTTGAAATACTGTTTACTGTTAACGATTATCCTCTTGGAGCTCCAAACAGGAGTTTATTTCAGAAACTACCAGAAAGCGAAATCTCGTATTTCTTCAAATACATTTCACCCTTTAGCCCTTTAATACTGCCAGAGTCCCAGTAATACAAATTTCTGGTTTAGACTATGACAGCCCACAAGTCATATCAGCACATTTCACCTTCATCTTATTCTGTGTAGATATTGCTGGAACTAAATCTATGTCATCTGCCAAAAAAGTTGAATTACAAGTATGTATCAGACTGAACACATTCATCAACACCGGCTTCACAGTTTAGGGCTAACTGACCTGTTCCACCTATATTTGAAATTGGTCATACCACTTCTTTTCAGGTTATCTGATTATCCTGTGTCCACGTGGTTGCTATTCCCATGCTACTCCTAGCAGCCATGCACCTTATATTCTCATCACATGGGCTTCTCAATTATTTCCATATACTGTACGTTCATATTACAAATACTTTCTAATCCTAATTCTGTTCTTATACCTTTATTGTTTCTTTTTAACAAGTACAAGTAGCATGTATTCTGCTGCTGTTCTCAGAAACCAGATTTCAACTGCTTTCATCTTCTTAACTGTTCTCCTTTTAGTATCCATATAAATTTGCAACCTGTAGCAGTAATGGGATTTCTGTTATCTTACAAAATTTCAGCAGGGTTTCCTTTCACATTTTCTTATGCAATGTTCCAGAGAAATATCAAATTTATTTAACCTGTTTTCTACATCTTATACTTTCACACAAATACCTAAATTTATTTACTTCATCAATTACATGTCTTGATACAATGTTCCTCTAACTGGTTTATAACCTACAAGGTTCATCATCTTGCTCTTCTTGCAAGGATTCTGATACTAAATTCTTCAGTAAATCCAGGTAAGGTAAAGTTGTCCCTGTGCTTGACTAATTAAGCACTACGCCATGAAGGCATATGGGGGAGTGGATGTATAGACCAACATTTTCTCAACCTCGGCCCTAGTTGAAGCTTCACGCTCTGGCCGCTTTACCCCCAGGGAAAGAGCTCCCTGTNACTAGTTGGACATGAGTGGTCAGCTTCACGCTCTGGCCGCTTTACCCCCAGGGAAAGAGCTCCCTGTATCCATTGGTTAAGAGGCTGGGTGGGCCCATAGCCAGTCTGGACAACATGGAGAAGTGAAAACTCTTGGCAAACTCTAACCCGTCAGTCATCTAGCCCATAGCCAATCATTATACCGACTGCGCTAACCCATAATTCTATTGTCTTAAAAACCACTTCTTGTATAACTCATCTTCAGACTAGGTTATCACTATCTGGCCATATGAAAAATTGTTTACTGTTACTCTTCTTTACATAGGAGTTTGCCTGTAGTGTGTTCATCCATATTGTCACATGTTACAATGACTCTCAATGGGTTCTAGATTGGAGACTGGATTTACTGACCACTTTAACACAAGACTTAATTATAGCATCATCACTGATTCACACTTTACCAATCATGACAGCACATGCTAAGTTTTTGCAGTCTACTTTCACTGGTCGTTTCCCGGTAATGATTTTAAGAATGGACATTCTTCAACTGCACTGACCAAGTCTTCTCCTCAAAGTCTCCCATACAATTCCAGTCATCCTTCAATTGTTCTCCTTATAACCGTGAACCAACAGAAAACACAACTCTACTGTTGTTGTTCCTGTTGTTTCCATGGGAATGTGTTTATTTTCACAGGCATTACCCAGTATTGGCTGCATATACTTGCTTATTAAAAATCTGTTACCTAGCAGCGAATATTGTTTCGGTGTTTGTTTCAAGGTCATTACCCAGTAATGGTTCAACATGCTACAGTACTTTAATAATCTGTCAATATGTACATTAAATTACATTAAAAGTGGGAAAGACAGAGTTCAAATGTCCTGTGATTATGATGCAATAATCCATATCTATCATACAACAGCGTGACTGTAACAAATCACACAATTCTTCTAATTGAAGAAAGCAGTCTTCTGGGATTTGGCACCGTGTATATGTGGTGTCTGCTTTTACCGGTTCTCACGGTCTCTTTGCTTACAGATTTCTTATATATTTTTTCTTCTACCCTGAAGATGGAGGCGATATGTTCCTCCAAAACGTCGGTTAACACCACATATACACGGTGCCAAATCCCAGAAGACTGCTTTCTTCATAGTCACCGCCGTGAAAGCCTCAAATCTTACAATTCTTCTAATTCTTTTACCACTCTTTCTTTTGGAACATAACACCCAATAATTATATGGTCTCTTCCTACTTTCTAACATAACGACATTCTTTTACATACTATGTAAATGAACGGATTCTGCTCCAACAACTGTGTACTGACAATACATTTTTTCTTCAGAAGCTACTTATGGTTAAAGGTACCGTTAACCTACCTTGTGTCTCATTCTCATCTAAAACTGCATTCCAGATGCTAACTGCAAGCACTTACACCCTTCAGATTTTAGCCAACAGCAAATATCTTACAAGAGACACCATCTGAACTTCTCTCCAGTCAAGTAGCCTGTTTGTGTGTACTGTATCACAAATTGGAGTTTTCCAATGACTGTCTCTGTGTTTTGAGTTAAAATTATAATAATGAAAGAGAGAAGCTTAGACTTGACTGCAAAACTTGAAATAATACACCATGTGAAGCTGGTGACTCATCAAAGACCAAAATAGGAAGACAGCATGAACTGCCTTCTTCAGTATTCACCCAACTATCACAGTATATTATTTGAAGTTTGCATTCAATGTGTATTCAAATCATGGCATTTAGAACCTGCAACATAGCATATGTATGAGTGTAATGATGAGGCTTAAACTTCTCTACACGTTCCTCAAGCTTGATGCAAACTGACACGTTTATTCTCACACATGCATACACACGAGCAGTGAATTATGGGCAGAAAGTGGATGGGACTTGTAGGTATGCAATAAACAGTGCACAGAACTTTTCCTTGCAAAGAATGGTTCCCTATTAGCTATCAGTTTGGAGCACAAGAGGTTATGTAAGTATGACAATGAAAATGTTGAATTATTCTCATTTCCATACTTTCGTGACAACCACTTCAGGAAAGAATAAATACCAACACATCAGCATTATTTTTTAATTTACTGCCATATTGTGATTTATGTAATTAAAACTTAAGTTATGTACTTCAACAATTTTTAATACTACAAGTACCTGTTAGACAAGCACTACAAACTTCATAGGTTCTGAAAAAGTTCTATCTTCTGAGTAAAATGCCATTTATCCTCGTGAAAGTCAATCACTGTTTCCAAAGAACACACCAGCTTCATCTTCAGGGTCAAGGAGTATGCCAAGCAAGCCACCAGATTACAGCAGGCAGCAAGCAGAGCTCATGCTGATTGTTGCTTTTGAAGTTAATATATTTATTGTAAGATTTTATTGATCTACACGGCACCACATCCCAGAAGACCGCTTTCTTAATAATAATTATATAATATTAATAATAATAATATATTTTACTATTTGGTATTTGGCCTGAATCCTGTAATGTGATAACCACAATGTTGAGCAATAACCACACCAAGATCGGAGGTCACAGTTGGAAACATAAGGGCCCCTTCTCTATGTTACTCCTTCATTGTTGTTTGTATTCTTCATCTGCTAACTGCTATATCCTCTGAGTTCTATTACAACAGTGTCACTGAATTATTTAATGCACTGTGCTGCTTAACCAGGACCATCTCAAGTAGTTGTTAAAATGTCCCAGGAAAGATAATGGTTTGTTGCCTGATTATGCTTACCATCTCATGGACTCATTTTCTACTTGCTGCCTTCTTCACTGGGGTCTTCGTTGGCTTACCCTTCAACCCTGAAGATTGAAGCCATACATTCCTAAGAAATGTTGGTTGACTTTCAGGTATATATTCCAGAAGGTAACATTCTTCAGTCACTGTCGTGAGAACTTCAAATCCAGCTTCAGAGGATCTCATTATACGGAGGCTACATTGTACCCCATAACAGAGCACCATGTCATTAGTAGTTTTTTTCCCCCTTTCATCTTTTCTTTGTCAGAGAGAGTACTGCTATCTTTACATCACTTCCTTTATTAGTTTTGCTAGTTCCAGCTTTCTGTACATAAAGCCCTTTATGTTTCATGTTGCTACTTTACTTGTTTTCATAATTTCTAAATGTTTAAGTCAGTGCTAGATTTGCCCACCATTGTTTTGTCAGTCTTGCATTTTGCATTTTGCATTTTGGAGGATTTCAATACGGTTTCTTTTGCACTGTATGGGTACCAATCCTTCTTATAACCCCCAACTTGGAAAACCTGACATTTCTAATCGAGGTTACCTTCTGCCAGATGAGTTGTTTTTCCAAAATATGGGCCTTGGCTTCCAAGGTTTTTTGCGTGAATACCCTCTCTTAGACTTTTGTGTTCCTGCATCAAACTTAAAGGGCAGTAAGTCCAGCCATGATCGAGGACCCACACTTTGATTTGTTTACTCCGTTCACCGAGTTCACCATGTGAAAGTGTTCAATGAGTTGGATCACAGAGATTAAGAGCCACAACTTACTGTCACCTTGCATCCTGCATTCAATCCCACAACCCCACCGGAAAAGTTAACATCATTAACACTGAATAATTTCAGGAATGAAACTTGTGAAAATACAGACATAACCTCCACACTAAGTCATTCACTTCATGCTTGGAACACAGAACTGCAATAGGTTCTGACATCAATTTTATTATAAATACCCAAAACTACACTTCATCAACCTCACACACAGAGGACATACATTTAACACTTTACCTAGTCACTTTATAGGCACTCCACATGAGTGGTGTCATGCCATTGCGATCCTGCATGTTCATGTTGACGCCCTTTGCAACAAAGTATGCTACAATGGCAGTGTGACCAAACTGTGCTGCTAGGTGTATGCAGGAGCAGCCTTCACCATCCCGCAAGGAAGGATCTGCCCCATGCTGCATTAGCAGAGTGACACTGCCCAGATGTCCTTGCCTGAACACACCAGCACATTAATTCATTAACCTTTACCAGTCATGCATTACATCTTTTAATACCAGTACCACTACTCCCCCCACACTTCACCCCCTTAATAGCCCTGTAGTACCAGGAGATTTATAATCCCCTATCCTTGGATGATACATTTGATTACCTTAGAGAATGGATTTGCTACTGTATGCTTATTTTAGTATAAAACAATGTTCTAAGAAGAGCTTAGGACGCTTTCTTCCTTCAAATGTTACAGTGCCAAATGCTGAGACTAGCAAGTGTTATAAATGAACACTAATTATTTATCCATTTCTCTGCATAATTTTCACTGGTTCACATTTGGATTAATTTAATTTTGTCACGTATGATCTCAGTGTTTCATCCTTTGCCATGTTTGCAATTGTGGACATGGAAACAAGGTTTCATATAGAATTTGTAGGTATATTTATGATTTATCTCCATATGAAACGTTACATGCCTAGCTGCAGTTATTGACATCAAATCAAAGGTTAAACATATGTTTGGTGCAGTTGTCATACTGTTTATATTCTAAAAAACAATTACAGCAAAAGCTGCATACTTCTCAAATATCAACACAACCTTTTTTTTTAGAATCCTACATTAAATGGAGACGGGGTCACTACAGCCTCACACATTCACACAACCACCATGTCAGTATTACTGGTGGTAAGAAATCTGAAAGTAGAGACCTGATGTTCATACCAACTTTCATGAAAATATTGACTGTTGATATAGAAGTAAACGTGGAGAAAGCCACACATACTGATATAATAAGCCTAAGAACAGCTGGGGAGGTAATCAGAAAAATATATTCTAGCATGTACAGCTATTGCTGTGTGAAAAGCAAAATGTATTGCTTGGCAACAGCCAGTAAACATGTTAACAATACCCTGGCTACCGCTAGGGAACTGCTTGGTAAACAGGTTCCCACGGCAATGGATATGCATGCAATGGTCAAGGTATTGTTAGACTATAACAATGGAAATTGTGTTTTCTCTGTGGTTCATGTTCAAATATTATATAAGCAGGGTCAGTCAAGTTCTGTAGTATACACTTGACAAAAGGCCAAGCGTATTCATAAGGGAACTGCTTGGTAAACAGGTTCCCACGGCAATGGATATGCATGCAATGGTCAAGGTATTGTTAGACTATAACAATGGAAATTGTGTTTTCTCTGTGGTTCATGTTCAAATGTTATATAAGCAGGGTCAGTCAAGTTCTGTAGTATACACTTGACAAAAGGCCAAGCGTATTCATAAGAGACAAACCCATCTTCTCATCAGAGAGGATGTTACATAAGGACTATTACTACAAGAGTTCTGTTGGAAAAAATCTCTGGTCATGGGCCTCAAGGGGCCTGATGCCAAGATGAACTGATTGGCAGTAAACTGCCAGTTGTAAAGTAACTTTTACTTTGACTTTGTTCTGTAGTAGTCAGTTGTCAGCAGTTTAGTTGAGTGAAGTGATGAGAAGTAGCTGGTTGGTGAGAGAGTTCAGTTGTCAGTTGAGAGTCAGCCAGTGAAGAGAAGACTAGGATGCTGGTGTGAAATGGCCGCCAGCCTGGAAACCAGTTACAGGAGTTGTCATTTGATAAGAGTTCTGCATGGACAGCTGTGACAAGAGGACCTGAGTGCAGGAAACTGANGCTTCACGTCAGAGAGGCTGTTACATAAGGACTATTACTGCAAGAGTTCTGTTGGAAAAATTCTCTGGTCATGAGCCTCAAGGGGCCTGATGCCAAGATGAACTGACTGGCAGTAAAATGCCAGTTGTAAAGTAACTTTTACTTTGACTTTGTTCTGTAGTAGTCAGTTGTCAGCAGTTTAGTTGAGTGAAGTGATGAGAAGTAGCTGGTTGGTGAGAGAGTTCAGTTGTCAGTTGAGAGTCAGCCAGTGAAGAGAAGACTAGGATGCTGGTGTGAAATGGCCGCCAGCCTGGAAACCAGTTACAGGAGTTGTCATTTGATAAGAGTTCTGCATGGACAGCTGTGACAAGAGGACCTGAGTGCAGGAAACTGAAGAATCTCCCTCGGAAGAAGCCATTGCCAGGAAAAGGTTCGTGGAGACTTATATACTGAGGATAATAGTCTGCATGTGTCATTCATCTGTAAAGTATAATTCCAAGTGGTGTATACAAGTGGTCAATAAGTACATTCAACAATCCAGAGCCCATCTACAGTCACACACAAAAATCGTGACAATATTAAGAGAAACAATATATAAAGCTGTGAAATGGAATGAACATGCTTAGGATAGGGTCAGATGGCTGTTGTGAAAACAGTGATGAACCTTTAAGTTTCATTAAAAAAGGAAATTTCTTGACCAGTTGCTCAATGAAAACCCTGTGGAAATTACCAAACAGAATCTACATGATTTTACAGAGCAACAAGGTAAACAAAGTGTGTAATTGGATATACAATTAACGTACACAATTTTCCTTAATACACAAACTAAACATAATGTGGCATGTTGATCGAATGCTAGACAATGACAGCAAACAAACAACCAGACAAGGGCTGTTACTAGGAAATGACCCATAAACAGCAACAGAGGAATGGTGTTTTCTGTGCAGTCCATGCCAAGATGTTTTAAGCAGGGTACTTAGTGAGGAGTTAGTTCAGTCATTCAGTGAAGCAGAGTCCATTGGTTGGTGAGTGAATGAGTGGAGTTGGTTGGTGAGTTAGTGAGCTAGTCAGATGACTGCTGGTGTTCAGTTGCTGTGAGCTGCTGCTGTTAGAAGCTGGTAGCTGAGGCTGGGGACCGTTCAGGAACCCAGAGGAAGGGGTACATCTGCCGTTGGAAGCCATTACCAGAAGACTGGTGAAGACACAGCAGGCTAAGAAGACTTAAGTGTGTGCTCCAGTGAACTGTATGAGTAAAGTGTGTGAATTAATAAAATGATAATTACTTGTAGTCATGGATCTGTAAGAGTTCAATAAATCCAATTACCAATCCAAAACCTGTCTATAGTCACTCTATCATGTGACAATAACAATATCTCACCTTGTTGCCCAGTGCAATGGTGTCGCCAAGAGTTCACCCCCAACTGCATCAACAACTGCTCCCTTGCTGATGTAATAACGAATTATCTCACGACGGTTGTTGATAGCTGCCCAGTGCAGAAGCGTGACTGTCTCACTGTCGGGCTGGTTTACATTAAAACCTGCCTCTACCAGCTCTTGACAACGTGCAAGGGACCCATACTGAAAAAGGATCTTGTTAATATTCAGCTCCGTCACATTGTGAATTTTAGCAATATTACACTGCAAATGTATCCAGCAAGCCTAACTAACTCTCTCACTGTTAAGCCTTTTGTTACAGGCAAGCAAGAATTGTCAAGCTGTTCTTATAAGTTAAATAAACTACAAATCATAGTACCTGTACCCATGATAAGAAGCAGGTTCAGAATTACTAGGTTTCTGGACTTTGTCTATTATCAACATAGTTTTTCTCAAATAGCTGAACCCAGCAGCCATGATTACGAGAAGAACAACCAAGCAACAGTTGAATGTGCTTTAAGAGATAAATGGATAGTGAAAGAAACAGTCAGCCAGCATAACTATGCAGTGTCTCTATTATGGTTTATCTTGCATCACTCTCGACTGCAGCCGCAAATGACTTACTGTAACATATATCAGATCCCTTTGTATTTCTGTTCTAGTAAGACATTCAGTAATCTGTTTTGTATTTGCATTTACAGCACTGAATGTTGATGGTGTAATATATACATGAGCAGCAGGTTTTTCTATGAGATACTTATGTGAAAAATAAATCATAAAAATTGTGTAAAAGAAGATTTCACTGTATCTTGGTATTTGAGTTCCAACGCAGCCTCCGTAGTCTAGTGGTAACGTTCCCACCTCATGACTCAAGGTACGCGGGGTCAAACCCGGCAGAGGTCGTGGAATTTTTAAGGGCAGAAAAATTCAGGGAACAAATCCTCCAGGAGGGACTTTAAGCCGTGGGTCCCATGTCATAGATTTGCGGCATGTAAAAGATCCTCATGTCTCTATGAGACCCCTGAGCAAAATTAGGTAAAAAGTTTCCCGCCCAAGTATTTTCCAATGCCTCCGGTAGATGGGGGAAGTATCGGGTACCACGGCGAGTAGAGGGGCCAAACTCACTGGCTGAACGGGGCTGATAGCAAGCACCAGTATCGGAAGGGTATGGCGACTGGTAGAATATCAAAGGGGGACGTACAATAGATCAACAACTGGTCGCAGTGCATGGGGAAACCCACCCCCTCCAATAATGAATAAATGAATGATTTGAGTTCCTGCTTCATCAGTGTTTTTCAAACCAGTGAAAAATGTGGGTTCAACAGGGTCTTTCTTGAACAAGCAATATACTAGACAGAATACTGTGACAACTGGGAAAAGCTTGACAAAACTGAAGGTGACTACATGGGAAGAGAGAAATTTTTATAACTGTTTTTTCAGGCAGTACATGAGAGTCCCCCTCGTTGGTGGCTCCACCTAATCGTGGTGAGGGGGTTTGAGTATGCCAAGGACCCTGAGAGCTATACCAGCGGTAGCGTAGCTACTGGCAGGGCCTCCCTTGCTGGACAGGTCAAAGGGTAGGCATCAGACGAAGAGAGACACCAAAAACTGATGCCGGAAGCAGCGTCATCAGCAGCGACTTGAAGCACAGAGTAAATAATGCTCGAGATGGTTCAAGTTCGTATAGCAACAGGCGTGACCAGAGTGGTTTGAACGGCTGTTGTACTGCGATGTGGAAAGCAAATGGAAAAACTACCACATTATCACTTTTCCTGGATAGTCTCTTTCCAAAACCAGAGATACCATGTATGCGAGATATTTCATTTGAAGGAGAAAGCTCTAGATCGCATCAAGTGGAGGAACTGTTTTGGAAGAGACTGTGGACCTGTCGTCTTGACAGATTACTGATGAATGAATGAATGACATGAGAGTGTTCTTTACTCAATACTTTGGTTTCTTACTGCTGAAGCTTGGTTCTATCTGAGTGAGTACACCAATGCAGCAAAAAATAGGTACTGGAGCAGTGTTAATCTGAGATATACTTCTAAAGTTCCCCCTTCAAGCCCAGAAGATTGGTGTGGTGTGCCACTACTGCTACAAAAATAATAGGACCCATATTTTTAACAGACTATTAATTCAAAGTGGTGTGTCAGTGACACTCAGTGGCCTATTTCTGAGAGCATTACAGAAAAAGGAAGGACATATGGTTATTTCATGTAATACAGTGCTATAGCACATGCCACTAATTCCTCAATTGTGCTCTGTCTGGATTATCTTGTTGATGGGCCAGAAAAACAGAAGTTTACTGGATAAAAAGTTCCAAGGCTACACAGGTTACATCCTAACACTTTGTTCAGAACTCCATTTCTCACAGACACAATGGAGTTGTAAATGGTGTTTATGTTCCCAAACCACCAAAATATCAACCTAACAAAGCCTCCTCATTACCTCACTTAGTTCACAGGCAAGGAAATGGGTTAACTACTGGAGGAAAACAATAAAGCATTTAAGGACCCTATCAATGAAGTATTAACATTACCTGTGTAGCTTTCACAATGTCAAAACTGCTGCAGTCATGCTCAGATGTTGTAGTGACTGGTTCCTGGAATATTGTGCTCGTTTCATTGCCCTTATCTCCATGGTAACCAGAACCAGGTTTGCAACCATCCTTAAAGAGGGAATAGAAATTTTGATGGCAGGTCCATTCTTCTCTTATTCCACTCATTTTACTATCAATCACTTCTCATAACCAAAAATTCGGTATATTCCATATACTTCTCATTATGACTGATCTTGACTGTGTTACACTGGAAATGGAACTGATTCTTGCTCGGCAGACCACTGTTGGTCACTGAATATTAAACAACAATTAAATCCTCCTGGCAAGTAAAGCCTCTTCCAAGAACACTGAAATTTTGCATTTTGCCCCCAAGTGCATGGACTATTATTTTACTGATGAAATCATCTATGCAGTTTCATTTAGGGATATGGTTTTATAAAATGCTGACATTTATCATAATCATTACAGCCATTTTCAAGAAAAACACCATTCTGTGTTCTGAGGCCCTTCTATAAGGTTCCAATTTTTAAAAATTGGAAAGTTCATATACACCAGGCATAGACCTGTGATGGTGCTAGGAAAGTGCTCATCCATACAGACAGTCATACAGACACATATTGTAGTACAAACATGCATAGACACATACACATACAGTATTCCAAAAACCACGTTTTTGGACTAAAGTGTGAAAACGTGTAAATCTGTCAAAATCTTGAGAACAATTTTTTCATCATCACAGTACTTCCTCACATTATAATTATGAGAAAGCAAAATTACAGTTGACTTGAAGGGTTTTGTTGAGGATGGGTGGAGAAAGTTTGTTCAAAATTTAGAAAGCAAAAGCTGAGTACCTGAAACATATCTGTATTAAAACTACATTCACAGATAATATATATGACAGGGTCATATGCTATCAAAATATCTGGAATGTATCATACTGAAGCATACATGACTGCAAAGATGTGTTCCATTTTTTCCTCATATTCCATTATAAAAAGTCTCACATGAGGTTGTAGAACTGGAAAAAAAATATATATACGTATATATCATGTACCAAAGTTTTATATGAGGCCTCTTTTTAAAGACACTCTTCCACATCTGCTGAAAGCCAGAAATTGTGAAGCCCGCAGAGACAGCCATTGCTAGGGAAAGGCTCTGCAACAACACCCATTTCTAGACAATGGCTCAGTAAATGTCATGTGACCGTGGCCATGCATATGTATGCAAAAGAAACGTGCTAGAAGCAGCATTTTCTGTACAGTCCATGCCAAGGTTATATAATGAGGTGCAGCAACCAATTTGAATCAGTATGAGAAAGGTTCTGGACCCTGGCTAGAAGGCCATGGGCAGAGCAATACAGTCTTGATGTCTAGGAAGTCCAGTCTAGAGACGTAAGGGCGTGAGGAATGGTGGGAGACCCTTTCAAGGGCACATCCATCCAAAAACAGAACACAGTAAATGTGTAGGTTTAGGTGCGTATTCTTTCGACTTGAAGTAAACTAAACATAAACATGAAGTAAACATAAACAAACATAACCAGGAAGTAATTGTCCGAAACAAATATTATTGTGTAACATATAACAATAGGTCATAAGTAGTGTATTCCGCACGAACATTAACTACTGGAGACAAAACCATTTTTGGTGGAATAAATGTTACAGGAAATGCGAATAAAACATTTGATAAAATTTTTCTGACATGCATATTCGGCCAGTATTTATTAGTGACAAGATTTACATCAGCTGCCACATTTTTATACATTATTGTGAATGTGTTCGTGATTATGACTGACAAATGGGGCTTGAACATTTGTTTATGTAGCCATAATTGCATGAATTTTGAGCCAGTTCATTATTGTATAAAAATTACGAGACAGAATGGTGTCATGCGAAGAATTCTGTAGTTTTTTAGTTAAAAATAACTTACTTGTGTTACAAAATGCATTGGGTTGCAAGTAGCATCAACCTCTCCGGCAATCATCGCAAATTGTGACCTTAGGATTTAAAACATACTCTGCACGATTCAGTTACATGAAGCATTCACTTCTGCGTAATATGTACACTCTTCTACATATAATAATTGAAGTTCCGGCTTCAGGTGTCAAAACGTAATATTCACTCATGGTCCCATTACACTGACGACACTGACATCGACCGACATCAGCACTATTATTTGATTCACATCGGTAACTGTTCTCCAACGTTTAATACTCTCTGACAAAATTTGTGTGACACTCGAAGGAAACTGCATTGCCGTTTCCACAATTTGCGCTGCTCCATTCTGTATCATACGTTCAGCTCGGAAATTGCGGTTGCCAGTTTCCTTTGTGTGCCCTCGTCCAGTAGCATCAGTAGGATTCTACAGTAGTGTAGTACTAGGTCTCAACGGTCTCAACAGCGCCAAAGACGCCAAAGACTAAAGCCCCTAACCGTGGTACCGCGTGGTACTTCTCCCGAACATAGAGCACTCTATCGGCAACACTCATACGTGTGAATGTCACACTGAAGACAGCTGAAGACAGAGTCTCGACCGGTCACGACGCAACAGATTGTGTTAAAAAACAGAAGTAAGTACTGTTTATCGCATTTACGTTATGTGCGGACGTGTATATGTGTATTGTCACCTGTTTCATTACGTTCGTAACCACGGCAACCAGGTATAAACAACATGGTTGTCAGATCGGCGTTGCGTATGCAGATGAATGCCTGTTCTGTTCAATAAATCCTCAACTTATGTTCAGGAATTGTAACAGATCATAAAATCAGATCGCAAATGTTTTCCGTGTCAAAGAGGATTATTTCTGTGATTATCAAAAATCGTTCTCGTGACAAGATTCTTCTTCAAGTTTGTTGCGGAGTTCAATGTGAAAATTATTGTAGTTCAGAAACAATAAGGAACGACGCAAAGAAGAAACGCGAATATGAAGTTATACCAGTTGAAAATATTAGAAATTTTAGTATTGTTGCACATGTGGATCATGGAAAGAGTACATTGGCAGATCGGCTTTTGGAGATGACTGGTGCTATTGAGAAAAACGGTGGGACAAGTCAAGTTTTAGATAGATTACAGGTTGAACGTGATCGTGGGATTACAGTTAAAGCACAGACCGCCTCTTTAAACTACACTGCAAATAATCGCGAATATTTATTGAATCTTATTGATACACCAGGACATGTTGATTTTTCAAGTGAGGTGTCCCATTCTTTGGCAGCATGCCAGGGAGTTATATTGTTAGTAGATGCTAATCAGGGAGTTCAAGCACAAACAGTGGCCAATTTTTATATAGCATTTAGCAAGGAACTCGTTATCATTCCTGTTCTTAACAAAATTGATTTGAAAAACGCTGACCCTGAAGAAGTGTCATGCCAGTTAAGGACATTGTTTGACATCAGTGAAAAGAATATATTGAAGGTAAATACAACTTTTGTCTGTGAATAGACCGACAGATCCATGGATTCTAATGTTCAGGATGTGAAACAGCAAATTTAGTAAATATCTTGAATACTATATACCTGACAATGCTGGGACTAAAACAAAATAAATTACAGAAGTCAATATTCTACAGTATAATAAATTATTGTCTAAGCACATATACAAGTTCACATATTCCACAAGAGCTGTACATACGATAGTTTTGGGGAAGGTTAACAATACACCATGTAGAATAATATAATAATATGGAGTGTGTTCCAGAAATAAGTACAGAAAATTGGAGGGTGACTAGTATGGCCCAAAACAATAAAAATAGTTTATATAAACATGGCTCTGAAAATGTTTTGGTAGTGAACTAGAACCATTCAAATATATTCCGGCAACAGTATAATTAAAACTTTGGTTATAAGAGTAATATAGGCTAGGGACACTTCTGAAGGAAATTGAAGTTAGAGTGTATGATGTGAATGACTATTTGTCTTTTATCACTACCACCTTCCCAATTTAACAACGTTGCTTACAGTTGTCATGTTTATAGTGATAGTGAGTTGACCACATACACTAGCCATGTGACATCAGCCATTAATTTCCAGTGACCTGTACATACACCCAGTACTGTTCTTTCAGTATTGTAGTTGCTTTGTTAGTCTGTCCTTAAAATCGACAAATACATATTCCAAGAATATGCTGATATGAACTTAATTCTTGTTGAAGCCCATGGTAACGGTGCAGTAGCTGTAAAGTTGTACATGGAGAGGTATCCTTAATGTAGGCTTCTGAACCCATGCATCGTTCACACCTTTTATCATTGCATCAGGGATACCAGTACTGTTCACCCTTTTACAGTAGACATCCAATGCTTACCCCTATCTCGTTCGCAAGTTCTCGGACTGTGATACGACGGTCCTCCATGACCAAAGTCCACACTTGCTCAATGACATTCTCATTTCGGCTTGTTGAGGGTCTGCCTGAACGCGGTTCGCTGTCCACTGATGTGCGGCCATCTTTGAAGCGGTTGTACCACCCCTTTATCCATGAGTTGCTCATGGCAATGTCCCCGAAAGCCTGTTGAATCTTGCAAATGGTTTCCACTTGGGTATCACCAAGCTTTTGGCAAAATTTGATACAATATCGCTGGTCATGTTGTTCCGTCATTTTATACCTTACTGGAATCCAGCGAGCACTCACTACACGTCCTCACTTATAGGCCAACTCCCAGCAACTGACGCTTTCTGTGGGCAGGAAAAAATTCACGACTGCACATGAATGTCCCCTCCACATCTCCATCGAAGGGAGCCTCCCACGCTTCATTAGTTTACGCGGGAAAAAAGAAGGCTCGATACTTTTTGAACACACCACGTATATAAACATTATGTATATTTATACACACACACACACAGAAAAATATGGTCACGAGTCATACTGGACCAGAACCAAAAGTGTCTGTTGGCAAGGTCCAGCAGCAATTTACCCAACCGACACACACCACACACATGCTCTCTGACTTGCTCAACATCCTACTTATTAATATTGTTGAGTGCATCTTTATCTGTCTGTTTACATATACGAGTACATGGAACACTACATAAAGGTTCCGATTAAATTCTTAATTGTAGTCTGCTAATCATCAGTGGAAAAAACCCTGTTTGGGCCATAACATTCCTTAGAAGATTCTGCCAAATTTATCTATTCCTGGCTAGGTTTTTCCATTCCCCCCCCAAGTTTTAAACATCACTGTCCACTCCATCTCAGTTTAGGCCTTCCCCTTTTTCTTATGCCTTCTCATTTGACATAAAGTGTTTTAGAAAGTTGTTGCTGGTCTATTCAAACATAACAAGCCCACTTTAGTCTACCCACTTCTGTAAAGGTTATAATATCCATCTCCTCATACAAGGCATACAATTCATAATTCTCAAATCACTGTTGACTTTAATTGGGCCATGTATGTAAATGCATCGTTCAGTTACATTTACATATACAGAAATACATAACTCCATATTCAACATTCTAGTAAAAACACACACCAAATAACCCCATCTCTTCAACACAGTATCCTCCCCCCCCTACCTCATACCACTCGACTCTATACAAACATGCCCACATATACAGATACCCCCCAGACAAGTAGTCTAGACCAAATTGCTACAACATAGTGACAACATTAACACAAGGAGCAGCCCATATACATATTATCATAAAATAATCTAATATACTTAATAACCTAATAATGAGTTTAATAACAACAAACTCAAAAGCTTCTCCTTATAATAATTAAAAAACTGTTACAGATCACTCCAAATAAACAACCTGTTGGGTGACATACAGAATAACAATCATAAGCTCCACAAGACAATAGTAGGTCAAGACCACACGACCTGACTTATGTGAGAAGATCCTGGTATGCAGGCACCCCACACTATAGTCGCTTCTACCAACAGTAAATCACGTCATCGCGTAGCAATCATAAAGTTTTAAAGAGATTTATCACAGAATACTTCATTTCCATTTCAGTACAATTTTAATTTTTATGTTTTAATCTTTAGTCTCTGATTTTTTATTTTTATTATCCGAGTACTTAAAATTTTAACCAAAAGACTCAATTTATGCATTTAAGAATTCATAAGTGCACAATAAGGATCCGTATTGAAAAATTAGATGTAAATTGTTAGATGCAATGCAGCAACTGAGTCTGGTATCAAGGTATGCCTGATGATGACCTAGTATAAGGGTTGAAACATGTACCATCAGTAAAAACAAATGTTGATACGATAGTGTCTACTTTGTTTTAAATACAGAGTATTGTTGTGTAGACTGCATGCTTTTGTATACATTTTATGTACCTTGTTTAAGACACACAACAGGATGCATACTACTAAGATTTGGAGGAATGTCAATATTCAGGTTAAGAGTGATTGGAGTGAGCGTGCAGCCAAATTATGGAGGCCAGGTCACTTGCATAATGCTCATTCAGAGCTATGGGAGGGGGAGGAAAATTGAAACAGAATTCTAAGAAACTACCCTTTCATTTAAAAGAAAAATCAGGGAGGGTGACATGGGTGATGGGCACTTAGAGCACTTGGAAGGGCAGAGAAGAGCAGGCAGATCCCTGTCCAGACCAGTAGGGATGGTAAAACTGAATTGTGAGAAACTGCTCTTTCATATCAGGAGGAAGAAACTGCCCTGTATATAAACTGGAACTGTGAGAAATTGCTCTTTGAGGAGGAAGGAACTGCCTTGCAGTTTCTCATAATTTCACTTCCTCTGACGTGTTACTAAATTTGGATTTTGTTTAGAGTTACATATCCTGAATCAGACAACTCACATAATAAAACCAGTCAGCATGTTGTAAAGATATGCACATGTAATTATGTAGGCAAGGAAAATAAACTACTAATGATTTCATGCAACAGGATGCAACAAAACAAAATATGCATAGAAACTTTATCATTCAGAGAGTACTGGTTTTAAGTGATGTCAAGTTTTCGTGATATCAGGTTTCACTGTGTGTATAATTTCTGTTCTTACCTTAGTGTAAGTCCCTATTTATCATTAGCTATTGACAGAGAGGATGTTGCATAAGGACTATGACTGCAAAGATTCAGTTGAAAAAAAAATGCCTGGTCATGAGCCTTAAGGGGCTTGGCGCCAAGACGAACTGATTGACAGTAAACCACCAGTTGTAAAGTAACTTTGACTTTGCCTTTGACATGTTTCATCCTGTCATTTTGCAACAGCCACTAACCAACATTATAGCCACTGAAATCAACTGACCATCTGAACTGAAATGTCAATTTCATGTCTCATATCATGTATAATGATCCATGGACACGAAATAAATGAAATGAAATGAAATGAAATTGGGAAAGTGAAGCCAGTAAGTTTCTACAATTTAACCACTGATAGAGACTCACAGAATTATTGGTTTGCAGTCCTGTTCTTTCCAAGTGTTACTTCAGATGGACATTTTAGACTTTAACCTTTTCTTACAAGTTACATTATATATGATAATCAACAATTCTAATCCCTTTGTGTATTGAAATTACCATGGTCTATCTTATCTGTACCCTCTAACATTTTTTTCATTTGTATTTCACTCATCATAATTTCCACTGTTATGCTTACTTTCCATCTGTTCTATTTGTGTTAATGAAAGTTGGAACAAAGGAGAGGAATGTGTAAGAAAGTTGAGAGAAGCTCAAGAAAAATGAAGGATATTAAATGGAAATGTGCTCTAGAAGCTTCTGATTACAGTCTTCCTTCTCTGCAATAAGATTTCAGTTGTTGTTGTTGTTGTTGTTGTTGTTGTTGTTGTTGTTGTTTTTGGAGAGGGTGGGTTTCCCCATGCACTTAGACCAGATATTGGTCCATNAAGTTTGGTACAGGAGTTGAAGATTTACTGCAAGCCATAATAAACAGACTGCCACCTCCCCCTGTTAATCGTGATGCTCCATTCCGTGCCCTTCTTTTTGACAGCTGGTATGATCGCTATCGAGGGGCTGTGATATTAGTCTATGTTACAGATGGTACAGTGAAAGTAGGAGATGAGATTGTGGCAGCATATTCAGGCAAGAATTATGAAATTAAAAGTACTGGATTGTTGCGACCCCATGAAGAGCCAACAGATAAATTGTAAGTATTATGTATTATACAAGTACTTTGTTATAAGTCACATACAAAACACAATACAATACAGTTACACAGTTTACTAACAGACCTTTCCTTTTCCCTCTGGTATTTGGACATACTTTCTGTGTCTCCAGAAAATGTGAATTCCATGATTGGTTACTTTAATTTATTTTACATTACATTTTTTGGTGTTGTACTCAGCTGGAGTTTACTGTAAGTATGCTTTCTCTGCAGTCAAAACCAAAACAGTATAAACATGTTTTATGTTGTATTAACTCACATCTATAATCACTCACTATTCACAGGGATCTTCCCTGTTTGTCTTAAGATTTCAGTAGTAAGACCACTATACTGAAAGGGGGACAAAACTAATATGTCAAACTACAGGCCAATCTCACTGTTAACTACATTCTCTAAAATACTTGAGAAAGTTATGCACAATAGTTTAAGCTGTTATTGTCAGACTAATAGCATATTAGTCCCAGAACATTTTGACTTCAGGAAAGGAATGTCCATTGCAAATGGACTTGCAAATTAACTAACAGTATATTAAAATCTATTAATAAAAAATGCATGTTGGTGGAATATTCTGTGATTTGGCAAAAGCTTTTGACAGTGTAAATCACGAAATATTATTGTCTAAATTACAGTTTTATGGCATTCGAGGGGTAACAGCAAATTGGTTCAGATCCTACCTAACAAATAGAAAACAAAAGATTGAAATAAAACAATTAAACTTAACTCAAATTACCTTCTCAAGCTGGGGAGCAATAAAACATAAAGTTCCCCAGGGATCAATTTTAGGGCCTATGCTTTTCTTAATTTATATAAATGACCTACCTCCTACTTTGAACATGCCATCAATCACCATATCTTCTGATGACATGTTATAATTTCTAGCAAAAATTTAGGTGATTTCTGCACCCTATCAAACAAAGTTCTTTCTCAAATGAGTAAATGGTTCACTGCAAACAAGCTACCCCTGAACCTAGATAAAACAAATGTAATAAAATTTATAACAAAAAATTCACCACAATATCCATTAAACATTGGGTATAATGACGAATATATAGAAGAGGGAGTAAATACTGAATTCCTCGGTCTACAAACTGATAATCACCTAAACTGGAAAACCCATACAGATCAGCTGGTTCCAAAGTTATGTGAAGCATGTTATGCAGTTAGATTTATGTTGCACATCAGCAACATTGACACTATTAAATCAATCTACTTTGCGTACTTTCACTCTCTAATGAAGTATGGAATAAATTGGGGGGAGGGGGAAATTCATCCAACAGCAGAAAGGTATTTATATTGTAAAAGAAAATTATGAGAATCATGATGGATATCAAATCCCGTAACTCTTGTAGAGACCTATTTAAGGGACTACAGATCATAACTTTCCCATGTGAATATACTGTTGTGTGTAGGGTGGCACGCATGATGAAAATGATGGGTTCTAGTTCGGATGATTGGATTTATTAGCACCTTGGTTACAATCTCTCTTAATCACATTTAAATACAATGTTATCACTGATTTACAAAATTTACAGTTTGCCATTGCACACACACTAGGATTTTGTTTCCACTAGTCGTCTCCTAGCAACAGATCTCAACACAGAAACTAAAACTTCAAATCACTATGAAGTCTTCTACAGACTTCCCGTGGCTGTCTTCCACCGAGAACTCAGAACTCTGTTACTTACAAACTCAAAACTGTTATATCTGTAACTGGCAGTATATAGCCTCCACACCAAACACACACAGAAAACACAGTCCTATTGTTGCATAAGGAAGACCACAGAGAAAATGAGTCACATGATAGCTACCTCACCAGTCCATTGGCATGCTGACTTTTGCCTAGCAACGAGCTATAAACATTCATATTATTGTTGAGTGCGCTGAAGCAAGGTGTTTATCGCACCATTGCCTAGCTATACACATTCCAATATGTATTCATTGATAAACTTCATCACAAATAACATTGAACTTTCTCAGACTGATGCATATGTACATAGTCTTAACACAACGCACAAACACTGTCTTCATAAACAAACTGCTAACCTGTCATGCTTTTAGAAATGCGCATATTCAAAATCTTCAATAAACTGCCATTGGATATCAGAAGTCATATGAAGGAAACAGCACAGTTTAAAATAGCACTAAAACAATACTTAATCACACACTTGTCCTACTCTGTTGATGAATACCTGTTTGAATAGTGACTCATCTATGTGAGGGTTGTGTAAATAGAAGAAGTTGACAATATGAGATTTAAAGGTTGTATAAATAGCACAAGTTGACACTGTGATATATGTGAGTGGATATATCTCTGAATACCACTGTTTTTATTCCTGTTTTTAGATATTCTTAGTATTTATGTGACATGTTCCACATCCTACAGTCATTTGACTAACTTTTGGTCTGTGGAATGCAATGTAATGTAAATGTAATTATAAAGTGAATGTGTACATGGTGGTAGGATGGCAGGACAGGTGGGATACTTGACATGCAACATGCGCTCCACTAAAGAAGCACATATAGGAGACACTTTGCACCACAGAAACCAGTCTGTGAGCATGTTGCCAGGCTTTAAACCTCCAAACCCAATGGTATTTGCTGGTGTTTACCCCATGGACCAATCACAACACATTGCCCTACGAAGTGCCATTGAGAAACTTATGCTCAATGATTCAGCAGTGACAGTCACTACTGATTCCAGGTAAGAATGGATAAAAGCAAACTTGTTTTAAGTCTTGTAACTGTATACATCAGGAGCTGGTACTTTCTGATCTTGGTTATATTCAGTATTGGGAAGTGTTAGCTTAAGAACATATTAATCACATGTGTACAAATAACAGACCTGACTCATGGATACACTGAAAGTCCAAACATGAGCCTGACTTGTTGACCTTTTCCATCTAGATGCACCTTTTTGGCTGTTTCAGTAGGGTTCTAAAGACATGCAGTGTGCCACTTAGAGAAGAGCATTAGACATTACACACTGGCTACTCAAAGCTGCATAAATACATAATTTCCCGTTATTAAATATAGTATGATTGTGCATTCTTTACAAGTGAATTAAATGAACATACAATACAGCCATCCATTTATTACAGAGCTGGAATAGCTTAGTTGGTATAGTGACTAGGCTATGGGCTGGACAGCTAAGGTTCGATTCCTGATAGGGACAAGAGATTTTTTTCTCCATCATGTCCCGTCTGGCTCTAGGGCCCACCCAGCCTCGTATACAATGGGTACCAGGGGCTCTTTCCCCTGAGGTAAAGTGACAGGGGCATGGAACTGATTGCTCACCTCTATCTAGTACTGTGGTTAAGAATGGTGGAGCTATATACTTCCACTCCCCCACACATTTTCATGGCATGGTGCTTAATTAATTAAAGCCCAGAAATATCTTTAACTTCACCATACCATCCATTTATTTGCATGTTTTATCTTTGAACATAAAAACTACATGGATTTGACTCAAATTTGGTGTAGGTGGTCTACATTAAAGTTGCCATGCAATATGACTTGTCCCCAGCACATATTGTCTCTGAAATAGCTTGCATTCCTGCGTGTCCTGTAGCAATAGTCGTGACAGTAAGAGCATTAAATGTACTAAAGTATAGTAGGACTAGAATTGGATTATTAAAAATGATGACATAATTTTTTTACATACCATAAGTTTGGACAATGTGGTAGACTGATCACAGTGTTACAGTATAAAAGAAACTAGAGACCTAGAACTACACAAGTTATTCAGTAATAGATCATGCCTTGAAGCACGGCAGTCTATCTTTCTTAAAACATACATACCTGTCCTCTGATTGAACTCTGGATAGTTTTGTTATTTTGTGTAACTTTTGGGAAATTAGACTCTTAACATCATTTTCATGATTGTGTGTTCAGTCCAGCACTAGGGCAGGGCTGGAGGTTAGGTTTCCTTGGTTTGCTGCATCTGGAGGTGTTCAACCAGCGTCTTGAGCAGGAGTATGATGCACAGACTATCTTCACAGCACCAAGTGTCACGTACAAAGGTTAGTGGTGTTACTAAGGAACCTTTAATGGTAAGCTTCATGTATCTGTGCCTCATATAGGTCTATAACTAACTTCCCAACATTTTATGGAACCTGAAGATTCATTATAATGTTCACAAGAGCCCTCCAGCGGTCCCTGTCCTGAGACTGATCAATACAGTCCATACCACCCCATCCTGTCTCTCTAAGATCCATTTTAATATTGTCCACCCACCTATGCCTTGTTCTTCCTGCTGGTCCCTTTCCTTCTGGCATTCCCACCAGTATCCTATATGCATTCCTCTTCTCCCCCATTCGTGCTACATGCTGCCCATCTCATCATCCTTGACTTGATCATTCTAATTATATTTGGCAAAGAGTACAAGTTATGAAGCTCATCATTATGCAGTTTTCTCCAACCCCCCTATCACTTCATCTCTTCTGTCAAAGTCTTCTCTTCACCACCCTGTTCTCAGACACCCTCAGTCTGTGTTTCTCCCTTAATGTCAGAGAACAAGTTTCCTACCCATACAGACCCACAGGCAAAATTAGTTTTGCATATTATAATTTGTAGGTTCTTTGACAGCAGACAAGACAGAAGCAAGCATTACCCGAATTCAGTCTCCTCTTAAATTTCCTCTTGAATCAAGTTTTGATTTATTACTGTCATTCCAAATATTTGAACTGTGCCACACTTTCAAAGGATGTGTTAGCTATCTTTATGTCATGACTTTGTTCTGCATTCTGTTGATGAGATGCCAAAATATACTTAGTTTTCTCTGTGTTTACTCCTAGATCAACCTACTTACTAGCGGCAGTTAATTAACGTTTCTGTGTTTTTCTTTATGGTATCTATATTATCACCCAGCAAATTCACATTATCAGCATAGACTAGCAGCTGATGTGTTCTATTTAATTTCAGTCCCATCTGGTTTTCTTGGACCTTCCTAATAGCATACTCTAAAGCAAAGTTGAGGAGTAGTGGCAATAAACATCTCGTTTTAGACCATTCTGGATAAGAAAATTATAAGACAAATTTATATCTATACAGACTTTACTACACGTTTTGTTTAAACACATTTAATCAGCCTAACTAGTTTCATGGGTACCCCAAAATCTATGAGAATACTGTACAGTACTTCCCCCCTTACTGAATCATAGGCTTTCCTGAAGTCTATGAACAGCTGATGTACTGTCCAAATGTGATGAGCCAGGATAGCGTAGTCTTTATTGTGACTAGCTACAGGCTAGACAACTGAGGGGTCAGAGTTCTAGTCCCGGGAGGATCAAGAATTTTCTCTCCTCCACGTCATCCAGCCCACCTCTGGGGTCCACCCAATCTCCTATCAAATGGGTATTGAGGTCTCTTTCCCCGGGGTTAAAGTGGCTGGGGTGTGAGCTCACCACTCACCTCCACCTAGTACCAAAGTCAAGAAAATGGGGATCTATACATCCACTCCCCCATACACCTTCATGGCATAGTGCTTAGTTAGTTAAGCACAGGGACAGCTTTACCTTTACCTTCTACTGTCTCATTGTACTCCCATTTTTTCTGCAGTATCTGATGAATGCAAAAGATCTGATCAGTAGTTGATCTGTTACACTGAAACCCACACTGATGATCCCCAATAGTTTCATCCATATACGGACCTAACCTTGAGAGAAGGATATTGGATAAAATTTTATACATAGTTGATAGCAGTGATATCACACAGAGGTCTATATTGCAAATATTATCTGACTGATGTTGGTGAGTCTTGGTATAGACATTATGCCACTGGATACCTCCCTTCCTTGATACTTTAATTTTATCATTAACAATCCTGGCATGGCAGTTATGCAAACATATGAGGTGGGAACAGGGCTTGAGGTGGGGTGGGATGTGGTGGGATGGCATCCCGGTTCTTTTCTAAATGGCTTAAAAGCATCTCGTTACTTCTTTTGCAGTAAATGCAATGTACAATACCCAGGGCTTGAGGTGGGGCGGGATGCGGCGGGATGGCATCCCGGTTCTATTTTCATTCCACCTCAAGCACTGGGTGGGAATAATGCTGTGTAATTCAATGTTACGTCCTAAGTACTGTATGGGGATGGGTTATATTTTTCAGAAATTCTAACAAAGAAAGAGTCTTAAATGTATAGGTGTCCATAAAATGCACATTAAAACATCTTATACAGTACTTGCACAAAGGTCACTGACTTTGACAGATCACTAAGACAATAACTTTACCCATTAGCAGTAAGTGTGTGGAATTAAAAGTATAAACAACATGCAACTGCATAATATGAATCTCAAGGATGCATTTGTTGATCCTTGTTTCATTTTTTCCCATAATCCTCATTTAGCCCAGAACACATTTGCTCCCATTTCACCAGCACCTGTCCCTTCTGCCTTGTAGATGTGGCAGTAAGTTGCTGCACATTGTAAGAACCTTCTTCCAGTACTTTTAGTACTGATCACTGTGTGTGTATGTGGAAAGCTCAGATATCATAAAACTCTTACCATTTTATCCAAGTAATCTTAACAGTCAAATGAATGTATAAGGGGTGGGCCTTCTCGGCCCTCGCACCATGACCTACAGTGATCTATTGTGCTTAATCTTAACCGTTGGTACATATTGAAATTCTTCTGGTTTTGAAGACAAAAGGCTGCTATTGGACCCTAACCTGAGTCAGTTCAGTAAAGTCCAGTTCACCTTAAATGCTGTAAGTCTATTTTAATATCTATATGCAATATATTTCACCTTTTCTACTTAACAACCATCTCTTTTGCAGCTAGGATATTTGGAGAGAAAAATGTGAAGCAGTATGGTGGATCAGAGATTACCATTACAAATCCAGCACATTTTCCTGACCCATGTATTGTTACTGAATTCCTGGAACCTATGGTGATGGGAACAATCATCACTCCAGGTTGGTGTTCATGTGACTCCAGCATTGCATACACACAACCCTTGACCTTGAATCAGTATACATATACTTTTATGTATAAATGAAAATGGGCTGAATAGCACATGCATATACAAGGGGGGACCCAAAAATAACCGGAAAGGACCTGTTGCGCGTGCATGCTTTGTAGTTACGAGTTGTGCTGCTAGGTGGTGTTAGCTGGGGGTCTCCCGCGACTGTTAGTGAGCTGGCGTCAGTCTGAGTTAAGTGGTTTGTCTGTGGTGCTCTGTTGTGTGCGTTCCTGTTTCAACCCTTTGGCGATTAGTGAGATGGCCGACCAGAAGGAACAAAGAGTGTGCGTGAAATTGATGAAGATCGTCGAAAGACCATTGACCAACTTTCTGAGGAAACGAACATCTCATGGAGCACGGTCCAGCGAATTTTAACCGAAGGTTTGCACATGAGACGGGTGTCTGCAAAATTTGTTCCTCGCTTGCTCGGAGATGACCAAAGAGAAAACCGCGTGAATGTTTGCCGCAACTTGAAGAGTGAAGTGCAGTTTTCCCTAACAGAAAGCAAAATTTCACGCACACTCTTTGTTCCTTCTGGTCGGCCATCTCACTAATCGCCAAAGGGTTGAAACAGGAATGCACACAACAGAGCACCACAGACAAACCACTTAACTCAGACTGACGCCAGCTCACTAACAGTCGCGGGAGACCCCCAGCTAACACCACCTAGCAGCACAACTCGTAACTACAAAGCATGCGCGCGCAACAGGTCGTTTCCGGTTATTTTTGGGTCCCCCTTCGTACGTGTAAATTCTCTGACTTTGCTATGGCTAGGATGCATATAGCATCTTATATTAGCTTGGTTTTATGGACTGGGATAGCTTTGTAATAACGTGGACTGAAATACAATTTTAGTTTTTCTGTTATCATGGTGATATAAAATATGTTGCTAGGGTGTGGCTATCCTTCCTTTGTAAAGTATACATTGTGGACAAGTGCTTAGAAGTGCTATTCCACTATCAGAGGCAACACTACTGCTGCAAGAGAAATAGACTGTTCTTAACATCAGACAGAGCATAGTGGTGAGAACCATCTCTATTCCAGCTACTAGTATATGCCTCTTGGGTATGGTGGTTATTCATTGATGCAACTTTACTTTATTATGCTTTAATGTCTTTGGTTTTAGGAAATTATCTGATTGTGTGTTTCCAGCAACATTTTGTTATTTCATTGATATCAAAACAATTTTTTTTTGCTAGTTCTAGTGGGGTGAGGTAAGTCCCTTGGTACTGAAGCCTCAAATGGTCCTACTACACTAGCCCTTGATGACAGATGGTTATGGAATATTGGTAGAATGATAATTAACATGGGAATTTTTAAGATCATGGAGAAAATCCTTGCCCATTGCCTAACTGTGAAGCTGGTCTCCAACTACCTGAATTTGAGTATGGCCAATGAAATTATAACTAATTAACCCCCTGGAACATAGTTCTTCTTGAAAAGCTAATAGTTGCTCATCGTGTATGAATTGTAAGAATTCATTACCATGTTCACACGAGCCTGGACCCTATTCTGAGCTAAATGAAACGAGTCCATATTCTCACACCTTATTTCTTAACGCTTCAAGCATGACATATCCATACCAGCCACTACCTCCACAGGGTGACTTCTTTTCTCATTCAGTCTCATGGTTTGAAAGTCATGCACACTGAAGGACACATGCTTTCATGGTTGACCTATGACGATGGAAGCATTTTGGAGGTTTAGAGCCATTTTAATGTTACCCTACCTCTCCCCACATATACTACATAGGTCTCCCAAGTAATTACCTTCCCTTAAAATTTTTCACCTAAAGTTTTCTTCTCTCATGAATTTTACATATCCCATCTGCCTCATCCTCCTTGAGTTTATCACCATAATGGTTATTAGGTGAGGAGTACCAATTATGAAGTTCCTTACTGTAAAACTGTGAAAGACTTTACATGTTAAAGCCCAGAAAATGATAAGGAACCTTATGAATCAAAAGGTCAAGTAGACATGTGCACTCACATTAAATCTCAGCTTTTGTATAAGAAACAAAAATGAAAACCTAGTCTGGAACCAGAGTACTGTGTTTGCTTTCTTAGTGCCCTGTAGATTCCCCCCATATCCCTCCAATAAGCAAGAGAACTGTAAGCAGAATTTTGAAATTGAACTCAATTGGTTTGCTCCATATGAAACTTTTTTATTTTTATCATGTATTACAGAATTATTTATACACCATCTTCAAACACTACGAACAGACTTACAATATTACTAAAGACTAGCATCTTGAAAACAGTGTAACTGCAAAGGAACAGTCATTATCAGCAGAAGACTAGACATGGGATGTGGCATAGGAACACAGGAAAAGCCTGTGCCAAAAAACTAATCTTCACTCCAAGTGCACATTTTTTCTGCACATCTACATACTTGTATGTTTGCCAAACAATGGCTATACTACTGAGTGTCAGAGCCTTCTTTTCTTACTAGGCATTCCGCTAGCTGACCATCAAGAACAAAATCTGTTTCTTTGTTACTTTCTCATATACATAGTAGGAGAAAGTATAGTGATGGTGAAAAAGTTCGTAGATTTGTATGGTTTTGCACATTTGGAACACCCTAAATCAGAAAAAAAAAATATTTTTAGAATGCCACATGTATGTGATTCTTGCTAGTGCTTGAATTGTTGAACAGTTTTTATTCATACTCGGTGTCTGAGAGTCTGTCAATCGCAGATCAGTGCCCAGTGAATATGAACATTCTAACTCCAAAGACAGGGGCCCTTCAGATGGACAGCAAAACATAATACGGCGATTTTCTGCAAAACAGCTCAGACAATTTTGATTAAATGCCCGCAATTTATTAAGATTATCTCCCTAAATGAAACTGCATAGGTGGTATCTTCGGGAAATAACAGTACATACACTGGGGGCCCGAATATGGTATGTAAACTCTGTAGAGCCAGCTTTATCAGTTGGCCAGATTTCACTGTTGTTTATTAAACAGCAACTAACAATCGTCTACTGAGCAATAACCAGTTTCATTTCCAAGGTAAGACAGGTTCAGTCATGTATGAGAAAGTATGTGCAGTTTCTTCACACCAATTCTTTTCTTTGTTTTCTTCATGACAGGTATCTTATGTTTTTGGATTCAAAGCATGAATATAGCAACTATACACTGTCAATTTCTTGCCAGTAACTGATGTACCATTGCAATCATACATGTGAAGTTTAGTTTGACACTATAGTTACATTTCTTCAAATTGTATATATTCTGACGCCTACACCAATCCTGGGCAACACAGTAATCACCTTTCTGCTTAAGCATGTGACAACAATAGGGTGCCCGTTGCTAGGCGACAGCCAGCATGCCAATGGACTGGCTGGGTAGCAATCACGTGGGAACCCCAACAGACATCACCCAACAATAGAAATGGTGATGCAGGCGGTATTTTTTGTGGGGTGAACCCTGAGGCTATATTACAAAGTGAGGATAGTCCAGAATGCAGAATAGAGCGGTGCAGTGTGTGAAGAGATTCGAGTTCAGTTGGAGGTGAGAACAGAGGTCATCACCCAGTCAGAATCGAGAAGACTTCCTAGTGATTTGAAGTTACAGTAGGACTATGTGATAAACCTGTTGCCAAGATATGACTAGTCAAGACTGCGAATCCTAGTGCATGTGGAACGGTGAACTATAAAGTGAGTAGGATTTGAGATTTCCATGGTGGTGACTATGAAGAAGGCCATCTTCTGGGATGTGGCGCCATGTAGAAATTGTGTTAACCGACGTTTTGGAGGAACGTATCACCTCCATCTTCAGGGTAAAAGATAGTCAAAGATAGCCTGGGACTAAGGACACCGGGTGTATACAGTATCCCATGCGAGTGCGGCAAGGTCTATATTGGACAGACAGGCCATTCTGTGGACACGAGGTTGAAGGAGCATCAGTGGCACATCCGTCTCGAACATCCAGACAAGTCAGCTGTAGCTGAACATAGCATCGATTTGCGACACTGCATTCAGCTTCAGAATACCTCCATCCTCGCTACCAAGACCCATTATAAGGACCGCATCATTAGAGAGGCCATTGAGATTGAACTCCATCCCAACAATATGGACAGAGAAGTGGGGTTTTGTCTCAGCAAGTCATGGGAGACTCTCCTCTGCTCCCTCAAGTAACCTACGAAATACGGAAGAACCTGTAGGCCACTCAGGTCCATCGTAGCCCCCAAGCTACAGGGTTAATGCCCTCCATTTAACCTTCCCTTCTCTCCCCCTAACACATACTCTATACCAGCTCTGACCCACTACCTTCTGGCTATTCCACCAGACCCTTCCCCTCCCCCTCTCTACTATTTCCCTATGTAGCCACACTCCTCCTCTCCTTCTATTATACAGCTGTGTTTTCTCAACTGGATTCAGTCTGTTGCACTTGCTCTGCTGGTTTGCTCGCGGATTTCTTCTTGTCATCTACCCTGAAGATGGAGGTGATACATTTCTCCAAAATGTCAGTTAACACAATTTCTACATGGCACCACATCCCAGAAGACAGCTTTCTTTATAAAGTGAGTAGATCAGCGATATCGCTGTAATCACCTGTAATTCACAGCTGTGTAAATGTATAAGGTCAGTAAATCCAATAATCCAATCCAGAACCCTGTTATTAGTCACATGCCATAAACCATGACAATATAATTGTATGGCAAAGGTGTCAACCTAGCAATAACGCTCCTTTGATATTCAATTTCCAGTTGCAGAATAAAATTGGACTTGCGTGAATGTATGACAGCATGTTTCCCATTACAGACACATACCTGGGTCCTGTCTTGTCCCTCTGCATGGAGCGGCGAGGTACTCAGCAAAGCTCCATCAACATTGATAATCGTCATGTAATGACGCAGTTTTTGTTGCCACTGAATGAGATCATTGTGGATTTCCATGACCATCTAAAGTCTATTTCTTCAGGTTATGCCAGTTTTGACTATGAGGAATATGGTTTTGTTCCTTCAAAACTTGTAAAGGTGAGTTCTCTTATGAATCATTTAAAAATCAGAGACAAAGAATTTCTACCATTAGGAAATATTGGAAAGATTCCAAATTCAATTGTACATTTTGTAATGAGGAAACCGAAATGAAGGGCATATCCAAGCACCTGCAATATATCCCAGTCCAGCAGGTGTTTGGCTATGGCCTGGATCATCAAGCAAAGGAAGGGATCTTTTTCTGTACCAGCTCTGGGGGCCTCCCAGCTTCATACTCCTTCTCTAGAGGTAAAGCAGTGTGACCACTAACCTCCATCTATTGTAGAATGCTAGAAAGTGAGAAGCTGTACCTCCATCTAGTGTCATGTACTAGACATTTATACACCTGCATGACAGCTCAAGCATCACAGGCAAGCGAACAGTACTGCTGCTTCATATTCCAGAGGTGCTAGGTTCAAATGTCAGCCTACAGACTGACTCTCCTGACAGGATTTTCATGATCTTCCTCAGGCCTTCCAGACAAATACCAGGATAGCAGCTTACTTTGTAACTTTTTCTTTACTATTATTAACTTCATTTCTCATTCTTTCCATTTTACTATTCACTAATCCTGCCCTTTGAGGCTATGTAATCTGATCTACTGAGAGCATTGTTACATAAACAATAAACAAATTCATGACATCGGGGCATGTTTACATTTCCTTTATGGAACACTATTATGCAGTCTTTCTTCATGTACATTTTGAAACTGTTACGGCCAGTGTATCCAATTAAGTCTCATTTGCCTTCTTCATTACTGCCTGTCTTGCTTATTTTGGCAGTGGTTAAGGATTCCATTTTAGAGGTGGGCCTACAACTTGATGAAGGCTGTCGGCCACAATGGGGTCTCTGTATTCCTCACATTCACAAAGTTTTACCTTTGTGAGGGAAACCGAGTGGTCTGAACTTGATCTCTTGCCCTCACACCACTACGTCTCCTCTCTAAAACTTGACGTTACCTTGTACTGCAAACCTAGCCTTCAACCAATGTAAAATGTCACTCTGCTGTTGCAGCTCAACATCTTGCTCAATGGGATCGTGGTTGAAGAACTGAGCATGGTGGTTCATGCCTCCAAGGCGTCTGCTGTGGGACGCAGGATATGCCTCAAACTTAAGGATATTATTCCACGACAACTAGTTGAGGTGCGGCTATGTTCTTTATGACTTCTTATTATTTACACATAAAAAGGAAGAACATATTGTACGTTTAGCTGCATTTTTAATTTATGGTAACCAGTGCACTTAACTTGCTCATTCTGAAGGCCATACTGAAGCTAGTGAGAACCAAACTGCATGCAAAAATGTTCTTTGTTCCACTCTAAACATGACAGGAACGGTGTGTAGACTAAGTCACTTTGTACTGTAACCTTAAAAGTGTGTCTATTGTGTCAGTCTCTGATGATAGGGGGTAATGATAAAAGATGAATGTTGTAGTACATGACTGGAATGGTCACAAGGGAGTACCAAAGTTCTCAGAAAAAACTTGTCCCAGTAGTACACTGTACATCACAGGTCTCACTTGGACAGCCCTGGGGTTAAGCCCAGGTCTCCAAGGTAAGAAGCCAGTGACTGCCTGGGTCGCAGCACAGTTCTTTTGTTATAATTTAGTTAACCATCTTTCAAAGCTCAGAACTGAGGGCACATGTTTTAAAATATACAAAAGCATTTTAGATGACTGGCAATCCCAAGTGCCTCTTGCAGTTTCTGATGAATTTGGTAAGGGTAAGCACCTACATATTTTATTCTTATGTTATTTATTAACACTATTCCAACTGCAGAGAATCATGCAACAGTGATCTGATGATCATGAGTGATTTACAGGCAAAGATTTAGGAGGAAGCATGGTCTATTTTGTGGATAAGGACAGCTACAGCACTATCTGTAGTCCAGCTAAGATTCACACCAGAAAAGTCTGCAGTGTTACTGTACCAGTCTGCTAGGTAAAGGGTATGTCATGTGGGATTTTACACAATGGGCTGAAAATACAGACAAATAAAATAAGGTAACTTGGGGGTTTTATAATGTTTTAGAATATGAACTTACATGGTAGAATCCTGGGCACTGAATATGCATGAAAGAGATATGTTGAAATCAGCTGAAACTAATTCCTGGAGATGTTTCATTTGGTTGAGCAGAATTAGACACAGAATGATATATATAGCAACAATCCTAAAAGAAACCACCGCACACAAGAGCAAGTAAAATGTGATGGAATGGACATGTCGAAAGGAGAGAAAACCAATGACCAAAGTCATACAACACCAACTTAAAGACCACTATATGGAGGTTACAAGGAATTTACAGTGATAGAAATAGAAATCTGAAATGTTATATGGCTGCTTCCAGATTGCTATTCAAGGCGTAGTTGGAGGAAAAATTGTCGCAAGAGAAACACTGAAGGCATATCGTAAGGATGTGACAGCAAAACTGGTGAGTGCTGAGTCAGAATCTACTTGTGTTGCCATAAATTAGCTACAGTATCTACACATGCCATAAACTATTATTCCAACAAATGTGGAAAGTTGTACTTCAATGGAGCACATACATATTTCAGATTTTGCATACCTCACTGACCTCTATGTTCATTTACCACATATACTCTGTAAAGAGTAGACAATATTTTTCCTTATACAGAAGACTATTATTCCCTGTAAACAGATTATCCAATTTTCAGATTAACTGCAGCACTTTTAGATGCACTAATAGCTTAAATATTAGAGAAGTTATTATTTACATAGTGGCAGTCTCAATCTCTTTAGGTGTTTGAATGTTTCAGTTGTGCACTGTGTAAAGGCTAGCCTTACTGCAGCCCTACAAATCTTCTGCAACCTACACTAATCTGTCACACTGTGCAAAACCCCTCCTTGTTCCTGCTCTGCCAGTTTTGTGTAAACAAATGTCACCAAACTACCGTGATAGAACTGCTTCCTGTTGTCAGGTTTAGTAACATAAAACACACAGTCTTCATTGAAAGGTTTCAGTTTTTACAGCCCTTCGGTATTACTAACATTTCACAACCATTCTGTAAAATAACGGAGAAATATAATGAAGAGATGCTATTAAACTAGAGGTCTTCAACTGGGGTAAGGTAAAGTAATCCCTGTACTTCAGCATCACACCATGAAAACATATGTTGGAGCAGTCAGATTCACAATCCAATTGGTTTGCCCCTGGAAAGAGCCCCCGCCCCAGTAACTGTTGAAGAGGAAGTTGGGGCCAGCCCCAAGTAGTCTGGACACAGTGGCAAAGAAGGTAAACCCTGCCCCTGTCATGGATTGAGCTTAGGCTGAAATTCTGGTATCATTTGAGAAGCAACATGACACCCAAATAGCAGCCCACCCAGACTCCAGGGAAGAAATAGGGCTAGTCCAAACTGCCCTACTTACAATAGGGCAGCTTTTCCACAAATCACCCCACGTAAATGGAAATTGCGAGGTGTGAAAGAGCTAAGGCCGAGAAGACGGTGCTATGTAAGCACCCTTATGGCAAGGCACTCTTTACAGGCATGCTGCACTTGTATGCTGCCATCCACAATTCTTTCCAAACCAACTGAGGAATTTCACAAGCAGAGGAGACATAAGCAAAATTCCTCATATAAACAAGCCACCATCCTAAAGAAAACGGCAGTCATAAGCAGTAGTGTACCTGATCCACATTTACAGCCACATCTTGAATTACTAATAAGAGACTTCTTTGCACCCCTGAGGACAGAGCTGGAGCTGGAGGAAAGCAAAAAATCCAACAAGAGAGAACAGGAGCCAACAAACCAAGCTGGTAGGCCACCTCCCATCATCCTAACTTCTGCAACAAACCTCATACAGTTGCAGAAAGGCATCATCAAGGACACATTTGAGTTCTGAAACACCAAGAATGGAACTGAAGTCCTGATAAAAGAAATGGCAGACTTCTCAGCAATCAAATCTTTTTTCCTTTCCAGAAAACTACACCTCCTTCCCGAAATCACAGAAAACTATAAGGCCATCATAAGGCACCTCACTTCTAACACACCTACAGAAGAAATTTACAAAGCGCTGGTGTACCTTGTCTTTTACATAATCAGCATCAAGCAGGTGACCACTACTTGCTAGTCTCCTGCAGAAGATCCTGAAAAATGTAACCTTCCCCTCTTCCTCATAATCATATATCAATAAACGTGGGAGATAACAGATTACCCTGTGCATATGGCAAGACAGTTTTGTATTAAAATGTGAGTAAAAAATTTAAATTAGGAGAAATGTGTGCATGGGTATTGATCATAAAAGCCTACAACTGAACCCCATCCTAAAATAGCTAAAATAACTTCACATTCTTACAACATATTTTCTGAGATATATTTCAGTTTGTTCCACCCATCTGTGCATAGGTCTTCCAATCAAAATGTTACAATACATACTCTTTTCCTCCATGTGAGCTATTAGCCCTAATTACATTATGCTTCTTGATTTAATCACCACAATAATATTAGATGAAGCTCCTCGTGTTTTTCTGCATTTTCCCCTTACTTAATCTCTTCAGTGCTTTAATTTCTGTGATTGTCACAGCATCAGAAACTGTTGTTAAATTATCCACAAACCAAAACAATGCCAATAAAAGATACAAAGTTGTGACAGTCTTATTTATGTAATTTTATGTGTTTTCCTGTTAGTCTAAGTATTCCCTCTTCAGTACTCAATCTTTAGATGTCCCTGATCTCTGTTCTTCCCACAGAACAGTACAGTATTGTTAAATAACCCACAGACCAATTAGCAGCACAGAGCCTTTGTCATATTGTTATTGATATGTTTATTCTTCTTTCTTCAGTATGGGGGAGATGTGACAAGGAGAATGAAACTGCTAAATAGACAGGCAGAGGGCAAGAAAAAAATGAAGTTGGTGGCCAACATTAAGCTTCCACGAGAGACATTCATTGATGTGTTGAAGCGATAAAGCTTCAAGAGTTATGTGATTCACCACAGCTTATCATCATTTTAGTCACAGGTAGTACCAAAAAGGCTACCAATGGAATATAGTGAGACACCATTAGCATCATTTTTAAGGAACCAAGAATTGCTCTGACCATGTTAAGATGATGGCTTCTTTAATCCTCTAATGAGATACAGTGGTAACATGAGAATGTTTCAGAATTGAATTTTCTCTAACTTTTGGAAATGATAAACAATAAAGAGGGGAACTTCAGTGCATGTGTTAAATAAATATTGTGAAATAATATTCTGAATGGATAGTTCTCTCCCTCTCCCCCTTCTCTCCAGAATACATGACAGGGCACAGTACAATGGAGAACAACACTTTTTTCTGTTTCAAACCCAGGTATTTTATCTCTTATTAGGCTACAGGATTAAAAAGATGGAACAGCTTTCTGATATGTGATCAGTAAACAGAGATATGAATAGTGACTCTGCCTTGTATAAATTTACAGAACTACTCATTTGTGGATGTTGTGGATCACCACACATCCAGGATGTGTGACCTGTAGTTAGTTCTATGAGTTATGGAACAACCCACATAGAAATGTCATCACCACAGGCCATGTGTCCCAATGACGGAGTCATTCTGTTCCGTTACATATCATCATCATCAGTAATCTGTCAGACGACAGGTCCACAGTCTCTTCCAAAACAATTCCTCCACTTAATGCGATCTAGAGCTTTCTCCTTCAAATGATAGTATCCTCTTCTGTCCCCAAGGTCATCCAGCATCTTCTTACGTCTTCTTGTCACTTCTATCCGCCCCTCTATCTTTCCTTCAATAACTTCTTTTAGAAGGCAGTTTCTGCGTAAAACATGACCAATCCAATTAGCCTTCCTCTGCTCACTGACTCTAATTAACACTTCTTCATTTCTCACATAATCGGTCCAACTGATCTTCTCCATTCTTCTCCAACACCACATTTCAAAACTTTCCAGATGTTTCTGATCTACTGCCCTAGGTGTCCATGTTTCAGCCCCATAATTCACCAGCACATCTTCCCATCTCTGGGCTACTGGGAAACTACTCTGCCCTGTGCAGTTATAGAATGGCTATAGCCATTCAACATTTGTGGCTACAGTGTTCACATAGTGTGCTGAAAAGGTAGGATATATCTAATTGCGGGTGGAAGCATGCGTTAAGACTACAGTTTCCAGTGGTTAAGCGCCAGCAAAATAATTTGCAGTAGAGGTACTTACTAATGTTCCTCCTGCTCAAATTTGATACATTAATTTATGTTGTTAACTCCTGTAGGAACACTTAACTCTTTCTCTAGTGTGTGTAATACTTATGACTCATGCAACCAAGAACCACACACTAATGCTAATCCATTAATCACCCACAAAAGGGCCATAATTTTTATCAGTCACTTTTTTTGTTTATTTATTAGCAATGTAAATATACTGTAACAGATCTGATCAAAGCAAAGCCAGGCAAAGAATCAGTACAGACTTTATGTATGCTGTAGTGCAGTGATACTGGGAGTGTGTGATTTAGTGAGACTTTTATAGTTCCTGTGTTATAGATCTGTTGCCAGGAAATGGATAGTGAAAATATTGTACAGGAATAGCCACTGTTGAGATCTGTTACCCTGCAATGACTACTGCAAGCAGATATGGAAGACTTTATTTTGTGTGCTATAATTACAGTAATCTTAAGTGTTATAGTTACTTGTAGTTATGACTAGTGAATATTCAATAAATTGATTCCCCAATCCAAACCCATGTCATCAGTCACTAATACATGAGACAATTCATTACAACTGAAGTAGTTTACAGTTTTATGTGGGAAACAAGACGTAATACAGTAGGCTTTATATTATACCTTCTAGAAATTCCAAAATTATTTATTAATTTAGTCTCTCTGAAGTTTACTGACTCTTGACTGTCTACATGTGCAAGTTCTGTGTAATGCCACTACACAAAAGGGAATGTTTCCAGAAATATCACACTCTCAAGCACTTCTAGGAGCACTGGTAAGTGTTCTCCAAAAATTTTAGTTCATAAAATTAATTAGGAGATTTTATATTCATTTTTAAAGTGAGCAGTGCACAAGTTACAGTAGTAGGTTTAAAAATGCTGGTCCCCAGGGTGATTTAAATATTTAAATCACCAGTCTGCGAAGTGTTAAGAACAGTGTGCTGAGTAACACACTTGGTCCTAAGAGGGAGGAAGTAACAGGAGGCTGGAGAAAATTGCATAATGAGGAGCTTCATACTATTAGGATGACCAAATTATGGACAATGAAATGAGTGAGGCATACAGCATGTGCAGGAGAGATAAGAAATGTAGAGTTTAATGGGTAGCTGGGATAGTGCAGTCAATATAGCAACTCGCTACAGGCTGGACAACTGAGAGGTCAGAGTTTGAGTCCTGGATGGGTCAAGAATTTTCACTTCTCCATATCGTCCAGACCAGCTCTGGGGTCCACCCAACCTTCTATACAATGGATACTGGGGACCTTTTCCATAGGGTAAAGCGCCCGGGGTGTGAAGCTGCTGACCACTCACCTCCAACTAGTGCCAAGGTCAAGAAAATGTGGATCTATACATCCACTCCCCCATACATCTTCATGGCATAGTGTTATTAGTTAAACAGAGGGACAACTTTACCTTTTTTTACCTTTACAAAGTTTAATGGCTGGAAATTAGAAAGGAAGAGACTGCTTGAAAGACCTAAGCACAGACAGGTAGATAATATTAAAAGTGATCTTAAAGAACTAGGGTGAGATATGGACACTTAGGATAGGGACCAGTAGCAGGCTCTCGTGAATGCAAACCTTTGGGTTCTATAAAAAGCTGGGAATTTTTTGACTAGCAGTGCTGTCAACTTCTCAAAAAGGATTTTGCTCCATGACTTTAATTTTCTGCTTAAGAAATTTGTTACAGTCAGTGGACTACATGGCATTACATCCCAGAAGATGAAACTCTCCACACAAAACATTGTACCAATTAGACCCTAACTGGTATCCATAATATACACTAAATTCCAATGACTTAAGACAAAAGTGATGAATCGTGATGGGGCCATCCGACCGCCTATCCAGTTTGGACAGTAGTTAAGTCAGCTGAAGTGTGAAGCTGACTGCTCATCTCTGTCAAGTCAAGGGGACCCTCCAGTGTGAACCAAGGTAAAGTAAGCCCAATTATGTGTTAGACCTCATGCATACAATTGTATAATGTCATGTGAGGTCACCAAAATGTGTCTGGGTGAATGAAACAGCCAGCTAGTGCTTCAATATGAAGTCCAGCACCCATCTTTTTCAAATACCAGTACTCAATTTCAGTACACAATTGACAGTTCTTTTATTTCTACTTCATACAATACCAAAAATAAACATGGAACTTGTATAACACAATCATCTAAATTTTTTATTTTCTCCTTGTTACATTACCTGATCCATGACTGTAGTGCAGACTTAATTCCAACATTAAATGGTGTGTGATATCCAATGCCCAGTTGCTCAAGTCGTGAGGTATCTAGAGTTGTGTCATAGGGGCGAGGTGTGGGTGTGGTAGCACTGGGAAGGTTGGAGTCTGGAGTCACATGAGAATATGGCAGATGGAATACTCTCGCAATCTGCACCAGCATGCCGTACTTCGTGAACACCTCTTTGCCACACCAGTGGAAAATGCCACATATATTTTCATCCTGAAAAAATGTACTGAAAAATTTAACTTCAGGGTTTGAATAAATATAACTCATTTTATGTGGATTTTTGTATGGATTTGCTGAGGCTCTTGGAAATGATATTGAATGATAAAATTATTGTGAACTGAACAGAATTGGAGAAAGCAATCTGATCAAAAACATGATTCACTGACAAAATAAGATATGCTGCAAGTGTTTTAAATGAAAATGCTCAAGAAAACAGGACCTAAAAGGGACAAAGTAGGTGAAGAATGAAGGATATTATGTGATAAGGGACTCTGTAATTTATACAGCTCCATTTACTGCTCTTTATGAGAGCAGATGCAAGTTACAACGGGATGAACATGTGACTTGGTTGATTACAAGAAATGCATATATAATTTTGGTTTCAAGAATTACCAATTTCAAAACTGAGAATGAGGTGTTAGGGAATTTAGAGAAACAGGTTCTGTAGAAGTGAACTGGATTGAATTAATTCAGGAGCATTTCTAGTGGCAGGCAGTATGCAAGTGGCTGTTCCACTACTTTGGAGAAACTTTTGTTAGAATATGCTCTTTTCAGACGAGGATGGGAAATGAAAATCTATAGTAAATCAATCCAAAAAGAATACCTCAAGTCTCTTCATTGCCATTTGCAAACATATATCAGCAATATCATCAACATGCGAAGGGCGGCGGAGTTCATAGTTTGAAATCTTGCACGGTTTGTCTGTCTGGAGGAGGCTGTTTAGGAGAACAGTTACTGCACTTTCAGCCACATATTCAACTGGACCATACAGGACTGGCACACGAAGCACAATATTGCCTGAAACAAGCAAAGAAAATGAAATACTTACAATTTGCACCATTACTTAACACTCAGATGGCAGAAATTATTTTCTGGCTCAGATGCTGGATGTGGGATCTTCTCACCTTCAGGAACCCATTTTATGTTAACATTGCATATAAATAAATAAATAAACAAATAAATGAAAATGCAATGCTTTCTGATTTATTTATTGGTTCGTTTATTGTTTTGAAATACAGCAATAATTACTACATAGAAAGCTTCTAGAACAAAGGCCTACAAATGACATAACATGCCCAATTCTGCTCTGTAGTATTGGAACCTTAGTATTAAGTTGGCATACATATTTCTTAACCTCTCATACTAAATAGTTTTAAATACTTTTTTTAACATTTCTAAGTATTTTTTAAATATTTTTTAATATTTCCATAATATATTCAACACTTTATAAATCTTAATATATGGTATACATTTTTATATCTTATCTTATTTTGTATCTTCTATTTTAATTGGAACATTTAACTTGAGGCAAATGTTATCTGTTAGTGTATAATATGACATGTTGCACTGGTATGGATCCATATCGGTAGTTCAGTAACTGTACATATTCCTACATATAACTGCCTGATGATGGTCTTGTACGACCAAAACATATAGCAGGAATAAAAAGTTGAATTGTAAAACATTAAAAGCAAGTATATTTGTTGTGTTGACAGTTAACCTAATTCCTACAGATTTACGGCAGGTAAAAGATCCTCATGTCTCTAGGAGACCTCTGAGCAAAATTAAGCAAAGTTTCCTGCCCAAGCAGTTTCCAATTCCTCTGGTAGATGGGGAAGTATCAGGGACCACTGCCAGTGAGGTGGCCGACCTCACTGGCAGGACGGGGCTGATAGCAAGCACCAGTACTGGAAGGGCATGGCGACTGGTAGAATATCAAAGGGGCACGCACAATAGACTACTAGTTGTGGTGCATGGGGAAACTCACCCCCTCCAAGAAAAATAATAATAATAATAACCTAATTCCTATATATTGTAACGTGTTTGGAATAGGCACTTCCATATTAACGCAATAACAATGAGCCGTTTTGTAGACAATACCAAAACAATGAACGCGTTTCCCCAGAGATGAACAACAGAAGGCCCGTTAAGTAACAACGGATGAGACGAAACACGTTAACAGTACATAAGGAGCATTCCCAAAGCAACAGATTGCCGAACATGTGAGATCAAACCTTGGCGAGGGGTGTCCTCTACTGAGTCCACAGAACACCTACATCAGCCGAGAGCTACAGACAGCAAGAATACAGTTGGAACCTAGTCGCCATACGATACAGACAGAAGACAGTTGAGATCCAGCCATGGCCAAGGATAGTTGAGACGTCGCATTGAAGTAATAGGCCAGAAGTCAAGTGACACTACAAGTGATAACAACTGTACGGTGTGTAAGAGTGAATGTTCAATAAAGATTCACTAAATCCGAGACCCACGTAAAGTTATTTGTCACGTGACATACCCAACACATGACAATATATCTGGAACACACAACAGGATGCAACAAATGAAGACAGAACCTTAGGCAGTCACCAATTGTGAGCTGTTAAGTGATTGTAACTGAGTGTAATTGTAAAGCAGCACCAATAAATCCAGTCCTCCGATCCAGGACCCATTATTAGTCACACATACCCCCTACACATGACAGTATCAAAATGGCCAACTAACAATATGCACACACCTCTCATACCGAATTTCACCAAATTCTATTAAGTGTTTATGTTATACATGGTCACCATTATTATTATTATTATTATTATTCTTAGTGGGGTGAGACTGAGTCCACTTGGTACTGTGGCTACTACTGACCTATTGTACCAGCCCCAGATGATAGATGATAGTGATTGTGGAGCAACTGGTGGAATGAAGATTGGCAAGGGAAAGAGAAGTACTTGGAAAAAAACCTGCCCCAGCACCACTTTGTCCACCATAAACCCCACATGACTAGACCTGGGATCAAACTACAGTCACTACATTAGAGTGCTTCCCCAGTGACACTAGGTGGTGTTGCAAATAGAAGCAGAATAGACTGTGGAAAAATAAAGTTTGCTCAAGCAAGTTAAGTTGTCTCTTCAGAAGTGGCCAAGATACTTGATTTATCCAGTACAACATTATTCAAGTCCTCTAAAATTGGAGTAAAGAAACTTGCAAAGGATGTTATGATCTTTCTGCTCTAATGGAGAAATAAAGCAAAAATCTGCAACATCTTCTAAAGTGAGTGTTTTAACTGATGATGCAGTACAGACAAACCAGATGTGTCCAAGAAATTATTTTGCCACTGTATATACCAATGACTGGCTCACTCAATATATCACTACACATAAAGGTGACAGTATAGAACTGAACACGCTCTTACTGACATAGCTAACAAGAACCTCCTTCAGTATAATGAAAAAAAGAAGGGTGCAGTTTAACTGTATGCATATTGGTTAATGTCAACTGATTTGATCATTATGTTTGTAAGTTTACTTCGTTTACTATCTCATAATACAGTCCTTTGTGTTGGGAAAAGGTTCAGCTTCCCAAATATAATCTTTTTTATTGTTCTTTGGGAAAGATATGTACAAAAGTTGTAACTGTCAGATTACTGAAAATGCATGTATGAACTTTGGACCATCAGACTCCCTGAGAAAAACTACTGTTGAACACCAAATTGTATGTCTCTGACTTTTTAAACAACAGCTATATGTACATATTTGTGAAGAAGAGCTGAATACATGCTAAACAGTGCCCAAGTTCATCAATTAAGATCAAGGATTTATTAAAAATAAAATACTGATATTCTGGGGAACCTTTTACTTTGTAGATATCCACTTGCAAATCAAAAATCATGAAAATTGATGATGACATGGTTGACATCATTGTTTATAAACTGAATGAAATAATGACACTGACTCTGCATCTGCAATGAATTAATATCACGATCACAGAGGATTACAAATTCACTATGAAAACATTTGTCATTCAGCATAGTGATGGGCTACAGGCTAGATCGCCCAGATTCAATTCCTAGCGATGAAAGATTCTTCTCTTCTCCGGAGCATCCAGACTGACTGGGGCCTATTCAGCCTCCCATCCAATAGGTACCAGAGGCTCTTTCCCTGGAGGTGAAGCAACAGAGGTGTGAAGCTGATCACTCATCTCCATCTAGCACTGAGGTCAAGAAAGGTGGAGCTATACCTCCACTCCATCATGTCTTCATGGCACAGTGCTTAACTAATTAAGCACAGGGACAACTTTACCTTTTACCTCATACACTGAAGAATGCTTTTCCACTCTTGTTCTTTACTGAACTAAATTAGCAGTAATTACCTTTGCCAAATGCGAGTGTAACCTCTTCCCCATTCAACTTGGTTTTCCCATACAGGTTGAGAGGATTTGGCACTGCATCCACAGCATATGGTGGGGACTTGCCATCAAACACATAATCCGTGCTGATGTATAGCATTGGCACTTGAATACAATCTGCAATATGTGGAGAAAAATTCATCACAGGACTGCACATTTTTGACATGCCCTATGGTAATAGAATTCAAAGATTCAGCACCACTAATACAGAAGCATGCCACTGGATACAACCCTAAGCCACTTCAGTCAAGTTCATATCCTCACAACTTGATTCTCTATGATGCAACTGGTCTCTTCCTTAGAAATTTAATTTTAGATGCATTTGTTACTAACAGTATACATGTAACAGTATGTCTACATTGGACCAATGCACAGTGTAGAACACACCGAACGTATATACGCCCAGACAAGAAACACATATGCCATAGTGAATGATTATATAAGATACATATCGTGCAAATAGCATACCAATATAACACACACTTACCAACCCGTACATCATAGAAACTTGACTCTGGGCTCCACACCCAGGCTTACTACATAGAAAGCTTCTACAACAAAGACCTACAAACAACATATGCCCAATTTTCCACACAGTAGCAGTGGAACCTTATCTTAACCTACCATACAAAAAAAACCCTTTAATAATTTTTAAAGTACTTTTAATATTTTAATAACATATTCAACACATTACAAATCTTGATATATGGTATACCTTTATATTTATCTTTTATCTTTATTCTTATTTATGTATTTGCTACTTTAATTATAACACCAACTTGAGGCAAAAGTTTTATGTTAGTATATAATGTGACACATTGCACTGATATGGATCCGTATCAGTAGTTCAATAACTCTATGTATTCCTATATATAATTGCCTGATGAAGGTCTTGTTTGACCAAAACATGTAGCAGGAATAAAGATCGAATATTAAAACCGAGTATATTTGTTGTTTAGATGGTTGACATAATTTCTATATATATCTGGAATACACAACAGGATGCAACCAATAAAGATTATATATCCTATCTCATTCTTCTTAATTTAAACCACCTAATATCAGATGAAGAGCACAAGTTCTGAATCCCTCATAAAATTTTCTGTCATCCTGTTACATTCTCTGTAATATGTTCCCATTACATTGCACATAAAATAATTTGCATATGCTTCAGGGTACTGGTATGCTCAAGTGTTATAGGTAGGATTACCAAATCCCATGGTGTAATGGTTAGCATTTCTGGTTCATATTGTGACATGTTTGTATTGTCCAGTTCATACTAATGGCTTGACAAACATGCATCTGCAGCAACATAAGAACGCAATGATAGAAGCCATTGTTAAAGGTGGTGTTTCCTATGCTTTCTGTGCTGAGGTTATATACTGAGAACCTTTGGGCAAGATAGAATAGTTGCAAGCAAGTTGCCAGGCAGTGAGGACAGGAGCCACTGAGCATGGAAGCAGCAAAAAGAATCTGCATTGACAGAAGTCACTACCAAGCAATGGCTATGTGAAGACACAGAGAACTGGGAACATGTTGTACTGAATCACAAAGTGTGTCAATTACCAATGGAGCCATAGCCTAGTAACAGCTAGTGAAAAACTGAGAATTAGTGTGCGCTGTTGTGAGATGTCGAGTATGTCAATTAGTGACAGCATTATAATTATTTGTAGTTACAAGTTACAAGAGTCCAATTAAATCAATTATCAATTTAAATCCCATGTCTAATCACTAAATCTTGACATTATTCAAAAGATTCTGGACATGTTGACTATGCTCATTTATGTTCTTTGTGGTTTTCCTTATTCTCTCTAGACAGAAGTTGGAATAGTACTAGAAAACAGGCCACCACCACCTCCTCCTATATTGTTTCCACTTCATTATTCAAATCAATGTAATATTTGATGCCATAGAACTTATACAATTGAAAATGTGTTGTTAACTATGCCAAGAATGAAATTCAGAAAGGATTGAGGCAACAAGCATAAAAATCATCTTTTCAAAATTTGTCATATTTCAATAGTAAAAAATGTATTCATACCAACAACTTGTGCAAGGTATCTTGAAGCATTAATATTGATATTTTCAGCACCTTCAGGGTCCAAGTCAACTTTTTCTGGGAACCGTTGGGCAGCACAATGGATTAAAAAACTTGGTTTAAATTGAATGACTGCCTTTTTGACTTCATTTTCATCGGTTAAGTCCAACTTATGTAAGCCCTCAGCAACTCTGGAAGAGAAATAATGAGATAATAATGAAATAATGGTCAGTAAAACCTGGCCATAAAGGAATTCCTGTGGAAACTGAATCTTTTTTTCAATTTTGACAGGTTTCCACTTCACACTGGTGATTACTCATACAAGTAGATAAAAAATATTTTGATTTACAACCTTATATACTTGTATTTATTATGATCTATATCACAAGTCAGAAATTATGTATGTATACATGTGCACTATGATGTTAATGATAGTATAATTTTCACTTTTATTTCTTCATTTCTTTCTTCTTATTTTTCCAGTAGCCAACTGTATTCTACGCATACTTTCTTGATAGATGGACTTTTTTTTCTATTTATGACAGGAATTTTCCTTCTCAGGTAAATTTTGGAAAGCACAGTATGCAGCAAAATTATGAGGGTAGTTTGTTGACCTGGACTTTAATACTTTCCAAAAGATGTCAACACACCAGAATAACAAAACTCTCACCATGGCAGATGGTAGAAAAACTGCTCTCACTTCTTGACATGTGATCCTGGCCCCCTTTCTCTGCACATTACAGGTGGTATAAGATCACACACCCTTTCACTCCAAATGTCAACTAGAACTGTGTCAGCAAGTTTCTAGTGGAAGATAAAGTGAAACCAACTGAAATTTTATACAGGCTAAGTGGAAAGTATGGAGTCTATCAGTGTGTATGATTGGTGTCACAAATTTTCTGAAGGCCATGAAGAAGCCATTAACTAATCAAATGCTTACATTCAGCTGACAACCAGCACAGATGTCAATAGTCATTGTGTCAAAGAGCTAATTTTGGAAAACATGTAATTATTTTGTGATGCTGCATCCAAAACATGCATATGTGTTGGAAGTGTAGAACAATTATCACGATTATGTATTTTGAAGAAAGTGTACACATAGAGGAGATATCTAATTTGATTATGTTCTTCTGCATTAAGTAAGGAAAAGGGTTCAAGGAGATTAGAATGGATTTAATTTAGATTAGTAAGATGCAGGAATGGGGTGCCAAGATAGCACAGTCGGTATAATGACTGAATATGGTCTGGACAACAAAAGAGAGTTCAAGTTCCAGTAGAGTCAAGAATTTTCTCTTTTACACATCGCCCAGATCAGCTCTGGGCCCACTCAGCCTTCTGTCTAAAGGGTACCAGGGATTCTTTCATGGGGGGGGTCCCCTAAAATGCCATGTTCCATAACATGTTTTTACAACACCACTACTGATTTGATTTTAACTGTACCCAGCATAAAATCAATGTACATGGAAAAATCATATCTATCTGCACATTTCATCTTTATATTTCATACCAGATTTTGACAAAGTTTGGTATTCAGGGGTCTACACTAAAAGTTTAATTAAGTCCTCTGGCTTGATCTCCTTCAAAATTAATACTGAAACAATCCTTCTGACATGCAGCCCACTGTAATGTTTGTACCCACACAAGATAACACAGAGATATACAGAATCTGAACCTTCAATTCAAGTATCTGAAGTCCAAAATCACACAACTTCTGCTACCTGATAAAATACATAATATGACAAAATTAAAATGTACAGTGCATTCGGGATCAGTGCACATGACTCAAAAAGACTTAAGCAAATGAGCATTCTGGAATATCAGTAATGCTCTGGACTTGTATTTGGGAGATGCTTGGTTCGTATATCAGCCAGGACACTGGCTGTCCTAATTCTACGTTATTTTCCCCAGTCATTCCATGAAAATACTGAAATTGTACCTCGATTGGGCCACAACCGATTCCCTCAAAATCCTTCCTAATTTATTGCTATTCATCATCCTACTATTCGACGCTACATAGTGTAAACAATAAGGCGTTGTAAAATAAAACATGAATGTAGCTGAATACATGGTTCTTTCACCCGTAATATAACGTCGTACAGTCGGATGAATATCAACTGATGTTTCGGAGGAACATGTCTCCTCCATCTTCATGGTCGGAAAATAAGGATGAAACCAGTGTGAAAGCCGGTGGCAAGGGGGCAACACAGCGTTATATTGAACAAGACGAACTCTTCATAACCACCGCTATAAGTTTCAAACCCTACATAACTAAATAATATCAAAAAAAAATTGAAAATTATATACGCCATCAGCTAAAGAGTATCAAAAACTGTCAATGTTCGGTACGTACCTAGTATACGCTGTACCATAAATTACCCAACCTTCGGTGATGAATTTTTTATATATTGCTCTTCCTAAGAGACCTGATGCTCCTGTCAGAAACAAATGTTTATCTCTTGTTGCCATCTTAATACACACATTCGTTCTGCCGCAGTGATCGCTACTGAAACTACGGGACCCAGCTGACTGCAACTGACGGCTAGTAACAGGGAGCACGGGGAGCACCGAGGGCACCGAAAATCGTACAGATGCATTACAGGAAACCGGTTAAGAGTGAGCAAGAGCAACCTCGTGGAAATCTTCGTTCTTGTAAGATTTGAGGTTACCTACTTACTTGGAGCTGACGCAGACTTAGCTAACTAAATACAATATAACCATCAGCTCCGAGAGCACGATCGGTAAAATGGCATGCTATCGTACCACCTCCCTTTCCATCCTCCTCCCTCCCTAACCTAGGTTCACAGTAAAAGCAATAAATAATTTAGCAATTCTGACCGTTTGTACTTCAGAGGCTCTTACACCGTTTTCTNCACTCATATCCTTTGAAAGGGATATCAGCGATACTGAACCCAGTTCCAAAAAAAATTCCTTGCTGATAAAAGGCAGGATGAACTCCGACCGTTTCCTGAAAGCTGATTTCTAATATACTGAAACAAAAGAATCTTCTGCAAAGCGGGGAAGAGATGTAGCTCAAGTTCACAATAGGTTTCTTGTATGTAATCCATGAAGGTAGATGATGTTGTCAACAACATACTCATTACCAAAGCTCTGTGACAAGTGCATGTGAATACAAGGTAATTTCTATTGCTGCACTGCAGTTGCTTGTCACCAGTGTTACTTTCTCCAAATTATGAAACACCTAATGATGCTCATGTAGCTAGGTGCCACATATTCTCCCAGTAATTCAATAGCCGCTCTCTGCCAACTTCCACGAGTTAGTATAACCATGACATTACGATGTTACAAGGCAAAATGAAGCATTACTTTCCTAATGACTTACTGATGCGTCAGTATCTTAATCTTCCTCTTTGTGGCCCTTTGCCTGGCTGCATGAGTCATCAACTTCTTCATTCGCTTACACCACCAAGGAAAGTAAATTCCTGTCTTGCATGCATCACAGCTGACACCTCAAAGTATATGTCTGGCAATGGAACCACTGATATCAGCTATTGAGAACACTTCCATGTCACCAGCAAGTACTGCAGCACCTATGTCCTTCTGTACTTGCTGAGCAACATGTAAACTCTTGGGAACATCATCAGGGGATTCCTTGCTATGACTTGTGGAAGGATTTCGTGAAGCAGCATCAGGTGCCCTGAACAATGACTTTAGGTTATCCAGAAGCTAAGTACCATCGTCCACACAATTAGTTTCACATAGACCTGTAGATAGACCATTGATGATGGTAGTCTTCAGGGTATCTACAAATTGACCCACAGATGGGTTATTGTTCGAGCCACAGTAGAAACAAATAGCCCCAGTTGTGTTCTCAAGGGGATCCTGATTCTGGTTTCAGGTGTGAAGGTACACATATATCCTACTTGAAACCTGCCTCTTTCATTGTTCTCCACATGTGCCAGGCAGCAGAAATGTCAATTAGCCACCCAGTCTGTGAAGAAGGATGATGAAAAGCAGGTTTACCACCTTTAGGAAGATCCAACTACTTATAACCATACTTGCCTTCTTCCAGTGCTCTCCAGATAATAAAAACACAAGGAAACACAGTTATACTGGTCACATCTTGATGGACAGGAAAGAGCACTCTGATATATTCATTTCAATATGATGACAATAAAGTGAATATAAATTGTGAAGTGGGCACAGTCTTTTCACATTATCCTATATGCACATATGTCAGCCTACCTATGTCTGTCCATCTGTGGGTGTATGCAAATACAGTAAGTAGGAGAAACTGCATATATGGTAACCCCACCACATGTTAGACCTGGCATATTCAGCACCCTTAGGATCGGATCAGATCAGACACAGACCAAAAAACAGTGATGGTCACTATATTACAGCACCAAGACACCAAAATAAGCCACTGTAACAGAATGTTACTGTTATATAATTTTAAGTTACTGGTACAAAAATAGTGCAAAAGAGACAAATTAGATGAGACCATAATAAAATAGAGAGAAGATACTGCATGGATTTGGATGTGCACACACACATTCATGTGTAAGGTAGCAGGTGTTGGGTACCAGATTGCCACTGGCCTGAAACGCTAGAGAATATCATTTTGAGCAATTCATATGCTAATGCTTCTTTTCGTTGGGAATTAAAGATAACAGTCCACAGTGAATACACCCTTTGTTAGTAGGTTGGTACTTGCATGCACTACATTGTTTAGTCCCAGCATACAAATGTTGCGTTCTGCAGTTCTGCATGCTGCATATGACACATTTAATTAAATATATTAACAGAAATCCAAAGTCACTCCCAGAAGTGACATACTTTTACAACACTACCAAATTCTAACAGCAGCAAACCTGATTCTAAGGGTGCCTAGCTGAGATCCTATATGTCAGTTTGTCTCCTGGTAATACCCCTGAGATCGAAGACTTTTGCAACCAACTAAGTAGCAGCTAGAGCCAGTCGTTGAGATGACAGGTAGTGAAGTTAGGACTGAGAACAGGGTTGAGTATAGCAAACTGATAACTTTATACCTCCACAAGTAAAATATTTGATTTTGCATAGTGATGGATGTTGAGAGTCAAAACAAAGATACCACCCTGTCACATATACTGCTGAGCTCTCTAACAATACAGATTGATTATAAAATGTTTACTCTTGGATATAGCGTGAACAGTTGTGACCAAGACTTTGCAGCGATTAAAGCTAAATGTTTTCACTATAAGATCATTGTACCCAGCCAATGTATTGAAATTATTAAAAATGCAAAAAGAGAAAGCCAAAATTTAAGGTCACAGACAACTGGTTCACTAGAAAAATATGTCATTAATAAAAAAGACTTGCAGATGGCAAGAAATCTGAATGGCTTGGCTTGAAAAAGAAAACTGAGTACCGAAAATGAAGCAAACCCATAATGAGAGTTATCCACTTTCAGTTCTAGACCTGAATCAGTAAGGGGAAGACACCAGGATTTTAGAAACACAGAGCTACCACTCATACCCAAATGGGAGGACACTGACAAAAGAGAAGCTTGAATATTTATCGGATCTGTGTCAGCATATTCCACAAGTTTGCCATCCCTTTTACAAAAAACATAAGGGTAGTTACAGCGTTGAAGACACTGATCTTCTAGTGGACTCTGACCCACATGATGAATGGTATTCTCTTGTCCAGCATGTGGAACATGTCATCAGCCTTCTGGTGATTAAGTTGCAGATTCTGTACCCAAGAGATAACTTTTTGAACAATGACAAACATGATGAAAAGTACCAATAATTCATAATGCATATAGGATATTGGTGGGAAAGACATAAGGAAAGAGAGCACTAGGAAAGCCAAGACATAGGTGAGTGGTTAATATTAAAATGGAGCTTAGAGATAGGATGGTGTGGTATGGACTGGATTGATCTGGCGTAGGATACACACCAGTGGATGGCTATTGTAAACATCATAATGAACATTCAGGTTCTATACAATGTTGAAAACTTCTTGAATAGCTGAACAACTGGTGGCTTCTCAAGAAGGGCTCAGATCCATGGAGCTAATTACTTAGTTTTAATATTCAAAACTGTCACAAGTTCCTTCAATCATTTTATAACTACTACTTATATTTAATAACATATGTGAAGTAATTCCTTTATAATGTTTGCTTTGATGCCTGATGATGGCCAACAGTGGTCATGTAAGGCAAAATGACTTTACTTATTTAATTATAACATTAATTATGCTCAGCTGGTCACAGCAGCCAAGCGGTCTGAGGCATGAACTGTCTTCGCTCACTCGAAAGCCAGTATCGTGGGTTCAAATCCCACTCAGGGCATGGATCTTTGGAGTGTGTATGCATTTTTCTGTTTGTGCTGTCCCGTGTTTAGGTAGCGGCATTGCAATGGGCCAATCACTCATCCAGGGAATCCTACCAACTATGAAATGATTAAAAAAATAAAAGAAAACCTCGACACCAGTATAAGGGTATAAGAGGAACAAATGCGAAAAAAATTACACTCAGTGGATTTCTACTATTTTAAGTGTAGAAAAACCTAAGTTACCAAAAGGAGAATTAGATTAAAGGATTTTAATCAGAATTCTGACTCAGAAGAGGGGGTTAAGGCCCCATCTACACGAGCGCACGAAGTATGTCTGTTGAAACAAATGTACTTTATGACGGACGCTGCTGAGGACACCACACAGTTGCAGAATGCGGTGCAGTTTTTTGTCTGCAATGGAGCCAGAAGAAAGCGTGGCATTCGCCTCTCTTGTTTATTTCTACAACGGATATCACAACATTCGTTACAACAGACACATTTTGTGCGCTCGTGTGGCCCCAGCCTAAGTCACAAAAGTGAGTGAAATAATGGAGTAATCACAGAATATGGTTTGTTACAAAAATTATTATTATACTAGAGTACAGTTTGCACAGAAGTTTTAATAACACATGAATTCTGCAAAAACATTCAAGCTGTTTCTCCTCCTGAAATATGCTATTTGTAATGTTACTCTCTTTTTCCATAACACCACATAAATATTTTGAAAATCTGGGCATTTCCTAAACAGGTATGCAGACATACTGCAAGAACCTGCTATACATTCAGCATTTTACTCTACTGGGTAAGAATGGAAGTACTGATGCAGGAGAAACAAAACTGACAATTCATATAAAACTAGATTCATAGGTGTTCCCATTATTTTCTTTCCCAAAGCATTTAGTGTGGTATGATAAATCAAATGGTATTAAAAACATCTGCTTAGTTTCCTATATATATACCCTTTTTACAACAAACTGTAATTATCTATTAAGTTCTTAAGCATACTGCAAGAAAACAGAGCAGAACTGCCAACGAAGTTGTAAGTACCTGCTTTAACACCAGCAGTCTCATGTATCATATCTGATATGTTCTTGTTGCTAATACCTTCCTGACTGCAGTTACCAAAGCCATGCCGTTCATGATAAAGTATACAGTAATCTAAGAACTCTGTATTTGAAATTATACCTCCCAAGGTCATATAACCACAACTATGTAGGTACTGCTTCAATTTAAACAGAAAACAGAGAATGTGAATTATGCAGTGATATATCTGACATTAACTGCTCAACAGCTTGACTTCCGATAGTGTTTCAGATTCTGTATAATTAGGATATAAAAACTGCAAAGCAGGCACACTTCTTGACAAACATTATGACCAAATACAACCCACTCATAACATGCGATTCAGTCCTTGATATTGGTCCTAATACTTAAGGAGCTGTATGATAATTAGAAGGGCAAGACACTATAACAATGCAAAGAAAACTTCAATAAGCAAACGAGGTTTGTAAAAAAACAGTCAGTTCCACTCAATGCTCACTGTAGCACCTTGCAACAGAAGTCTACAGTCACCAACATTTCAATTTCTGGCACAGTACCACTGCAACCAAAACCTGGTGATGGTAAATCAGAACTGAGACTTCTCAGAAATTCAATGGAGATGTCCTTGGTAAAAATTTCTGGTTTAGTTCCCAATGCATTTCTGCCAAGCAAGGCCTCCACATGCCATGGAAACAATGAAGTAGACAATCAGCTGTAACAAAATAGAATTGTAAAACTGCAGGATTGGTACTCAACTATAAGCCAGTGTCATTGTTTCTGCAATAACTGACAACTGAAAAACAAACTATCCACTAAACAATACTCTATAGTTTACCCTAAGGGATTCTGAAATTAGAACCCAATACCCTGTCTCTTCACTCTTCCTATCACCATCTTCAGCACCTATATGGACTTCTGAATCAAAAGCGTCAATTAGAAATGTGTAACATATGAAGATAAATGGGGGCCATGTACCTTCTTATTCCTTTTGTAGTTCTGAACATACAACACAGAAGACAGAAAACGAACATAAAACAAGAACAAATACAATACGAATGGCATGAAGGTAACAGTTTTCTGCAGGTTGAGGACAGTGAGTTCAAAGCATGTATAAGAGGAGCAAAACTAGACAGTGCATTACTATTTCACAAGTAATAAACAGCACTGCTACTGTCAAATGACAATGCACTTCAACGCTATGAGCAGCGAGACATAGGTTGTGTGCTAGGAGAGTATCAATTCTACCACTCACTCAACAGAAATCTTCTTATTGCTGCAAAGTACTTCACACAATCTGACAGCTTCTCAGACATGCAACGGAATTGTACTAAAGGATAACATTTTCAGACTGCATATCTTCTTACAAGGGAAGTTACTGCCATTTACTTTACAAAACTGACTTTGCAAGTGACATGATATTATTATTAGCTTATAACATAATTTGAATAATCTTACAATATCTTAATAATAATAATTTTACTTCCATGTTAGGTGGGTCCCTGTCACCACGGCATGGCGCGTCCTCAGGTTGTGGATGGAGGAGACAACCTCCAGTTTTGGAGGGAAGCTGTGAATATATTGAATAAGCAGTCGCGGAGAGCCAACAAGGGGTGGCCCTCCAGCTTGGGGGTTAGGGCTGGGGCTAACAATTCCTCACTGTAGAAGATCATTATGTTACGAAAATGAACACAAAGCCTCAGACCTGGACTGATTCCTTGGATAAATGACCTAAGCTAATGAAAATGGATATGAGATTTGGCACTTGGCATGTACGAAGTTTGTATAGGGCAGGTTCACTCAGGACAGTAGCAGAAGAAATCTTATAATATAAGTTAGATTTTGCCAGAGTACAGGAGGTCAGATGGGATGGAGGTGGCATCGCACCAGCAGGAGACTATACATTTTTCTACGGAAAGGGGAATGAAAATCATGAATTAGGTACAGGTTTTTCCGTACATAAGAGAATTGTATCGCAGTTAAGAGGGTAGAATTCGTTAGTGATAGGATATCATATAATGAGGAGCTTCATAACGTGTACTCGTCTCCAAGTAAAACTTGAATGATCAAGTCAAGGAGGATGACGTGGGCAGGACACGTACCACAAACGGGGGAGAAGAGGAATGCATATAGGATATTGGTGGGAAAACCAGAACAAGAGAGACCACTGGGAAGACCAAGGCTTAGGCAGGTGGACAATATTAAAACGGATCTTAGAGATAGGATGGGATGGATTGGATTGATCTGGCTCAGGAGAGGGACCAGTGGAGGGCTCTTGTGAACATGGTCATGAACCTTTGGGTTCCATAAAATGCTGAGAAATTCTTGAGCAGCTGCAGACTTGGCTTCTCCTCATGAAGGGCTCGGCTCCAGTCAACTCACAGATTAGATAGTAATACAGGTAAACCTATTTTTGATTCACTCGTCATCTGCTACCCACAGTCACTCACTCAAAGTCAGGCAAACAGACTGATGGTGGCAAGTGTACCTCATATAGTTTGAAGGTAATTTGAGGGAAGTATTGTGGGATTTTCTGTGCAACTGCACTTACCTACAAGATGCCTTTGCTTTTCTAGCAGGTAGTTCTGTGGTGGGGCTTGTCACTTAAAGGGCTAAACAAGGAGGGTTAATGCTCATTAATAACCAAACACTGAGACCATGGTGGGAAAAAAAGTTTCATGCTTCTGACTGAAGTCCTCCGATCCATAACATTAAAATATTAAGCTGTAAGATCACTGATCATACTTCTTCCTACACAGTTTTTGTTAAGTGAAAACATCTGAGTCCCAGACAAGGATCTGAGTTTCTTTAATTGGCCATCTTTAAAGTACCCTAAAAGAGAAGAGAATGGTCTCCACTGGTACAAAGTAACAGAAAGATATACTTACTAGGATGACTATTCCAATAATAATGTACAGCTTCACATTCTTCCAGAACATGGAGCGTGCCAGGTTGCGGCTTGTCTTACGGAAAGTAACAGACTGCAACAATAATCAGTCAATTTTAGTACAACTTGCAATGTGTTTCGGGGTGAAAAAATGCAAGTAGGTTACTATTACAGATTTCCTTATTAAAGTGTCAAAAGCAGTGTTGCCTAAGCACTATACATGAAGGCATAAGAGAGGAGTGGAGGTAAACCACTATATATTCTTAACTTCAGCACATAATGGAAGTGAACATTCAGCCTTGTGTTCTGACCACTTTACTCCCAAGGGAAAAGGCCTCTGGTACCTTTTTCATGGGAGGATGGCTGAACCCCATACTCTCTTTGAATATATTGGCAAAAAGAAAAATTCCTACACCAACCAAAGAATGAAACTCCACTCATCCAGTATGCCGCAAGCTTTTCTGGACACACTAAAATACAATAATTATACATTTTATAAATAAACCATTTACACTAATTGTATTCATTTCTCAGTAACTAAATATTCAAATCAAATAAAGGAAATTATATTCATTACATATGAGTAAACCATCTGATTATGCTGCTCCTAGTAAAATACTAACGTTCACGCTAAGGTTTTCTGTTTTGTTCACAAGCAGTTCCAGTCTCTCCCCTCGCATAGCCACATTATCTGCAAATCACAAAATATACATTTTAATTCTGTTCCAGATTTTCATATTGAAACAGACACAAACCTAACGTATGCAGATCCATCTATACAACAATAGGATATAATGTTAATAAAATTAATAATTAAATGACAGTATTAGCTATATTGTTACTCTCACCATGACATGTTTTGATCTACTGATAATCCTCAGGTGAGTCAGCTGAAGCACACGACTGAACTCTGACAAAGAGCATAACCAGCAATAGCCTAACATACTATATCAAGATAAATATCAACTCTGCAGCTGATTATATGCTAAGCGATCCTATGCCATCATCTCTACAGATCTAACAGCAAATCTAACACATGCCTATGAGACGTAACTGCACAAGATAGTTACTGCAGACTGGCTAAACAGGACCTAGCAACCACTATAGTATACCACACCATCAAATTACAAAAACTATTAGATTAACATGCCACAGAGGTACACATCCAGCATCACCTACGGTTCTTGATAATAATGAACCTACCTTTGTTATGGGATTTCACATTGCAGTATTTCATAAGCGAATACTAACAAATGACATCTTTCAATTGTGAAAATGGTTCACTTTTTAGCTGTGATTTTATACCCATGTTCATAGAGCCACCTGAGGATAATCAATAGAGAGAAACATGTCATGGTAAGTAAAAATGAAGTTAATACTGTGATATGTCAATACATTGCCAGGCAACGGCTTGATAAACACCCCACAGTACACTCACATAACAATGGAACAACGGACTTATGCAACCCATTTCTGTGCAACAACTCTGTAAACACACTTCCATGCATGCGCAATGATGTCATCCCCAACAGTGTTTAGCTATCATGTGACATGTGATTTCTGTAGATTCAGGCAGCATGCCAACGGACTGGCTGGATAGCAATCACATGATGTATTTTCTGTAGGTCTGTGTCTATATATGTGTCAGAATTCCTAGGCTGGGTAGGAAGCAGATGGTCTCAGGCATAGCTGAGAACCCATGACACAAGGACACAAAACCACTGAAAGAATTCAACTGGAGAGTTCAGTCAGTTCTTGATAGGAGATAGCCACAGGAAGTTTGTAGTCAGCCTGCAAAGAATTAATGTGAGATCTGAAGACTTCATGTGTGCTGTAGTGCAGTGCAGTGTAGTTAAGAGTTAGTTGCAAGAGTGCGGCTGTGAAGAGAAGACTTTATGTGTAATATTTGGAGTAATTCAGTGAGAGTGTTATAGTTCCTGTGTTTTAATTGCATTACCAGGAGATGACTAGTATGTGTAACAGTAAATTATTAAGTGTAGAAACAGCGATAGCACTATAATTATGGTAATTACTGGTGGTGTGCATAAGAACTAAATAAACCCGTTCATCCAATCCAGAAACCGCATTATTAGTCACTAATACATGTGACAATATTGTCATTTTATTAATCTTATTAATTTTACATCCACTTGTTGTGCAGCTAAATCACATGTGCATGCACACACACAAGATTCAATAAAACTGTATTTGTTGTCACAAGTAAGACAAATATCACACCACTGATTTCTGAACATATGTTCAAGTCTTAATTGAGTGATTGAATCTTGATTATTTAATGCTTCAACAGATCATACAGTGTAAAATGGTGGGATAAGTGTCACTGATGGACTGAGACTGGAGAGACTTTAACCATCCACAAAAGAAGCTCAAGATAGTTGTCTCCAGGCTGATCTGAACCAGGATCTCCCAAATATGAATGAGCATAATGAGGCTAAAGTAAAGTATAAATTATATTTCTAAAAATAGCACAACACCTCAAACATAACAGTCAAAATCTTTAATTCTTTAAAAATAGGTCTGCATGATGTTCTGCTAATTGCACCTTTCATTAAGCAAAGTATCCTTTTTTGTATTTTCAGTACTTTGTTATTTTCTCTTTCTCCACCCCAAAAAAATCAAACTGTAACTTACTAAGGATTGAAATCTGGCAAAGTATATATTCCTAAGTACAGTAGAACTTGGTTATAACGTCATCAAAGGGACCTAAAAATAATGTCGTTATAAACGAATGTCGTAACCGAAATGGGCACTTCCACAGTAGCCTTATGTTAGTCACGTAAAAATCTACCAAAAACCGAGTTAAAATGTTGCATTTTTTAGTGAAATACGTAGTTAAGTATAGACTAACGTAACATTAACGTGGAATTGCCCAAATGTGTAATATCAAAGACATATTACAGCGCTTTTCACTGACAATCCACACCGCACTAATACTGTATATTAAAGGTAGGCCCACTCACCAAATTACAGTAGATTACATCAATTGTTGTGCCTTACTGTACCTAGATACGAGTACAGTAATCAGTTATCTTCATCTGTTTCCTGTTACTTGCCCAATACACACTTTCTAAATTACGTTCAATGTCCATATCAGAGAAATTCAGGAATGAAAATGACGTTACATACGAGGTTGATGCATTTGTGCATGTCGTACTAAGCAAGGTATAAAAACAGTTGCTTTATGAGGAATTAGTTCGTACCATTGAATATTTGACGCAATAGACAAGGTGTCGCAGAAACCGATGTTGCTATAACCAAGTTTGACTGTATATATAAACTCACTACATCATTCAAGGATTTAATAATGTAACATGCCTTATTCAGTTTTAGACACAAGGACTGAATATGTGACCTCCAATTTAGATTATGTGTTATATTGATACCTAAAAATCTGAACTTTGATGTATAACTAATTTTTATATTTTTGAAAGTAATAACTGGCTCAGAAATGTAATATGGTTTATTTAATTGGAACAGCACTGCTTTGGTCTTATCAGTATGTATAAGCAGGTTATTTTCTGAAAACCAAGATTCTAGCTGGATCATCACTCTTTTTATTTTTTCTTGAAGAGTAATTTTATTCTTGTCTATATTGGTATCACCTGAAAAAAGAACCACTTCTCCATTTGATATATGATGGGGTAAACCATTTATATATAATAAAAAGAGGAGCGGTCGCAAAATAGAGCCTTGAGGTTTCTAAGGCAATTTTTTCTAGTGGGTACCAGAACACTGTACAACACTTGATCATTCTTCATCAGCAGTTCCCTTTCTGAATGTCAGACTGATCTCAGGCTACCACTAACCCCACTAATGTTACTGTGTCGCGGCTTTACCTGAGCATAATACCTACTGCTCACTTAAAAAGAGGAATGAAAATGGTCTACTGGACTCTCTGAAATATTTAAATGCTGAGTCTGACAACCATCTTACTCATACCACCACCACAGACATGTATACAAATTTATCCCTCACCTGATCCAGGAAAGCTTATGATTTACAAGGGAAACATTTCACATGAAGGTGTAATAAATAGAGCTCAAACAATTATCTAATAACTAGAAATCCTCTGAACGTTCCCTAAAAAGATTTTTACATGCTAACTCTTGTTATGCATTAAATGAGCGGCCTCTGTAGTCTAGGGGTAACGTTCCAACCTCATGACTCAAGGTACGCGGGTTCAAACCCGGCGGAGGTTGTGGAATTTATAAGGGCAAAAAAATTCAGGGAACAAGTCCTCCGAGAGGGACTTTAAGCTGTGGGTCCCGTGTCGTAGCTTTACGGCATGTAAAAGAACCTCATGTCCCAAGGGGACCACTGAGCCAAATTGATCGGACATATCCCGCCCAACAGTAGTCTCTAACACCTCTGATAGATGGGGGAAGCATCGAGAGATACCGCTGAGCCAGTAGAGGCCGAACTCGCTAGCTGAGTCGGGACTGATGGCACGCACCGGTATCGGTAGGGTATAGAGACTGGTAGAATATCACAGAGGGGACATACAATAGACCACTGGTCGTGGTGCATGGGGAAACCCACCCCTCCAATAATAATAATAAATAATATGCATTAAATGAGTATTTTAATTACAAATGTACATAAATTTGAATGTTTTAATGCCATATTTTAATATATTTGGTATGGGAGACGTGAGGGGTTGTATTGTGGTTACTTGCGAATTATGTCTGTTAATCATGATATTATCTTTTTGCCTCGTATTGTTGTGTTAGATAGTTAATGTGGGTGATTTTCGTTGTGTGGCTTGTGTGACTTTGTGTATGTGTTTGGTGACTATTTCCATATCCTGGGTCTGTTGCCTGTATGGATGTTTATGGAAAGTGGAGGATATGTATGTATGTATATGACAAGTCCTGTATCAATGTATTTTGATTTATGGGAAAATAAAACAAAGAAAGAAATATAATTGGCCATAAGTGTGTAAATTTATAATGCATTTAATTCGGTTAATTTGGGTAATTTGAGTGAAATTGTATTAATTTTGAGTTTTTATAGTAATGTTCTTTTTAAATTATGTTTATTAATTATAATTGTAATAAGTTTTAGGTTTCTTACTTGTATGGACGGACGGACGGACGGACGGATGAATGAATGAATGAATGAATGAAACTATGCTTTATGAGTGCTGTATCCCACCATTTAGTGCTCCTGCGAAGAGCACTCTTACAGGACTAGTTTCACTTTCTATCCATGCTTTATATGGTCACTGTACATGACTTAAACTATGAAGTATTTACCAGTGGCAAGATATGGCTCCTCTCCATCATGTGTGAATGGCTTTACAGCGTGATTCTGCTGATTTCACCATAAATATTCCTCAATAGCACTTGTACCTGATAAAGCTCTCTGTTACTGGAGAGCTGACAAAGTATGAAGTCACTTATTGCAATAACTGGCTATTCTTTGAGGAAGTAGCATGAACAAAGAATTCTGAACTACATTTTTACATCCCTCTTTTACTGACTTAATGAAAATATAAATGTGGCTTCGTGGATGTTACAGAATTTGTATGTAAAGAACTGCCACAAAGACAACAAACATATGTTGCACATGGCATGTTTGGTTACTGCCATTTTAATAATGAAAACCAGACCCACACAAGCCATTCATTTGTCATGGTAGTGGACAGGATACCAAAACAGAGATCATGCCAAATGGATGTTTGTGTGGACTATTTATATGAACTGAAGACGAACACAGGAAATTTCTACACGTTACATAATTCTCTGTAAATAAATGTATTTTAAGTACAGTGCAGCTTATACCCTTGCTGCCTCATTTGGCATGTCAGTCTTCCTGATCCTGATTTGGTCCCAGTCCCCAGCTATTGCAGACACGGAGAAGAAAATGGTGACTTTTGTAAAATTTTATAACAAACTCACCAATGTTTTTAACCATGATGTTCTTCAGATCATCCAATTCCCCATGAACTCGGGAGATGGTGTCAATCTCTCGCGATTCTGAATAATATCTCTGAAATAAATATCCAGTAACAGGGAATAGATTATACGAAGTATACACAAAAATTATCAGAGCTGCAGTTTTCTGTTTTCTTCACAAAATAAATGGCAAGCAGGGACCATCATACCAGACATCCAAAAAAGAATGCTTGGATTTTGCATACATGTTTACAATATGACCACTTATTTATTCCTTTTTTGCTCAAATTACTTTTAACATAGTTATGCTATTTACTGGCATATTATATCTAGAGATATACCAGAAAAGTTGAAACAGGCACTTCTAGTATTCAAACAGTACTTTCATAATTCTCCAACAAATGCAAATTTGGTGACAGATTAATTAAAAGGTAAAGCTATTCCTGTAATAGGCCATGGAGGCCCACAGTGTTGACATATCAAGGCTCCCACATTTTCACAGATGTGGTGAGGTTGTCAGTCTCGCACGGCAGCCACCCTTCACCCCCAAGAAGATTCCTCATACTCATTTCTGTTAGAGGCTGAATCAACCCCAGGGCCATAGTGTGATTGGAAGGACTAGGCCAAAAGTTTGCAGATTCAATTCCCAATTAGGTCACCAAATTTTTCATTTGACCTATAATCCTTCCAGCCACACTATGGCCCTGGGGTTGACTCAACCTTTAACAAAAATGAGTATCAGGAATCTTCCTGGGAGCAAAGGGCAGCCAACACATAAGGCTGACAATCACCGCCATCTGTAAGCCAACTGTCTACAAAATGTCGAAGCCTCAACATCTCACAATTCTAGATTAATTGTAACAGGTTAATTTACTTTGTATTATTATGTCAGCATTGACCCTAGTGCACATAAAGTATGAATTCTGCAACAAGTTTATTTGCAGATGTCTTATGGGCATGTGTTATAGAAGCTCAAGTGCAGGGCCATTACACACTACAGTTGCTCTAAACTTTAAATTTCTTGGAGTCTTAATCTGGTAACGAGTGAATATAAATCATATTCATACCTAAGTTTCAAAACTGCTCTCAATGTTTAAGAAAAACTTTACTGTGAATAAAATAATTTTCTCAGTAAATGCAAATAGCCCCACCCCCCACTAAAAACACATTCCTGAAGGGTTTGCCATTTTACTGATGCTTACTGTCTTCCAGAATGTGATGGCACATTCTGTAAATTGGTATCAACATTTCAGAGGAACCCAATGCATCCAACTTCAGGACAGAAGAGTAAGCCATGGGAGTAAAAACAGTCAGTGATGTAGGTAAGACAAGACAAGGACTGGGGCCAAGAGTGAACCAATGGGGATGGTGTACGATAAATGGGATCCTGTGATTCTGAGAAGCACTACATTCGTAGATGAGAAACTTCAAAGATCAAACCAATGATTGCTGTGTAACCTGAATGGGGGCCTGTAGTCCTAAAAAGCTCCAAACTTGTAGACAAGAACTCAAGTAAAGGTAAAATGTAAAGGAGGTGAAGAAAGTAGAGATAATATATAGATAATATACAAAAAAATAAAGTAATCCAACAGACTAAGGAGCGAAAATGCAGGAGTCAAAAATAAGCAAGACAGCAAAATAACATTAAAATTAAAAAAATAGAAAATATATTAAAAAAATAAGAACAGAATAAAAGTAAAACTGGAGGAAACACAGTGGAACTGGAAGAAAAACAGAATAAGTATATGGGAAGGACAAAGAATGAAATCCTGTGAAAGACAGTTCTCAGAGGGCCGCAGTAAGGACCAGGTTAAAGAGACCACCTGTAGACTATCCTTTTCAGGTCCTTGGACAACGGCTTTATTCAGGACTCTATTTATCCTTCTCTTCCACTTACTATGACATTTAACTTCAGTTCATCTTTGATATTATTTCACTTCATTATTCTACACATTTTCATTCTTATTCTCTTTCATTTATTTTTGTATGTCTTTTCCTTTTATTTTATTCTGTCTCCTCATCACGTTTCCACCCCCTCTTTATTTTATTCTTTTAAAGTACTTTTATTTTATTAGACTACTTGAATGTTATATTTACTCATACATATTATCCCTATACTTGCATCAAATTCTTTACATTTTACCTTTACTTTTCTTCCTAAATACAAGTTTGGCTCTTTGTAAGCTCACAAATTTCCATTCAGTTTATAAAACTTTCACTGGTCCATCTTAGTCTCTTCCAACCTCCAAGTGTACGCCTTTTAGGACCACAGTACCCCTTTCATTTAACATCAATCCCAATGGTTTGCTCTTAGATTCAGTCAATGTCCTCATTTCACCGACCATTTCTCCCAACATGGCCTAGTCCTCCACCCATGGCTGAAAGGGGAGGCAAGCCTGGCATCTTATACCTCACCAGATTTGCAGAAGAAATCAGAAGTGAAATGAAGGAAACATGTCAAATATTAATATTAGAAACAAAAACTGTTTTAAAATGGGGTGCCATTTGTGTTATAATATAGAGATCCACAATCCCAGAACTATTCTTAAATTATCAAAATGTAGGTTTGTAAGTAAATAGTCTACCCCCTCCCCCCATGTGCTCATGTTTCTATACTGAAGATGGTGAGAGCCAGTACTCTCAAATGCTAGTACCTATCTACAGAGGCACAAGGCATCTCAACCCAGAAGACTGCAATCCTCATAATCATCACTGTGAGCACCTAAAATGTTACCTACCATTTCATTGGCTAGAACTTGAGAGAATTCTGTGTTCATTGCATATGCCAAAGCTGTGTCTGCTCTGGAGCCATAAGCTGTTTGAAACCTCCGCTTGATTTCATTCAGATACAGAAATGCCCTTGAACGTACAAATTCCTAGAAAGAGTAAAAATATATACTATAATACTGTGACGTATTTGCACTATGCTGGACACCCCCTTCCCCCTCCAGCAGTGACATAACAGCATCATAGCGCTGTTGCTGCTACGGTAACAGGCCAGTCAACACTCTGCCCCCATCCCCCACGGTGATGTAACAGCACTTCCCACTGTGACATAACAGGGGACATCGCTGGTAACACGAGGCAACAGGGAATGGTATAAAAAGCGGGCTGAGCAGTATGTGGTCAAAGAGTGTGTGATTAGGAGTGACACAGTGCGGATCGTGAAGTCGCCAAGCGCAGTTGCAGTCTAGTATTCACCGGAGTGAACGACTACAGGAGAAGTATTTGTGATACTGCCAATGGCAGTAGTTGTAAATGTGAATTGTGTGAGTGTAAGAGTGAATGTGGAATAAATTCGCTGGATCCAAGACGGCGTGAAGTTATTTGTCATGTGACATATGCCCAACATGTGACAATACAGTAAACCCTCATTACAACAGACCCAGATATAATAGGATATAATTGACAAAATCTGGCTGCGAACAACTGTGAGTTTTTAGAGATGTTGAGGCACTAGGAAAGTTTTGTAGTTAGAAAGCTATTTAAAATAAAAAAGAACGTCAATATAAAAACCTTTATATAATAACACTGTGTGTTTCTATGTTTATTGCATGTACTGGCTATGTATCCTATGGTACACTTCCATGAATACCCCTTCACTCAATATAGTGAACACTGGTGATAATGAATGCCCAGTCTCCCCTATTAGTCTGTTAAACTGAAGGTTTACTGTACTTCCAGTAAAAAACCACAACACAAATCAATCTCTTGTACATGAATAAAAACACATGGAGACATGGGGGCAAGGGGCTCAAGCAGAATGTTTAAGCTTAGCATAGATACCATCCAACATCTCTTCTGTGAGCACTCAGTATTTCATTCCTCTTGCGCTTAATACTAGTGACCATAGTTATCTAAATTTATTTATGACTGCATCAACAGTTTTTTTTTTTTTGAGGGGTAACATCCTGAAATTTTGGCTGGGATCTTCTCTTTTCATTTAACATGGATTTGACACATGAACATTCATGTGTCTCATGCACTCTCAAGTGCTATTTCAACATAAGAGGTAACATGACTGACATTCACTACAGTAGCAGGGGCTTGAGTTGAGGTCTACTGGCACATAATGCATAAGCTTCTTTCATGGTACCTGTTAAGAAATGTACATGTACGAGGGGGGACCCAAAAATAACCGGAAACGACCTGTTGCGCACGCATGCTTTGTAGTTACGAGTTGTGCTGCTAGGTGGTGTTAGCTGGGGGTCTCCCGCGACTGTTAGTGAGCTGGCGTCAGTCTGAGTTAAGTGGTTTGTCTGTGGTGCTCTGTTGTGTGCATTTCTGTTTCAACCCTTTGGCGATTAGTGAGATGGCCGACCAGAAGGAACAAAGAGTGTGCGTGAAATTGATGAAGATCGTCGAAAGACCACTGACCAACTTTCTGAGGAAATGAACATCTCATGGAGCACGGTCCAGCGAATTTTAACCGAAGGTTTGCACATGAGACGGGTGTCTGCAAAATTTGTTCCTCGCTTGCTCGGAGATGACCAAAGAGAAAACCGCGTAAATGTTTGCCGCGACTTGAAGAGTGAAGTGCAGTTTTCCCTAACAGAAAGCAAAATTTCACGCACACTCTTTGTTCCTTCTGGTCGGCCNGTGTTAGAGAGAAACTGTAATTTGTATAGGCTACTGGCCTGTTAACTATGCCATGAGTTCGAATTTGTGCCAAGCAAGTTGAGACAAGTAACATGTGTGCCTCTCACCGGACCAGCTGAACAATATGTGGAAGGCTCTCAGACACTCTCCCTGTAGTTCTTTGGCTCTCAAACAGAAATTACAAATGATGTTTGATACTGGTACACAGCTACTAACACAGAATTTGTAAATACTTGAAATTAGACATGGAAGAGCAAAAGACACAACAAAGAAATTTACTTTTACAAGTGCATTTTGGATGAATGCATATGTGCAACAATTACAAATATCTGTTAATATCTTATGTATATGCATTTATTTATGAATTATTTAAAGACCATGTCAGCAATTCAATTATTCAGAATCAAATGGTAGAATGACTAATGAATTTGAAATGATGTGAAAGAAAACAGTCACAGCCTAGTTTGTAGTTCTACAATGTCTTTCTCAAAAGGCCAAATTAAGCTACTGGACTGTGAGAAAAACAAGGAACTGGGAGGTAAAGGTGCTTCTAGTGATAAAGAGATGGGTATACTGCCCATCAGCAACATTGTTATACAGTTACTGTTCATCTTTCATGGCTCTATGACTCCCTACAAATGGCTGACCACAAAATGCATCAGTTTTCCTTCAGTTTCTGTTCACATAAGGCATTCTGACATCTGTTTTGTGTCTTCATTTACAGTGCCTGAACAGTGAGAATTTCTGGGCAATAAGTATGTGAAAACAGTGCTGAACTGAAATGGTGAAATATATACATGAACAGTGCATTTTTCTGTACAATACTGTCCTGTATTATTTACTGGCCATTGCATAACAATGGCTCTCTGTCTGATGACATCATTGCATTTACTGTGCTGCAACCTAGCAACGGACAACTTCTTCTGGCTTTCATGTCACAATACTTATGTGAGAAATACATCACATGAATTGCATAAAAGAAGGTTCTGCCATAAGTATCCTTGTGTTGGAGTTCCAGCTTCATCAACAATTTTCAAATTGATGGAAAAAAGTGTTTAACTGGGTCTTTTTAAACAATAAAAACACTGGACAGTAAGCAGTGCTAACTAAGAAGAGCTAGACAAAAATGGAGTCAGATTAGAAGAGAGGTCTCACAAATCCCTGCCATGATACCAGCAACATGGAGAGTGACTAAAAGGTAAAACCACTGCTGTACAAAATTAAACTGGTTCAAGCATCTGAAGATGGCAATTACAAGAAAAGAACAAATTTTCAAACTAGTTTTTGCAGGCAGTATGTGACAGCGTTCTTGACCCAAAACTGGCTCTTTATTGATGAAGCTTGGTTTCATCTGAGTAAGTACACCATGCCTAAGAACAACATTTACTGAAGCAATGTTTAAAGAACCACTTCATGATCTGAGCAGTGGTGTGCCATTACTGCTACACAAATACCAGAATACATTTTTTGAAAGGCCTCTTCAGAATGGTATGTTAAGGATATTCTTCTGCCCTTTCTTGAGAGAATCTCAGGGGGCGGGAGTATGGTTATTTTATTCAAGATGATGCTACAGCACACACTCTTAATTACTCAATTACATTTGAATGAGGTGTTTTAAGACCGATTCTTTTAAGTCACACATTCTGACCTGCAAGAAGTCCAAATTTAAATCCCTGTGATTTTTATCTGTGCGGAAACCAAAAAAACTAAGTGTATTCAAATAATCCCCATATATTGAACAAACTTAAGCACATTAGTGAAAAAAATACATCTATCAATAGCTAGTATCTAACAATGTTCTCAAAAGACATAACGTCTGCTTAAGAGCAGAAGGAAGAAATTTTGAGCTTCTACTGTTATGATGAGTTCTCCTAAACAATTAATTTACTCTAAGAAATGCATATCCACATTTATAAAATGCAGCATATCAGCCACTCTATACACCTGTTTTCCATGGATGTGACATGTGGCTAACAAGATGATAGTAACAGTGTCAGGTAATTTGGTTCTTTGAGAAAGACTCCGTACCTGAGGATTTGCTTGGAGGGACTGAGAAAAGCCATGAAAACCTAAGCAAAGGATAGCCAGTCTATGGGCAGAGGTATGAACTTGGGATTTCCCAAATATAAAAGCATGTATGCTATCATACCCCTTAATTATTGTAATGTAAGGAAAATTATTGATATAAGAAGACTAGCAAAATTATTATACTCACGTCATCTGTAATGCACATGTATATTATTCTGTTTTCACAAATGTAATGAAAAAGATAGCTGCCATGGGAATATGTCAGCTTTGCATCATGAGGTGGTATTTTTGTCATGATCTGTTCTGTGACTTCAGTGAAGTTCCCAGCACATGAGGCATATTTTGTGAGAACTATGGTACCTCTTGCTATTACACTGTAGAGGATAGGCATTGTGGCGAATTACTGGCAAACTGAAATAGTAATAAACATAACCAAGGCATAAAAATGAGATTTAGTGCTAATAATACATCACTCTAAGTGCTTTTATTATGATAAATAGATCTTAAATTCCAATGATAGAATTAAAAGTACTTGGAATGTTGTAAAGGTGCTGACTTGTAGGAAGTCTTAACTTCTTTGAATACTTCTGATAGAATATATACAAATTCAAAAAGCATTCCTGAATCTTTTAATGAATATGTTTTGTCTGTGGCTGACACAATTATCAATAATATATCAAATAATTGTAATTTAATTTACATTTACATTTATTTTTCATTTCAAGGATCCAATCAACAGCCGTATGGCTGGACATAAAACATGTCACATATTACAAATTCATGATGACTATAAATCATTCGTCCTTGGTCCAATAAAATATAAAATAAAACCTCAGAGAGAATAGCTCTCAAGTTGTCAGGACAACACACAAAGGTCATGGAAAAGCCACAATCAAATTCACACCTTGCCATTCCCCACACACACACACACGCACGAACGCACCCGCACGCGCACACGCGTGCACACACACACACACACACACACACTCTGGCAAGCCATATCAACCAAACAGTTACATTATAAAATATTAAAATTCGTAACAAAAAACAGACATCATACATACTACTACACTTACAACAATCAAGTCTCAATACTGTATAGTTCACGCACACAGACCATCTATTAATTCTTAACTTTTGAGCCACTTACATGCTTGAAAAATTCATCAATAGAGTAAAATGCGTTACTTTGCAAATAATTTTGTAAAACAAACCTAAATTACTTTTTATCATTTTTTAAAACTGTGATATTTGATGGCAGAGTATTAAATAGCTTGATACCTGAATAATACACCCCTCTCTGATAGGATGATAAATGTGTTGAAGGTATATGAAGGTGGTCATTCCTTCTGGTCCCAATGACATATACAGAGTTATTGGTTTGAAACTTATCCAAATTATTAACAACAAATATCATCAATGAGAGCAAATATATACACGCGATAAAAGTAATCCCCGTTAAAATTTTTAAAAATAGTGTACATTACATTACTTCACCATTAACCTATAAAATAATTAGCTCATTAGCAACTGGTATATTTCCAGATTCACTTATATTTTCTGAAATAAAACCCATATATAAAAAGGGCGATAAGAATCTTATTAGTAATCATAGACCCATATCATTAACTTCTTTCTCAAAAATATTTGAAATATTTCTCCAAATGGAAAAGAGTTAAGCAAGGAGTTCCTAAGAGGTCAGTCTTAGGACAACTTCTGTTTATTATTTATATTAATTACTTGCCATTATGCATCAATAATTTTGCCAATGTTTTTCTCTTTGCGGATGACACCAGTATTTTGGTCACTGGAAATTGTTGTGCACTTAAGAACAAAGTTGAGGATACCTTGTCTCTCATTATAAATTGGTTTATAGTGAGCAAGTTGGCCTTAATTATTAACAAAGTTAATATTATTAATTTTGCTCCTAAACAGCCTGCCAACTCTTTGCTGGCAGTATCCCTTGGAAACGTCATAATGAATGAAGTACCTGTAATAAAATTTTGGGGTATACAAATTGCTAATAAATTGAATTGGAAGAGTCATGTAGAAAACATCCTTCCTAAACTCAGTTCTGCTATTTGTTAAATTAGGAGTTTATGTTATGAATTTAAAAAACCTTGCAAATGGTGTATTTTTCTTACTTTTATTCTATCATTAAATATGGAACAGTCCTCTGGGGCAATTCGACTAATAATTCTAAAGTCTTTAAATTACAAAAGAAAGTAATAAGGATCATATTGGGAGTGGGACCCAGAGACACATGTGTAAGTCTTTTTAGGAAATTAGATATTTTACCATTGTCATGTGAATATATTTTTTTTTCATGCTGTTTGTGATAATCAAAATAATTTCGGTTCAGGTTCAGAGGTTCATGGCCTGAACACCAGAAGCAAATATCAAATTTATATTCAAACTTCAAATCCTTCTGTTTTCCAGAAGGGCACTATGTTTACTGGTATTAGGTTATTAATATATTGCCAAAGACCATTCAAAGTCTTAGAAAGGTTAGAATCAGTTTTTTTTAAATAATTTATTTTCATATCTCATGAATAACTCATTTTATACAGTTGATGAATTTTTGGAGCATACAGTAAGTAATTACAGTGTTTGTTTCGCTTTGGACTGTCTTTCTGCTTTGTTTGTTTGTGTTATGCTTGTGACCAGTTGTATTTTGGACTTGTGAAATGTGGAAAATACGTATGTATGCATAACGATACTCGTAGCTTAGACCCAAAACTTAAAATTAGTCAATTACTTCCTACTACAACACATACTCTTTTTACAAGCAAATTACGTTTATTTTTTCTTTTCGATGTCAAAAACAAATAAAATGGATTAAAATTACCTTCAGATAAGACAGAACTTCCACGAGTAACAAAAAGTCTGAGTCACGTTATGGAAGTACAAAGAAATTTAATTCGTTGTATAAGCCAAACATAGCATAACAAAGATTTTTAATTAACTGCGCTGTATCCAATTGAATACCCAGCCATCTACATAGTCTTCGAACCGCAACCACTGCGACTCAGATTACTGGTTCACACTTACAGTCGGTTGGGTCGGTTACAGTCGTTGCGATCGTTGCAATGGAACACAACCAGAACACAACACACTATCATACCTTGCATATCGTAGCCGTTGTAGCATATGACCGCACGTGACCGCATATGACCTATATGACTCATGGGCCACATGGGGGTCTTGGTAATGTTGGTCATATTGGTGATTGTTGGTGATCTTGGTCTTCAATGATAAGATTTGTAATACGTAACATTAAGAATGGCGACTGAGAACGAAGGAAGTGCTTCATCGTCAGGTGATGAACTTGATGGTTTGCATTATTTGAAACCTCCATCGTGGAAACAAAGATCAGCAGTACAAATAATTGACATTCAGAGCCCAGGTAAAATACACATGTTCAGTTTATTTAATTAATCGGTGTTTGTGAATATAAAGTGGCGAACCCACGTACGGCCCGTGAAAAGTACATTAAATGATTGAATAACAGTAGATTCTCTTGCTTTTCGTCACGGTTATAAAGTTAGAAATACGTGTCTGTAGCTATAGCAGTGAATTGTTTTGCTTATCAGTCACCTGACCCGTCTGTTATATTTGGTTATGGACATTTATTTACTATATAGACTGGATGTGCCCTCAGAAACATTTGTGAAAGACTATGATAGTATGCAGTTTTTAGTCAATAATGTGAAGTGTTTTGAAGTATGATGGTGATAATATTTATGGATGTTTCATAGCTGGTGATGTATGGTGTGGCATGAGTAACCACATCTGTACTTATATCCATAACATTTTGTATGGCGTTACAGACATGGTTTTCAGTGATCAGATAGCAGGTGCTGAAATCAGACTCATGAATAAAATTATTTTGGAAATATAATATGCAGCCACCATTCAATCCAGAACCTTTTGTCTTCTTGTATTGTGTCTAAAAACGTAAAAATTTGAATATACAACACTATAGTTCTGCCAGTGGTTCTGTATAGGGATGGAGGAACACAGACTGGGGGGATCTGCAGAGAGTAGTTGTACTGAAGAAATATGAACTGGTAGGAGGCTGGAGAAAACTGCATAATGAGGAGCTTCATGATTTGTACTCTTTGCAAAGTATAATTAGAATAATCAAGTCAAGGAGGATGAGATGGACATGGCATGTAGCATGAAAAGGGGAGAAGATGAATGTGTATAGGATATTGGTGGTAAGAAAGCCAGAAGGATCTTTCCTTCTAGGAAGACCAAGATATAGGTGGGTGGATTTGATTTGGTGTAGGAAAGGACAGTCGAGGGCTCTTGTGAACATGGTAATGAACCTTCAGGTTTCATAAAATGTTGGAAAATTCTTTAGTAGCTGTACAACTGGCAGCTTCCAAAGAAGGGCCCAGCTCCATGGAGTTAGTTAATATACTTCCATCTTCAGGCGAATACATATTTGGCTTACTATCATTTGTGGTGCAGAACTTGGAAAAATTTCAAAGAAGTACACTGTTTAAACACAAGACATGAGTGTGACCATATGCCAAAAGCTGACCTTACTAAATATCAGTGAGGAGTATCCACTACAGATATCAAGTTACTTTGTAATCATCCGCCTACAATTAGAAGGTTAAATCATTGTGTAAAAGTGATCAAGCCTGCATTAAAAAACTAGCTTTTAAGTTCTACTCAGTATATGACTTTACATATATCTGTGTTTACGTGCAAGAAAATATTTTTTGTACTTGTTTTAAAATTTCTTAAGGTTTATATATATATATATATATATGAAATTAGTTGTTGGCCCTGTATAACATATTCTGTACTTTTTGGTTAGCCCAAAGAAGGATCAATGGAATGCAAATAAACTCTATTCTCTTCTACTCTGTTGTACTCTATGCTGCTCTTTACCAAATACTCCCTAGTCCCTCGTGAAATAAATTTCACCCGATCCTAATAGTCTCTCAGCAGCCCTCAGGATCCTTACCTCACTGCCACATGATTAATGTTAAGATACATGGTATTACTTGCTGTGTCTTGTGAAGAAGTTCAGCTAATGTTTTCTCATCAGTCCTTATTGTCATATGATGCAGAGAAACACTGGCATAACTTGCTTGTCTCATTAGTTCCCTTATGTTAGTACGAGTAAGTTATCTCTTTCTGTGTTTCTTTTGCAGTTGAATACAATTCCCAAAATATAGAACAAACTTCTTCAGCAAAAAACAAAGCCACCAATAGCAGCAAAGTTTCACTAAGTGAAGAAAAGAGCACATCTGAACTCCAGAACATGAATGTAGAGAAATCTGTATTGGAAAGCTTGTGTGGAATTCAACATTTGCCATCAGATGTCTTGGAACAAGTCAGTGATTCAAAAATGAGGCCTGAGATCACAGGAGTTGCCAATCCTACATCAGCAAAGCAGAAAATTTTAATTTCAGGTGAACTGCAGAACAGATGTATAGAAGTGAAAGATGCTGAATGTCAAACAGAATTGACTGGAAAACTGTTAGCAGGTTTAGAAAAGGGACAGGATGTTGGGAGCCAAACCATCAGTACTGGAGATGTGATCTCATTGAATCTGTACTATGGTAATCTGTCTAGTGACAAGCTAAGTAACACTATGTGTGACCCAGGGAACGAGGGACTGTACAACTGCACCACACTGAAGGACATTGAGAATTATGAAGATACTTTTCAAGGTAATATCACACAATTGTGTCAAACTGTTGGCTGCACTGTTGAGGTCAGAAGCAAAGAAACTCAAGTTAATGAGGCTGACATTCCTTATGTTCATGTTAATGAGTCTGATAATGCACCAGTACATAAAAATACTAGGTGTTATGGTAGTTTTTTACGTACTGTATTCCTTTACATACTTTTATTCTCCTCTGTTCATTTTACCAGAAATGCAATTATCAGTACCAGTTCATTCTTTTACAAAATTCTGTTCAGCACATAAACAGTCTGGATGAGTTTATATATAATCTTTGAAGTGTTATTTGAAGCAGTCATAAATGGGACACTGGCTACCAGTCTGTGAGGTGGATTTAATTAAAAGTACCTGTGTAATGTTATCCAATGTAGAAGAAACATTATAGAGACTAATGCAGGAGTGTTGGAAAGAAAATAGTGGCACCATAGTGGTATATGAGTAATTTTTTTTTGGTATCCAAGAAGAAATAGAATCTTTCAATTCCCCATCATTTGTTCAAGAGATCATTCTCCTGCTTGCTAGATGTTTTCTTTCCCTCAAAGAAATTCCTACATCTTGGGAGTATAACAGATCACAGTAATAATGTCTGAGAAGTATGGTGGATGCTACAAGAGTTCCCAGTTGTTGCCATGCCACATGCCTTATACAGACTGATACATGGGTACTTGCACTGTCTTGCAGCATGATATATGAAAGCAGGAGGATATGTGGCTGCTTTTATCACAGCCTTGGACACAGGTGATTCTCCAGAAACTTAACCTCAAGAGCCTTCCTGATCACACCTAGTCTATAAATTGTATTTGAAGATGGCCTGGCAGACCACAAGCTAGTGTCATAGTATAACCCTGGAGTGCCTTGCAGGAAACATGCAGAATAAATCTTACAAGGCTATCTTATCTTCCATATAGTCAGAAATCCACTGACAGTTAAAGAGAACGCACTGCCTGTATCTTCAGGATCAAAGAATAAGTCAGGAAAGATACCAAGAAGAAGAAATTGGCAAGCAAAGCTTGTGGATACTGTCCTGTGGGAAATAACACCATGTAGTATGGCAGAAGTCTGCTGGCATTTCAAGGAAAAGTACTGCCTTCATCTTTGGGGGTCAAAGAGTAAGCCAAACAAGAAACCAGCAAGCAGAAAGCAGAGCCCATGAAGAGTAGTCTTCAGGGATATAATGCCTGCAGTTTGGTAGATGCCCAGTGACATTTAGGAGGAACAAACTTCCTTCATCTTCATGATCGAAAAAGAAGCCAAGCAAGAAGCAGGCATCAAGCAGAGCTGTATGGCATTCCTTTTATCATATGTCTCACTTTATTATCTTCTTCTGTCAAATTTTTGAATAAGTCAGGTGACGAAAAGAAATTGTTTAGCTTATGTCTATTTCAGTTAATTAATTCTTAATAGTAAACTTTTTATTTAGAGCTTTAAAACATAATAAATAACATTTATTTTCCAAAAGACTGCAGTTTGGAACTTTATAGGCATTTAAAAAACAATGTTGTCAGCTAATAAATGCCGTCTCTTAAAGTCTGATAATACCATACACGGACAGTTTGGCCCTGTGGGACTGCATGATGAAGTATACTACAATCAGCATAACCCTTAAGTTGCTTCTTGTTGAAGTTTTTTCAGATGAGTAGAAAATGGATGGCTGCTGTTTCAGTTTAGACTCGCAAAATTATGCCCATGGCTATGATGTGGTGCAAGAATAGATTCTGTGTTCTGTTTGAAGGTTACCAAGTTTATAACACTGTTGCATTATGTTCTTTCAAAAGATTGTAGGAGACCCAGTGTGGTGCAGTCTTGATCATCCTAGGGATGTCTTTCAGAATGTACAATGGCATTACATGGTCTCAAATGCCAACTTTCACATGGCATCCAACAGACTTCCATTCACATACAACAGTAAATTATGGAACGCCTTCATGTTGCTAATCCTATCCTTGGCCTACTCTTCGCAAAATACTAATATTCACGTGACCATGCCATATGGCAGAGCCTCACCATTGTAAATAGAGATCACTCTTTGATCACATTTTGGCAGTGGTTACATTCATTTTATCTGAAACTGAAGCTGCCAAGTGCTGATTGGCAGTCCTTCGTTTATCCATGACAGAAGTCTGCATGATGCAATCAGGACTGAAAGTGATTCACATTATGGTTACCCATCAAGCTTGAACATAACTATCCCATGCTGTCTTGTACCACTGTTAATGGTGCATATTATGCGATAAGATGCTACCAGTTCTGCGTCAGAAACAACCAGAGCTGCTAGAACATGACGTTGTCACTGTCTTGATGTACAAAGCTTGCTGCACATCTGGGTTAGGACATAACTTGGCATAACTCCATGTGATCAGTTTATTTGCTTGGCTTCAGGAATACTGGTTTCAATATGCAGAAACAGCAAGGCTGTCACAGCATCATTAAGTCATCTTAAAGCTCTGTAATTGATGGAAATGCATCTGTGATGTTATTGAGCAGAACAGATGCAAGTATGTTGTTTGATATTTCTGTTGATTTATTATGTCCATAGTGTATACTGAAACTTAATAGATAAAAAAAGGTACTCGTGTTTTGCTGGTTGATTTGTTAGTTATTTAAATTTTTTCAGTTGAATTAGTTATATAACATTAAATGGCTGGGTTACTGAGATTGAAAAAATATGACTGTAGCCTGTTTAAGGTACCATTCAAAAAAGGTAGGAAAAAACACTAAAAACTTCAGTTAGGACAGCTTCATTTTAATCCAGAACATCCTAAATAGTATAAAGCAGGAGCTCTAACCACTCATCCTCAACTTCTGGTATGGAAATCAGTGGAAAGTCAGTTAGGATAAGCTTAATATGATATTATGCTCTCTGGTAATAGTTCAAAATTACCAGTAATACAAAGCCCATCAATAGACAGTCCTAAGACATATCCACTCCCCATCCTCATATCCTATTTCAATGAGATTATCATTCCATCTCAGTAGGCCAAGTGGCCCCCTTCCAATCAGTTTTCCCACCAAATCTCTGTTTCCCCAACTGAGTCACATTTACTAAATCAACATATTTACTCTAGATCGGAGATGGAAAACTGTGGCCCACAAGGTACTGAGAGTATGACATATATTGTAATATTGGCAGGTACTTCAATCAAATTTGTACAAGTGCATTTCGCCTAAATGGTCACAAGGTTTCCCAGTGCTCACGGCTTTCATGCAGGGGTCACTCATACCCCAGCAGTGGTTGAATATACTTTGTTATTGGCTTTCAGGTGTTGTGTTGTTTAGCTTCAAAATTTGTTTCAGGTGACTGGGATGCCATTTTTGTGTTTTGCTATTGGGGAACTTCAAATTTGAGTCCCCTTCTGTTTCCCTTTTTGTGCTTATCTGATGTTTCCTCTGGCCACAGTGTCATGATTCACTAGGCCCATATTTCTTTCTGGTTATTCACCTTTGTTCTGTTATTTTGCGCATTGGCAGAGGTTTTCTGTTTATGGCATGAGTGCTGGCTGTCCTGTTTGTTAATGTCAGGTTGTCTCATTTGTTATAACCTTGTTGGATTTGTTTAATAAATAATTGTTTTACATGTTTGTTAGCTTGAATTTGATTTTCTGTATTATCTACATTACCCCCACCTCTGGGTAGCCACTTTAGATCTTATTTGTATGGAGTGTCTCAACACAAAAATTTGGATGCGCTAAAGTTTTCATGGCAGCTGATACAGTGAAGTCTTCTTGTGCAATCAGCCATGTCAGTGTAGAATGAAATTACAACATTTCAGAGACTCTACCTGTGTCTGTCATATAGAATTTATGTGTGTTCACGTCATACAGAAGATAGTCTTTGAAATGGATATTCATTCCACACCAACACATGATTCCCCAGAAAACTTCACTGATATATGGAGGTCATAATGTATCTACCTCACTTCCTTAGATTTGCTATTACATGAATCAGGGAAATATAATTTTATTAAGAGAACTACACAAGGGATAGTCTTTGAAATGGATATTCATTCCACACCAGCACATGATTCCCCAGAAAACTTCACTGATATATGGAGGTCATAATGTATCTACCTCACTTCCTTAGATTTCCTATTACATGAATCAGGGAAATATAATTTTATTAAGAGAACTACACAAGGGATAGTCTTTGAAATGGATATTCATTCCACACCAGCACATGATTCCCCAGAAAACTTCACTGATATATGGAGGTCATAATGTATCTACCTCACTTCCTTAGATTTCCTATTACATGAATCAGGGAAATATAATTTTATTAAGAGAACTACACAAGAGTTTGTGAGCTCTGAGGATCTCACGTAGATAATTATGAAGAGTACTCATGTCTTCAGCCTCTAACAGAAATCAGTACCAGGACAATATTCTTGGGGGTAAAGGGTGGCCGGTGCGTAGGGCTGATAATCTTACCGCCATCTATGAGTTGATTATCTAGAAAATGTGGGAACCTCAACATCTCACAACACTATGGGCCTCCACGGCCTGTTACAGGGATACCTTTACTTTATTTACTTTTTTTTGCTTATGTCTTCTGCAATGTGATGCGTGTAGTCTGGTAGAAGTATACCAGTTTCAGAGAAACATGCTGCCTCCATTTTTAGGGTAAAAGAGATGCACAAGGAGCAAGACCCTTTGACCCCCAGAGTTGGAGGCAGTACATTTCTCCAGAATACCAGCAAACTTCTGCTGTAGTACATGTTGCCACATCCCAGAAAACACCATCTTTACACAAGATTCTGTAGGTCAGTGGCACTGTTAGAGGGGCAAAGAGTATTCACTCCTTCCCTCTACATCCCTAATTATTACCTAGTCCAAGCCATTAACAATCCATGGATGCTCCTCATTCCATATGACTGCATCTCACACACTGAGGAAGTTGTACTTTTCATCTAATACTGTAAGGATGATTTAATCAAGAATGAGAGATGAATGGGATTGTAACATGCATGGAGAAACAATAAAACTCCAGTACAAAAACCTAAAGGGAAGAGAATTTTGAAGAAATAGGTGTAGATGGATCCCATGGAAATAGGACATGAAGCAAACCAGATTAGCTGCTTCAAGGTAGGTGGGCTTTGTTGTTGATGATCCTTCAGTTTTCAATAGAGAAAATTTCTTGCTCAAGTGAATATCAAATGCTTGAGGACAACCCTGTACCATGTAGTTAGTTCCTGCTAAACCGCTTAGTAAGAAATGTCTTATCATTACATTTTTGGTGACTTCCAGTGGTCTTCAATTCCTGACCGAAGGGGAGAGAGATTTGTCTTCATATCAAGACCAGTTAGTGTGAGGCCCATCCAGCATCCTTCCTAATGGGTATCTGGTACTTTTCATGTGGTTAACCTTTAGAGCACCAAGGTTTAAATGGCCAGTAACTTTCACTAGCCCAGAATAAAATGCCACAGTCAGTACTAAGGTGCATGATTTTAATTAAAAAATTGACATCTTCAGTGAATAAGGGTGTAAAACTCAAACAAAAAGCATTTTTAGAATTAATGTCTGCTTACAACTCTTTAATGAACCGTCACAACACAGCAAATAGTAAAACATCAAAGTCAGCGTTCAGCTGTGGCTTTACTACATGTTTCGGCCACTGTTGGCCATCATCAGGCAAATACATATCAACAAAAATCTACCATTTAACTGCAATCATAAAATGGATATAACACTATTAATCGTACAAATTTAAAAATGCTTATGTAAAAAATACAAAAGTTCAGATTATATAAAAATTAAAAATTGGAAGTATTATAACAAGATAAAATGTTGATGATGTTTTCAAAAACATTGAATCAGTCGTTGAATATACTTTGTGTGCATTTCCATAGACAATAGGGAAATTCGATATTACTTTATATAGAAGATTTTAAGAGAGGCCCATGGTGTAGCAATTAATGAATTGTGTAATGCTGCCTCGTCATTAAGAGAATTGTCCGTATTGCGTGGAAAGCAAACAACGAACGCTGAACGCTGACTTTGATGTTTTACTATTTGCTGTGTTGTGACAGTTCATTAAAGAGTTGTATATTGTAGCACAGCAGGATGCATGAAATTAAGATAATGTCTGCTTGTAATTGTGCAAGTTTCCCATATTATTAAACCACAGATTACATGGTGTAACAGTCTTGAAATATATTACACATCCATGGTCTTACATCTGCATCACAAGTAAACTAATTTGTTGCCTAAAACTATATATTTTCATTTGCTTACAACAAGGGTGTGTTGCATATTTTGCAGACATACCATTTGAGTGAATGACTCCCCAGCTGTGCATGTAGGTCAAAAATCTTTCTTTTCACATAATACTTTCACAACACCAGTACAAAGTCACTGCAGGTAGTTACACAAAGAAGTCTGAGTATCTAACGTTACAATGTTCAGTTGTTTTAACATCCTCCCAAGTGAAACTGTGATGAGCACAGCTCAAAATGAAGAATACTGTCTTCAGAGATATGATGCTGTAGTAGTCTGGTAAAGTTCACCAGTGTGTTGGAGGAATGTACCACCTCCATATTCAGGATCATTTCTCTCAGTGAACTGGACCTTATTTCACAGTAATCCCTCACTGAATTCAGTTTTATTCCTAAAGTGCAATATAGCCATCACCTTGTAGAGAATCCTCACAATCTTGTCAGGTAAGAAGAAATTGTCCCAACAATTATAGTAGTACCACACTGCTAAATACGGAATATGAAATATTCTCCAGTATCCTATATGAACAGCTACAACCGTATATAAAGAAAATAGTTGGTTAGAATCAGTTGTGGCTTCTAAGTAGGTAAATCAACAATAGGTCAGATACAATCAGAGGCACATTCTGGAAAAAAAAAAACCCTGGAATATGGAGTCAGCACATTTCACCTTTTCATAGATTTCAAAGCCACCTATGACGACATAAACAGGGATAAATTACTCAAGGCTATGAAGGAATTTAAAATACCTCAGAAATTGAATGGATTGGTAAGAGCACCTTTCGAACATGTAATATGTGGAGTTAAAATGCAGAATAATCTATCAACCATTTGGAACATCAATGGGCCTAAGGCAGGGAGATACCCTGTCTTGTATTTTATTTAACATAGCATTATAAAAGATGCAGAGATTTGGATATAGACGTGAGTAATAAAACAATCTAGATACTAGCACATAAAAATAACAGTTTTACTGGAGAGAACCACAGGTGTACTGAAATAAGCAATTATAAACCTCAGTAATGCAGCGAAGGAAGTTCAGAATATTTACGGAGACAGACAAAATGTGCTCTATATAAGACATCTGTAAGGCCTAATATTGCCTATGGAAGTGACAGGTGGCCCCTAAAAAGGAAAGATGAAAGTATGCTCCAAATCTTTGAAAGGATATTAAGAATAATTTATGGCCCAATTAAGGAAAATAATATATGGAGATAAAGGTATAACTAAGAACTTTATAAATTATATAATGAACCAGATACAGTGAAAGTGATCCTGACAGCAGAGACACCTTTTTAAAATGTAGGAGCAGAACCCTTGTAGGAAGTTAACTCTACATAACTCAAAGTGTATTCTATGAGCAGGCAAACCTGCTATCAGGTGGCTTGATTCAGTTGAAGAAGCTCTGAAGACAATGGGTGTTAGAAATTGGAGACTAAAGTCAAAGGCTCAGGACCAGTGGAGAGCAGTCATAAAAGAGGCCAAGGTTCTTATGGACTGTGATGCCCACAAAAGAAAGAAAGAAAGAAGCAGAAGAAGAAAATGTAATCAAAGGAAATTTTTATGGAGAGTTATGAAGACCTTAATTTCTGGTAAGAAAGCCATCTGTTTGGATTTGTAAGCCTATGAAAAGCTGCAGACAGCATTACAAAATGCCCTGTTTCTTGACAACCGTAACCATCATTTGGCCACTGGCCATTACTCAGTTGTCATTAGTCCTTTAAAGGTTAAAATGTTTGAAGAGTGATGCTGATCACAAACTTCCATTTTGTGCTGTCCAAAATGTGTGGTGCTTTATCTCCAAGCCCCCCTGTGCCTACATGGTATGATCATACATAAAAACGTTGCCTTTATCTTCGTTTCTTATCTAAGATTGGAGAACACAACTACCCCAACTTCCTCCCTTTCTCTGACTCTACCCTTCACAATACCAAAGGCAGTGAACAAGTGATGGCACCTTTGTGCCGAAACATGTAGTGCAGGAGTGAAGAGTGAGGTGGATGAGTGTATGCACTGTAAGACGGCTGGAATAAATCATGGACATAAATCAGTGCAACAGGACGCTAAAATATAACATTATTAAGTGATAAGAACTAAAAAGTTTATATTTACACCCATTTCTGTCACAAATACTGCCTGGTATATAATGCTAATAAATCTCTGATACATGCAACAATATATATACATACACAACAATTAGCACAGCATGTTTCAAGTATCACATCATGTTACAGACCAAATACTCCAGTAGGCCATCAGACAGCAGCAGCATCAGGGCTGTGAAGTGGTAGCCTCTTCATCTGTTTCTGTTGGAGAGACACGGATAGCCTGGTACCACTGGTTCGTCAGGTCCGTCATCTGGCTTTTACAATCCTTCAGTTCCTGCAATCAAGTAACCTGGCAAAACTGCAGCATCATAATTGGCAATGGAACTTGTGAAATTCACAAAGTGATAGGCATAGCAGATGAAATACAAAGTTGTTAGCTAACTGTAAACAACATGTAAAACATAATCCCTAATGTGACATACTCCAAGATAATCTATGAAGAACTGGACATAGATAATAAAATCAATTTATAAACTTTGATCACTGCGATGGGCTGTATTCCCTTTTCACCTTTTGAAGCAAATGATTCATTTTCACAAAATATGGTATAATCTAGAGACCACCCCAATCCATACATTTTAAATTTCCTGCAATCAGTAATACAACTTCATGAAATCATAAGGTGAGCGCGAGAAGAATGCTAGCGCATGATACTTAAATAATATATAGTAGTAACTGTCTGAATAATTAAGAACATTAATTAAGGTGTGTAGCAGAGTCTATACACCTACTATGATGTTCAATCAGAGGGATAAGACAGTTGTTCAAGTTTTTATTGAGATCACACAGAAAATATGCTAAGCAAGAAACCTGCAAAAGAGGCACCTCCAAAATAAACTGAATTAGCACGTACAGCAAGAAACTCTTACCTGCTGCGTGAATCTCCTAGTGAAGAAAGGGATGAAGTACTTAAGGTCATATTTTGCAAAACCTTTGATATGGGACTGGATAAAATTCACCTCCATCTCCTCCTCTGTATACTCAGACAAATGTTCTGAGTCTATTGTTTGACCCTGCAACACACATATACTTTAGTTATACTAAAGGGGGGAAATTATTTTCAGTCGGGATTGCTACAATTCATTCTTTTTAGCAGATTATTTTATGACACTGTCATAGCTAAAATGGAATGGTAGAATGATAAATAATGAATTGGAAAGGATTTGGAAGGATACAGTCACGACCTAATTGAGGTACTATCCCAGCATTTTCCTGGAAGGCCTGAGGAAAACCACAAAAAAACCTTGGTCAGAATACTCAGTGTCTGGCTGAGATTGGAATCAAACACTTCCTGAATATGAGTCTAAAGTGGTACTACTACTACCACCACCACCACTACTGACCCATTTCTACAGTTCAAAAAGTTCCAAATACTTAGCAGTTATTAGCAATGACTGAATATATTGTCATGTGTTAGTCACCATACATGAGGTCTGCATTGATAGTTGGATTTATTGAACATTTATGACCTGTAACTACAAATTATGATAACACTCTCACTAATCTAAACACACTACAAATCACTATAGCACAAACTAACTCTTCTCACTCTTGCTATATCTCCATTGGTTGTTGCTTGGTAGCAGCTTCTAACACTGGAGATTCCTCTGCTCATGGATAATGTGTTCCAACTCACAACTGTTTCGAGTAAATTGCTGCTGGTCCTTGCCAATACAGTCATTATTGATTCTAGATCGCAGGGGACTGATGACCATATGTATTTTTCTGTCTATGACCCTGGGAGTTGTGCAATGACTACTCTCCACTAAGGCTACTCATGGCCGCACCATAGCTCATGCAGTTAGTTGCTGGCTTCCCACCGCGGCAGCCCGGGTTCGATCCCGGGTCTGGGAAAGTGGGATTTGTGGTGGACAAAGTAGCGCTGGGGCAGGTTTTCTCCAAGTACTTCAGTTTCCCCTGCCAATCATCATTCCACCAATTGCTCCACAATCACCCTCACCTATTATCTGGGTCTGGTATAATAGGCCAGAAGTGGCCACAGTACAAGAGACTTAGTCCCACCCCACTAGCAATAAAAAAAAAGGCTACTCATACTGAGCAGCCTACAGGCATCCTGTCATTTTCTCTGTTCTGAAGGGGGGTTGCCTGCAATATCCACACTCAACCTCATGAATGGCACCACAACGTAATATTGGTCTTAACACTTCTTCTTCCAGTTTTACCAATGTCCAGCTTTCATTCCCCATGGGTTTTTCTCCAAAGGTTCTGTACTTAGGGCTGCCTGTCTCGAAAGTCATCATTACAGGCACTTCCCTTTGGGTCTGGAATGGTGGTCTCACCTTACATACTTCATCTCAATAGGCGGCCCAGGAATGCATCCCTACAAGGTTATCCACAACCTCCAGGACCTTTCAGCCACAACGCTGTTGTCCTTCATATAAATGGGTGTACAAGACATTAGGCCCCAGGATGAATTCACTGGTGATACTGGCAACAAACACCCAAGTTTACAGTGGACACAGCTTCCTTCAGGATGCAGAAGGTCTCCCTTGATGCCATCTAGAGGACATACAGTGTGTTCAGGTCTGTCTTGTGCACTCCTGTAGTGTTGTCCAGTCTGGCGATCATCACTGATGCTCCTGTATCAGTAGTCACAAGACATACTTTCTCTCCTGTCTATCCCCCATCATCAAGACTGTCATCACCATGCTTTTCTGACATGCCAAGCATGAAACTAGAAGTGGTAAGACTAGCAATCTCTTCTTCATTTCTTCTTCTTCTGGCAAGTTGCAGATATCAGCTGGGATAGAGTGGGAAAAGATGACAAGTCTTTTGATGGGCCAGCTCTGTCACCTTCTGTAAGACATGCATATCTCAAATGTAACTGCATAGAAAATGTCTTTTCTTTAATTCCTTTTGGGTGTTATCAGTCTTAGGGTAATGGGGTATTCCTTGGATCCATTTCTGTCACTGGGAATTGATAACATACTGAAGTGTTCAGACAGATTCCCATTATTTTCTTCAAGCTCTTGTCCAGTGGTGTTAAGAAGTGCATATAAACATTTCACTGATAAATCATCAGCATCATTCAGGAACCTGTAAATGCACCTGTGGACTGTCTGTTTGTATGCTTCTAGTCTTCCAAGGCTCACCCATGAATCATGTATTTCTCTTATTGTTTGAATGTCTCTTCAAAGACTGTTTTCAGCATTTTATTTTCACTATTTCTTGATTGCAATTCGTAAATCTGAGTCTACGTCTGAGTTCACAAACATCTTTTAACACTGTTCCATTAAACCTGTTCTGATCTTCCGTTTCAGTAGACAAACTATGAATTATTACACCAAACGAGTTTGCGTAAGCTTCTGACGAGTCCAGGATGTTTGTGACCATGTCATGCACAATGGACAAAAGCCATGATGTTGGTGCCATTAAGTTGCAATTCCAGGATCTTTGACAGAAATTTGCTAAAGAAATTCAGAGTAAGTTGGTCCACAATGCTTGATACTTCTCTGCACAGCTTGTCTTTAGAAGTGGCACTCTTCAGATCCTCATTGGTTTGTACTGAATGAGGCATGGTCATCTGGCTAGTTTGTTTCTTAACAGGGGGCTCACACTGGTTTGAAGCACAAAAGGTATCTGTACTGTTTACTTCAGGAGTGCATTTTGAATGCACTTACTTCTGTTTCATTTGGAGATGACATCGGTTTCTTCAATTTTGTTATGGACCTCCTTTTCTCCCAGAGTTGTTCTTCTAGTCTGCTTATTTTATCAGCTGCTTCTGCAGGCTGGTAACTATTATTATTAGTAGTATGTTCTGTCGTATTTACATTTGTCTGTGATGCTGTAGTGACAGTCTTCATACAGCTTCTGACCAAATGATTCTCTTCAGAAGAACTGTCAATCCTGACCAGAAGCCACTCTATCTCATCCTTTCGATCTTCCACTATAAACTGGAGTATCTTCATCTGCTCCTCAGCTGCTTTAAAAAGATCACCAGTGTTTCTCATTGCTTCTGAGTTTATCTCAAATTCCTAAGTTAACACTTTGCAGACTGGTGGCATATTTTTATGCCCAGCACTTTTAAATGTTGCAGACCAGTGGCATATTTTTATGACTTTAGGACACGTTAGATTGTAACACACTATACCTTTCTCTGGCGCCACCCAAATAAAATGACTACTGTGGAATATTATTACAGAATGTTTGCTTAGTAGGCAGTAACTTGATCTCGCTGTTTGGGTACCCCCTCCAAAAGAAAATTATCTTTGACCCTTCAAGCTCTTATATACCAGGCAGGAAGTTAGTTGCACAATGAGTCAAGGACAGAAGCGGTTGAAAACCAAGCAATATCTGACTTGTTCTTCGACGTGCTCTCTGACGTGAGCTATTTGACATTCCTTCTGAGATGTGTAGTGATAGTGATTTGACAGTGGCAGTGGCAGAGGACAACAAATAATTGTGGCCACAGACAAAAGTGAAAGTAGCTCCGACGAAAGTGCAGGTAGAAGGGGAATGTTTCCAGAAATATCACACTCTCAAGCACTTCTAGAAGCATTGGTGTTCTCCAAAAATTTTAGTTCATAAAATTAATTAGGATATTTTATATTAATTTTTAAAGTGAACAGTGCACAAGTTAGGGTAGTGGGTTAAAAAATGCTGGTCCCCAGGGTGATTTAAATATTTAAATTGCCAGTCCACAAAGTGTTAATAAAAGTTATCCTCTTTAATCCTGGACTGTTCATCCAAAACCATTTTCATTTTGCTTGCAGGTCTACTAGGTTGGCCTCTGTCTTAATATCCACCTTCTCTTGATTGGCCTCCACCTTTTCCTTAGTGGGCTCCATTGGTTGGCATTTCTTATGATCACCGTATGATCTTGGGTAGTGATGAATTCACCCCACAGCTGATTGAAGCCATCCTTTATAAACTGCCACAATAGATCCATTTTGAGAATCCACTAATCCAACAATTCAAACCTTTCCCACTTCTAACACCAATTGTCGTGTATTAGTGACTAGACACAGGGTTTGGGACTGATAGTTGGATTTACAGAATGCTTATAACTCGTAACTACAAATAATTATAACACTCTCTCTATCTACACACTCTACAAATCACTATGGCACACACTAATTCTTCTCACCCTGTTATGTTTTCACTAGTTGCTGCTTGATAGCAGCTTCTAACAGCGGAGATTCCTCTACTCACAACTAACAACTAACTACAACTCATGACTGATTTTCTGTTGGTCCTCATTATATAGCCTCAGCATAGACTGTGTGAAAACCACTCCTTCCAGCAATACCTCTACTGTTATGTATGTACCCACTGCCACGTCATTTTGCCTCTCCAAAAGGTCTTGGAAAATTTTTAATCTTCTTTCCTTTTGTTCTTCAGTGAGCTCCTTTGGGACAATTTTTGCACACACCTTTCTCATGTCAAGATCTTCAGTTAAGATTTTCCTGACTGCTTCTCTCTGTCAATGTTCACTTGCTCTGCTATGCTCCTGACAGTCAGCCGATGATTTTCACGCACAATTTGATGAAATTTGGAATGTTTTCTTCAGTTCTACTCGTTGCTGGCCATTCTGATGTCTCTTCGTCAGTGACACTCTCTTCCCTCAGAAAAACTTGTCACCCACTTGTAAACTGCTGTTTTCTTCATAGCATTATCCCCATAATCTTGCACTAACATCTCTCTGATTTTGCTTCCACTCTTGCCAAGTTTAACAAGAAATTTAATGTTCATTCATTGCTCTAATTCAAACTCCAACATTCTTGCACCGGCACTCCAAAACACGCTCAAACAGTAGTAGACACCACTCAGAAAGAGACTGCCATAGATCAACAACAATGCAGCTGTGAAATGCTGACATGCCTATGTCATCAAACCATATTGAGGTTTCTGTCCACAGCAACCACACAGTGGCAACTTCGCAAACTTTATTGAGACCTCATATTTTTCCCATCCCTGGGTAAAGTGTGGGCCCACACAGCCTCCTATCCAGTGGGTACCAGTGGCTCTGCAACTGGGGGTTAAGCAGCTGGGGCATGAAGCCGACCACACCTCCAACTAGTACCAAGGTCAAGAATACATGGATCTATACATCCACTCCCCCATAAATCTTCATGAAATAGTGCTTAACTGGTTAAGCACAGGGACTACTTTGCCTTTTACCTGGATAAAGTGTTAGCATTCCATGCAGAAGGTATCAGTTCTGTGACCAATTGGATCAAGTTCACATTTTCCACATACCTTAGCTCTGGCAAAGTCAAAACTTTGTGAATGTGGGGAACACATAACACCCAGCATGGTTCAGATATCACACTAAATTGCAGGTCCTCCCTGCTGGCCAATATCTTTACCTTCACTATATTGCTTTCATCAAGAGTTAAACTGATGCTTCCATCTAAAATGTGCATTCTTACCTTCACCCTTGCCACGTTGGCAGAGGCTGGGATGGTCAAAGACCATACCTAGACACATAAGCCATGGCACAGTAACATGCAATAAAACAACACTGTGTAACAGTGCTAAAATTTCTAATGTTTCTTCCTTCCTCATTTTAGCAAAATGCTTAATTCTGTAGTTTGTCAAATTCAGGCAGAGATCATGTTTTATGGTCAGAACATGAAGCTGGCCATTCATGTCTATTTTATTTTGCCTAGAATCTATAGAGACTTACCTCTGTGCCAATATACATCCTCCCAGGACAGGATCAGAAACCAGAGAATCTTTTCTTCTGCATTTACAGAGATTAAATTTAGAAATGGATACATTTATAGACAAACTACCTGTATCTGAAAAATGTGAGTCAAAGAGAAGAAAGTGTTTTTCTACAAATTTAGTTACCAGTGAAAAATCTGTTAATGAAGACATAAATATTTTGAGCCAACAATATAATTGATTTAAGAATATATTACAAAAAACATATTTTTATTCCATTTTCAAAAAAAAATTAAACTGTATATGCAATATTGTTGGTGACCAAGGTTACTCCACAAACAGTCAGCCTTACTTAACACATCATAATCAAAGGAAAGGACCACTTGGGAGACTAGTTGTAGATGGAAGAATAATATATGGATCCCAGAGAAATTGGATGTGATGGTGTAAACTAGATTCAGCACGCTCAAAATGGGGTTCAATGACAGGACTTTTGTGAACATAGTAATGACCCATCATGTTTCATAAAAGCAGGGAAGTTCTTGACAAGCTGCATGATGATGTACAAAGAAAGGCCTTGATACCGTGGAGCTACTCAGTTAATTGTATCTTACCCATTCTTTGGTCTTGCTGAGGGTTATCTCCTTTTCTCGTCTCCTCCGATGATTGCTTCCCTTATTTGCCAGCAGCAGCTGTGAAACAGAACATCAGATCTGAAGAGATGCTATGTCTGATCACCTCAAATCACCTTATCAGTGCAATACTAAAGTGATCAAAACAAGCTTAATATAATGAATAGGGTTTCTGAACACTGTGTCTATATTTTATTATGAGGAAATGTATTAGAAGTTTCTGAGTTACCAGATTTTATACATACATTTCAATGGAAATAATTCATGGGTTATTTTATCACTGAATTTACTGGTTATTCAAGCAGTCATTTTGTGTTTAATTTAGAAACTGCTTCGGATAATAAAACTACTCATTCTTGCTTTCTTGGTTCTATCATATGAAAAATAATATAGCCGTGATACTTAAAGTTAATGCTACAGAACGGGTAGTGATCAAATGGTTAGGTGACCATTCTACTTTACTGTGAATTCAGAACCCTAATTCCTTTCCTAGTTTCCTTGTCTACTGCTACTCTGGTATATTTATATTTAATTTAGCTTGTGTATGGATATCCGAGTCCACCCATGAAGCTTCAGACATTATAATAATTTGAAGTCCTTGGCCTTAAATTCTCCTTCAGACGACAGCTCAGTATCTTAGAATTACAAATATCGTAAAAGGTAAACCTTTCCGTGCTTAAATTAAGCACCGCGCTATGAAGATGTATGGAGGAGTGGAGGGATAGCTCTACGAGTCTTGCCCTTGGCACTAGATGGAGGTGAGTGGTCAGCTTCATACCCCAGCCACTTTACCCCTAGAGATAGTCCTGGTACCCACTGGAAAGGAGGCTGAGTGTGCCCCAGAGCCGGTCTGGACACTGCAGAGAAGAAAAAAATAAATATCTCTTGCCCCTGCCAGGAGTAGAACCCTGGCCATACAGCTCGTAACATTCTGCTATATTAACTAAAAAAATGTGAAACTTATTTATACAAAAATCAGGTTGTTTGTATCTGCACTAATATAAATTATGTGCAGAGATAGATTGTATAATTATCAATTTTTAACTTCTGCTTAAAAATTACGGCCAATAAAGAATATCTGCAGCTTGATATGAACTCTGAACTATGAGGGGTGCCCGGTATTTCCCACAGTCAACAGTTTTAAATTAGTCAATGGTAAACAATGAATGAGGCAGGCAGATAGATCTGTATTGGATCAGATGTCTCAGACTAGATCCTTTCACACAAGAGGTTGATACCTTAACCCTAAACCAGAAAATCTTCTTGTGAATTAATTATAACAATATTTAAAGGCAAATGCTGGGTAAGGGTTGCAGAAAAACCTGCAATGGATTCAGCCAGTCTCACATACAGACCACTGGCATGGGAGGCCAATGCTTCTGACTTGGAATCTAAAGGCACCCACTTAGAATCTCACCCAAGACATCAACTATCCTTATTAATGCAGGATTTTCCTCAGTCCCTTCAGACAAATACTGAAATATACATGAACTTCCTTTCCAATTCATTAACTACCCTACCATCTGACACTATATAACATGAGCTATTGACAGCACTGTTGATTGAATGAATGAATGGTGTAAGGGGTGGGCCTCCTCGGCCCCTGCACCATGACCTACAGTGATTATTGTGCTCCCCCTTTTAATTATCCCATCAGCAATCCTGCGCTTCAAATGAAGCACAGGATTTTGTATGTGGGGGCGTCAAAATAGTCACTTGGTTCCATAAAGTACTGACCTAAGTGACATAATCTTAGGTAAGCTAAGGCCTCACATTCACACAGGATATGTGTGGCTGTTTCATTTTCTTCTTGACACCTCTCACAAGTGGGACTATCACTTAGTCCCAGTATGAGAGGTGTCCTTTAAGATGACAGTGTCCTGTAAGTAGTCCCACCACCCATCATAGCTGGTTCCTGTTTAGACAGCACTGTTGGACAGACACCTAATCTGATGAAATTTTGACTTCAAATGAATAAATCATTTGTCATATACAGCGTGACTCACTCAGAGGAAGCCCTGAATTAATAACTATAAATCATATAATATACTGATGAAATTAAACTTGGCAAGTACCCTGAAAGAAGCAAAAGTAATTTTGTCAGACAAGATTTCAAAATCAGTTTCCCTCCACCTGGAAATACAGCTAACATAACAAGCCATGTTCATTAATGTTGCAGCCAGCATGCCAGAAGGGACTGCAGCAATAGCAGAAGCAATGTAAACCAGGTGGGTAGGCACCAAGTCAGTACTGTTGCCAAGTTTCATTTTCATTGGTAAATTACTGTTTGAGTTATAATTATTAATTCAGAGCCTTCTTCATGTGAATCACCCTGTACAATAGAATACAGTGTCTCACCTTCATTATAGGCATGGTAGATCCACCAAATACCAAAGTTGTGAAGAGCACAATGATTAGTGTCGTGGTCACAATCACATGTCGTGTTTCATCACTGAACTGCAAGTGAAGAGACAGTGCATAGGCAATAGCACCTCGCAAACCTGTTAACAATGATTGTGGCTTACAGGCTAATGCTCAGAAAATGGATGGAACCCTTCTAGTGCTACAAACTGACAAACCAGCTCTCTACATCATGTCACTGTGAAATTAAGTGAGCTTTTGTTGGCATTCTTTTGTTTACCATGGTCTCTTACAAACATATACAACATTACAAATGATAAAACAATTCTGTCCAGTGTGACTGTTGAAGCTTTTACTACATCACTTCTTAGTACCCTAACATGTTTCGGCCCCTATAGACCATCATCAGAGAGAACATCAATACTTTTAGAAACTACTATTACATTGGGTGCTTTGATTTTTAAAATACACAAATATACAATATTTGTAATATACTCTTTATAAATCCAAATTTCTTACAACTACAGCAACTGTCCTTGATGCATTAAAGTTTTTTAAAAACTTTTTGTTATTTAAGTTAAAATTCTTTAACCGAATAGGTTCATGTCCCTTGTCCTTACGTTTTTCTTGACAGGGCCGAACTTGCACCGCCTGTCTTTCTTGGGAAGGTAGTTCTTGTTGTCATCCTATGTTTGTTTGTAGCGTGCTGTGTTGTCAGCAGTCACACTGGATGGAATTATTGTATCATTTGTAATACTGTTAGTGTGATGGACCAGAATGAAACAAATCATATACAACATGTTTGAAAACTAAGACCTTCATCTGATATTCATATATATACATATAAAATGGCACAAAATAAAATACAATATTGTAGCTAGTCTTGAGTTCGAATCTTGTCAGTCACATGTGTAGTTCAATCCCACTTCTGACACCAATGTAGCGTGTCTTGTGTGTCACGCTACAAATAACTTCACGCCGTGGGTCTCAGATTCTGTAGAACCTTTATTGTTCTTCACTTATACACTCACATGCTTTACAATAGTCATCACTTGCAGTATTACAATGACTGCTTACAATAACTCGGCCGACACTGGACTGTCCTTTCTGGCGGTTGTTCCAAACTTGATTCTTAGACGGCTGCTATCCCAAGACTGACTCCTTAGACGGATATTCCAGGACTGACTCCTTAGATGGATATTCCAAGACTGACTCCTTAGACGGATATTCCAAGACTGACTGTTGAATGCATTCAACCCCGCTATATAACCTTGGTCGCTGCTATGCAACGAACCCTTTGTTATAACCATGGAGACTCCTGTTAGAACTACAATGGAGCGAATGTTGTTTCCTATGCAACGGTCTATTCTAGCGTTTCCATAGAAGTGACTCTTCTGGATTCCAGACACGTTACAATATCATGAAAACCATTTCTCATTTGCCCACATACATATGTAACATACTATACACCTCTACACATAGTTGTATTAACACCACATTTATGCAGAGACCATTTTGAAAAAAAACAAATTTTTTTGTTCCAATTCTTCCAAATTCTTGAGGTTCCTCATGTGAACCTCCTCTTTTCCTCAACCCCACAAGAAACCATATGATGGTGAGGCCATTCTGTTGAACCTCACCAAACAATCCATTCTCTCATGAATGTGTTGCTTAGCCATTGTTGTACAAGGTAAAGTTGTCCTTGTACTTAACTAATTAAACACTATGCTATAAAGATGTCTGGGGGGTGGATGTATAGATGCACACTTTCTTGACCTCAGCACTAGCTGGAGTTGAGGGGTCAGCTTCACGCCAAAGTAGCTTTACCCTAGGGGAAAGAGCCCCCAGTACCAATTGTACAGGAGGCTGGGTGGACCCCAGAGCCAGTCTGGAGATTGTGGAGAAGGGAAAATTCTTGACTCTACCGGGACTTGAACTCCGATCCCTCTGTCATCCAGCCTGTAGCTAGCTGCTATACCGATTACACTATCCTGGTTCCTAGCCATTGTTATACTGCTACTGAAAAGACAAGTGGTGTCCAGTCATGCATACAAATTAATTTTTGTGTGTTCTTCCATTCTCAGATGACATACATGCATTATTTTCTAACATGTTGAGATAGTGAATTCCACCTATAGTTTTTCACTTACCACTGAACCACATGATGAACATCATCTTGTGGGTGATCTTATGTTCTCGGAAGCGGTTACACAAAATAGCAAGTGGGAAGATATTGCAAGCCCGGCCAATAAGACACAGCACAATGCTCCATACCACCAGTGCTGGCTCCACACGGTGCTGGAAACTGAACAATGCCAAGCCAAGATATGCAAAGACACATGTCTCTGCGATAAATGCCAGAGTACGCATTGTCTGCTGCATAGTAATCTGTGTCACTGTGGAAAGGTTGAAGTGGGTGTAATGCGACATGACAATGCCACAGAAAAGAATTGCCATGATTCCTGCAACAACACAAGTCACTATGATCAGAGTACATCTTTACAGTATGATAACCAATTGCATATGTTTTATATCTGACATAGTCATTTGTATATTTTCCATCTGATGTAGTAATATGGATGACTGACTGTAGATCAATTCCCTATGAAAGCATGAAGTACAACATTGGAGCAAAAACTTCCTCATATACAATTGCCCTTGACTTATCTTGGAAATTAAATCAATTGTTCATAAATACACTGCTGTTGATTCCTGAGTGCCAAACAACAATGAAATCCATATGACCAGGTAAGCCAGTTTTGATAAAATAGACATTTTGTGTTTGGGACCACAGTGCATGTACAATTATCTTGGTGAAAACACAGTTTATGCAGTTTTATTTATGCAGACTGTCTCCATAAATTATATCGCCAATTTGCTCTTTTGGGTCCAACTGAAGGGCCCCTGATTTTGGAGTCAGAATGTTCACATTCACTAGGTCCTGCCCGTACCAGATAAATTCTGAAAAAAGACTGACTATAAATAAAATTCATACAACAGTTCAGGTGACAGGCAAGCATTAAAATGTACATACATAAAGAGCATTCTAAAAACTAGTCCTGTGTACTTGGGAGGAGCACAAAATTATAGATCTGTGAAAATCACAAGATTGATTTGTTTCATGATCATTATACTACCCAACATATACTATGTACATTTATTCATTCATCAGTAATCTGTCAGACGACAGGTCCACAGTCTCTTCCAAAACAGTTCCTCCACTTAATGCGATTTAAAGCATTCTCCTTCAAATGAGAATATCCTCTTCTGTCCCCAAGGTCATCCAGCATCTTCTTACATCTTCTTCCTCGTCTTCTGGTCCCTTCTATCCGCCCCACTATCTTTCCTTCAATAACTTCTTTTAGAAGGCAGTTACTGCGTAAGATATGACCAATCCAATTAGCCTTCCGTTTTCTTATTTCGTGTAGGATATTCCTCTGCTCACTGACTCTAAATAACACTTCTGTCTAACTGATCTCCATCCTTCTCCAAGACCACATTTTGAGGCTTTCCAGGTGCTTCTGATCTACTGCCCTAAGTGTCCAAGTTTCATCCCCATACAAAGCGATGCTCCAAACATAGCATTTCACTAGTTTCTTTCTCAAATTTAAGCCCAATTTGCTGGTAAAAAGATTCTTCTTCTTGCTAAATGCAGCTTTTGCCATGGCAATCCTAGATTTAATTTCACAAGTACACCTTCCATCATCTGTTAACAAGCTACCCAAATATTTAAAACATTTCATATTCTCCAGTTGTTTTTGGTCTATCTTTATTGTGACTGGGGTTGGTTATCTCGAAATGTTCATTACTTTTGTTTTTTCCACCTTCATTTCCATGCCACAGCGCCTTCCAATTTCGATTAGTCTATCAATCATACCCTGTAGCATAGTTTCTTCCTTAGCCATTAACACAAGGTCATCTGCATATTTCACAGTTTGAATAATTTGCCCTCCTAATTTGAAGTCTCCGAGCCCATCCAGAGCTTCCTTGGTAAGGCATTCGCTGTACAAGTTGAACTATGTACATTACAAAGTAAAAATATCATAAAATAGCACTCATAAAGCTGGAACCTACCTGACAAATGTATGCCTTCAGCAAGAGCATATGGTGCATACGTGAACACCAGCATCATCCCAAATTCCAGTGATGGATTTTTTCTCAGGTCCATATGTTTTAACAACAATGCACTCACCAATGCAAACACAACCCCAATCCCAGCAGATGCAAAAAACATGAGGCAAAACCTGTTAAAGCCTGTAATCAGTGCCTCTGATGAGGTCATTGTTGGGCTACTGGACTCAAGAATAGAAGTAGTCAGCACAATTGCAACAGCATCATTTAAAATGCTCTCACCAAACACCAACATGTTAAGTACAGGATCAACATTCATGGCATGAAATATGGCAACAGTGGCAACAGGATCTACAGCAGATATCAGTGACCCAAATGCAAAACTCTCCACAAAGCTCAACTGATATGCAACTTTTGCCAACCCTAACACATAGACACCAGCACCAATGACCAAAGCAGAGATGGTTGTGCCCAGAATGGCAAATGCTAAGATAGAACCTATATTCTGGAAGAAATTGCCCTTATGCAGGTTATAACCTGACTCAAAAATAATTGGTGGTAAAAGCACCAAGAAGAAAGCTGTTGGAGAGAACGCCTCTTCCTTCCTCCAATTTGCAATATTCTGATTTGACATGAGATTAAGTATAAGACCTATAAGACCACCCAGAAAAACAATTGCAATGCTTTCAGGCAAATATTGGAAGTTTTTCTGCAGCATGAAGTGGATGAGCAAGATGCCTAATGCCAACACACACAGCACAAAGAAGATAGACATCGAACTGTTGTGTTCATCTTCAGCAGAACCCTTGTCTGGCAACACTGGGTCTGCAGGAGAAGTTGCAGTTGAGGTTATGTTTGTCATATTTGCTGTTGATTGTTCTGGAGTGGTTGAAACAACCGAACTGTTACTAGGTTCAACAGGCACTGATGGTACTGTAGAACTGACGATTTTGTTCCCATTGTCAGCTTTGGACATAAGTTCATTTTTCTCCGTAATTTTGTCTTTTGGGCCATTACTGCTGGTTTCTTCAATTGCCCGTTTCAGTACTATAAAACTGTGACCTGTGGTGGATTCATGTGGAAATGAATTCTCAACGTGTAGAACGTGTCCTTCACCCATTTTCTCATCCTGGGGCACCACCCAGTAGCCATTACCTTTTAATATATTTTGAAGGAAGTAATCAGGTGAGCCAGATATAGAAGTTACAAAATCAATTGCAAAAGCTAAAAATGCAAAAAAAACATAAATGTTCCTATGAATGGAAAATGACATATATCTAGAGGAGCTAAAACAAATTTCCATTTCAAATATAAAATCCACTTATACTTGTAAAACACTAACAAGTATAAATGTAATAATACTGTTCCTAACAGAACTATAACAATCACCCAACTCCTCTGCGTCATTCACACATCAATATCTGGCACTGATTTGGCAATTCAATATATAGCGCCTCCCATTACAATAGCAGAACATGCAAAATAACTATCGTGACCACGTGACTGCCAGAGATGGTAAGTAAAAATGACCCTCCCCCCTCCAGAACTACATTTCAGAAAAATGTTAAAATAAATAACACTTTTATTAAAAAAGTGTTATTCTTAGACGCCGATTTACAGACTTAAAGCAAAAATTGTAAATTTCCAGCTTCAATGGACAGTTCGAAATATGCAAGAATATCCGGAATTCAATTGTAAATTATGAGCCAACGTAACTCAGTCTGTATACATTAGTGACTGTTATTTATTATTAAAATTTGGTAAATATTATTAGGTCCAATGTCGCGTTTAAAATTGCATCAAACTGCACCAGATAAAAAGCCTCTACTACGAGCTGGTACTTTATTGTAGTTTACTGTGCAGCGTAAAACAATTGCGTCGTAATCAACGATTCGCTTGATTTAAAAGGAGACCGTCTCTTATCACTTCAAGAATAATGTCTACCACTGTTCACCTACTATCTTTCAACGAAGATAAGGTGATGCAAGTAGTGGTAACTGATCAATCTTGCTCTTTCTTATGTTCGTTCAGGGGGACATTATGATTTCGCGAACCAATGACAATGGTAAAAATATTCGAGAATCATGCCGATATTTTCAGCTTGCTCTGGCAATTGCCTCGCAATATCTTCGTTCGAGAACAAAATCTCCGAACCTCCAACTGATTTAAATTTAGCGTTGAACCTTGAGAGTCAGGAGTATAGCGGAAAGACCCATTGACAAATAATAGTGAACGATTCTGTATACAAATATAATATCAAATAATATCGCTCGTTTTCAACTCTAGTTCAAAGAGGACGAATTCATTCGATTCTCGTTTGATATTCGATTCACCCGATAGGTTACCACAGTCGAATTATCCAAGAGTTTGTATTCGATCATAGACAACGTTAATTTTCGTGCAGACGACAAAAATGACGTTAGGCGGCTGAAGTGCTAAAATAGATGTTTTTTTATAGTACAATGTCCGTTAAAACACACGAAGTGTACGCTAAACTGTAAAATTAAATATGTCATTGGAACAAACAGCGTGTGAAGGTTAGGAAGATGCAGCTTATTAGAAATGTATTTTACAATCGAGCTTCTACCTCAGAAAATAAGAGTTTCATTTACCGGTGATGGGCTCGAGACGATGGTAGCGGGACCGAGCTGAGGAAATAGAAAATACTAAGTTAAATGGATGTTGTAAATAAGTGTTTTATTTTCTCACCTACAAATGAGTTCTGCTGTACGAAACAACGTAATTAATAAATGTATTTAAAAAACGATTTTCATGGTGTTCCCCAGTCGCAGTAATTATCGTAATGAAGACGTCAGTTAGGCTCCTTTTCCTTCTGTTTTACTTTGATGATTGTGTTATTATGGGGGAAAAAAATCTCTATTTAGGTACCACTGTGCTTGCTGCTTGCTTGACTTCTGTTCCACACTGAAAACGAAGGCAATATGGACCTTTGAAACATCAGTAAACTTCTGACACACTACACAGTAGTGCTTCTCAGAAGATAGTGCTCTACATAATGTACTGTTATTATCAACTTTATAGTCAGTGTGACTTGATAACATGAAATTATAGTTCAGAAAGTCAATAGAAAGTCCGTCGAGTGTAACAATGTTTTTAGGTCACTTCTTTATCACATTTGCCTTACATGTTTCGGTTTAATAAAACCATCATCAGAGGCACATATTACAAACACGTGAAAACACTGGCGTTGTTTAAATGTACACAGTATATATGCTGCGTGGATGCTGCTACAAATGTCGATGTGTAAAAGCACAACACTTGCTAGGAATATTGAATGCACGTTCAACTCTCGCATTCCATCCGAAATTGCCCTCAAATTAAACCGTCAATATTAAAATATTTAAAAGTTTAAAACATTTGAAGTAAAATGTTAGGCTCCACCTTGTTAATTCATCCCAATGATGGGAGATGTCAGCTTGAGGTTGTATAGGCTTATGGTCAGATGTTTCCTATGCGTTGTGTGTTGTGTACTGCAATTCAAAATTATAGTTCAGAATTATTTTAGTAACCAAATAGTGGTTTAATACATACATTTTGTGTATTAATGTAAAGAAACACTAAAAATGGTCTAATTAGTATCTACAGTGTTGGTTTAGTGTATGTAATGTATGAGCCGAAAGTCACAGATTACACCCACAACTGAGATATTAAATAATGCAATTTTGATATCAACAATTGAGACCAGAGTGTTCCTGTCATTTGCCATTTGACCAAAAGCACAGTGCTGCCATTATATCATTAATGCATGGATCAAATATAGCTGGGTAACTTGCTAGCAGATGCCTTGTTATTCAACTTTTGATAGGTTAAAATGGAAAATGAGAAACAAAATACAGGTTTTGAATGACTGATATATTTCATGAGTTGACCTGGAGCCCAGAAAGAACTCTCCATAACTTGGAAATGCTGGATGAGACCTGGAGAGGCAGCATCTCTATCTCAGAATAATGTCTTTCTGTACTTAGAATTATAAATAAATATAAATTTATATGTGTTTTGACAATGTCCACTGAATGAGAACAAGGTAACATGTAAACAACAACAAATTCAGTATGCTGGCAACAGATGCATTGGAAGTTGGTCAGCAAACTGTAGTTCTGTTCAAGCATAAAGACTGGGAAATAAAATTATTCACAATGAAGACAGAAAAAAAAAGATTTTATTACTGGGAAGCATTCAGGGTAGGAAAGTTGACTTCATACTTCAGGAAAACCTGGGAATTAAATTTGATATATGTAGTATTTTCAATCCAAATGCTTCTCATACAAAGGTTATTGATGATGTAGCAAAGGCTGGTAAAGGCCTTACCAAGCCTGATCATGTTGTAGTGGGAGTGTAAGGAAACAGCCTGGTGAGAAACTATCGTTATTCAGTTCAAACTTCATTAGAGAGGGAGCATCAAATACCAGTGTGGGGTTTATCAACCTCTTTGAGAGGCATGACAAACAGTGGATGAATGGGAAAGTTAGAAGCCTGAATCTACAGCTCGATCGGGCCGTGTTGAGATGTGCTATTTCTCACATTGATGTTACTGACACATATGTTGCAAGGGAAGATAACACTACACATGGCCTGCACTTAAACTTTCAAGGCAAGAAGAGGCATGTGCAAATTATTGCCTAGAGGGTTGTTGGTGGTAATGTGTCAGGTATAAGTAATATTTCTGTTATAACCCATGCTAGGGAATCTCCATTTTTAGCTTAAAATTGAAAGCACAGGGGTGCTTAACATATATTAAATGCAGTCCTACAAGTTTACAAACAAAATGCAGAATCATCTAATTCAATAAATATCTTTCACCAGAATATCAGAGAGTTGATAGTGATGAATTAATACATTCTTTTGAAACAGACAGCATAAACCCTCATATTATGTTTAAGTGAATATCACTTGGTTGAAAAGGAGCTGCTGCACATCACAATGAACAGTTACCTATTAGGCTCCAGCTTTTGCCAAAAAGACCTACAGATGGGAGGTGTGTGTATTTTTGTTAGGACAGATTGACATTTCAGTAACATTTATATTTCTCACCACTGCTAGGAGCTGGACTTTGAAATCTGTGCAATTCAATTAGTAACTAACACATCTAACCCAATTATATTCATATACATACAGCTTGTACATAGCTCATTCAGGAGATGTTAATTCATTTCTAAGGAGACTAGATTCAACTTTAAAATATCTGTACAAGCCAAAGTCTGAGTTTATAATCTGTGGTAAAAAGGTAAAGTTATCCCTGTGTTTAACTAATTAAACTCTATACCATGAAGGCATATTGGGGAGTGGATGTATAGATCCATATTTTCTTGATCCCGGTACTAGCTGGAGGTGAGTGGTCAGTTTCACGCCCCTGCTGCTTTACCCCCACGGAAGAGTCCCCATTACCCATTGGATAGGAGGGTGGATGGTCTCCAGAGCCAATCTGGATAACATGGAGAAGCGAAAATTTTTGCCCCCACCAGGACCCAATCTCTGACCCCTTGGTTGTCCAGCCCATAGCCAGTCACTGTGCTGACATTAAGGGAGGAACATAGACTGAGGGTGTTTGAGAACATTATGCTGAGGAGAATATTTGGATCGACGAGAGATGAAGTGACGGGAGGTTGTCGAAAACTACATAAGGAGGAGCTTCATAACTTGTATTCTTCGCCAAGTATAATTAGAGTTATCAAGTCAAGGAGGATGAGATGGGCAGGGCATGTAGCATGACTGGGTAGAAGAATGCATATAGGATATTGGTGGGAAGCCAGAAGGAAAGAGACCACTAGGAGGATCAAGATGTAGGTGGGTGGACAACATTAAAATGGATCTTAGATAGATAGGATGGGATTGTATGGACTGGATTGATCTGGCTCAGGATAGGGACCATTGGAGGGCTCTTGTGAACACAGTAATGACCCTTCACTGCATAAAATGGTGGGAAGTTCTTGAGTGGCTGCACAGCTGGCGGCTTCTGAAGAAAAGCTCAGCTCTATGAGTGAGTGAGTGATATGACATATTCCACATCCTGCAGTCATTTTGACTAACTTTGGATCCAGGGAACATAATGCAGTGTCATGTAATGTGGTTTTGAACATTGGTAATATTACTTTCACTTTTTTTTTTTTCCAGACTTAAAGGCATTTGAACGACGCCTGACAGAAGTTATAGCATGTCTACAACCGTCTACTATTAGATGGAGAAGTAAGATGAAATATAGTGTATATATTCATTGATGACTGCATGATAGATTGTTTCAGTCTGTGTGCAGCATTTAATTTAATCAATTATACTACCACTCGTTTTACCTCCAATGCAACATACCACATGCTCAGCCAGTATTTAATGCATATCGACTCTAAAGAAAACATCAGGTCCCAGTAAAAGGAGATTTTATGCTAAACAAGGCCTATAGCTACTGTATCATGCCATACTACTAACTTTTCATTACTACCTTAGATTTTGTAAACTTATATTTAAGTTATATGTTTTTAGAACCCCCCTCCACTGATTTGTAAGCAGCTGTAGTTAGGTTACATTATTTACATTATGTTGGTTTAGAAGGCTAAGAGGAAGGGAGTCTCCAAAACCATTCTGTGAGTTCATAGTATTGTAACGTGTTTCGTTACTGAAGACGCCGTACGGATTGTTAATTGGTTTATTTAACAACCTACAAATCACGGCTACAATTAATTATCACAATGTTACTGGTTTCCACACTTTACAAACCCTACAACAAAATCTCTTAACACTATCTTCAAGAGTCTTCACGTATTAATAGCGCGGGAGCTATACAAGTCTCGCTGAATTACACACTCCAAATATAACTGGTTATCACAAACTATCACTGATTCTCGCACACGCATCTGTAACTCGAAGCTTGCGAACTGAGAACTCATTGACAACACACTGACTCGACTACTACTTAACTCGGCGACTGTCACATTACAACTAACTCGCAGCCCCTGTGCAGTTCCCTTATATAGCCGCAGTGCTTGCCTGTTGCGTAATGAGTGCCACGTCATCCTGTTACGTCACCGCGNCTACACATCATATGTCCTTGGTCCAATAAAATATATAATCAGGCCTCACGCAGACAGCACAAGTTGTCAAGACAACACACAGGCTGTGAAAAAACCACTATCAAATTCACACCTTGCAATTCCACACGCACTGGCCAGCCATATCATCAATACAGTATCATTATAACATATTAAAATTCATAACAAACACAGACATCATACATACTGACACGCTTATGACAAGCAAGTCTCAACAACGTATAATACAAGTACACAGACCAGTTTTAATTAAGCTTGTCACTTAATTTTTGTTACTTAATATGCACATCATGTGGAAATTTTATTTGCAATTAAACTTTGATCCTGTATGAATATTTGCTTACCACATGCAATAAAAGGTCTCTTACTTCAAGCCAATAATTACTTTAATCCAGTGGATAATCTCCAAATATCACAGTGCAGTGATTGAACCTAACTTCATATTCAGGAGTATTCAAATTCAGTTCCAGCCTGAAGGCTGGCTAATGTTATATATATATATTTTTTTGTCATTTCCCACGTTCTTTCCACATCATCATTCATAGTCATTCTACCATTTGAGGCAACTGAGGAAACATTGTTAAACAAAGAAAGAATCCAGTGGATAGCATAAGAGCACCAAACCAATGAAATTATATTAGATGTAAAATTTCTGTATGCATTTCTTGCCATCTAACCAGTGTAAATACAGATTTGACTTCCTAGCAGTTCCAGGTGAGCTGCACAAGCCGTGAATTTATTTTTTACCCTACTTTTTCTTTCCTGGTACTCATTTCTGTTAGAGACTGAGTTGACCCCAGGGCCATAGTGCAGCTGGAAGGATAGGTAAATTGAAAAAATCCAATGACCCCGTCAGGATTCGATCCCGAATGTTCTTGGAGTAAAGGGCGGCCAGCACATAAGGCTGACAACCTTACCGCCATCTATGAGCCAATTGCCTAGAAAATGTGAGTACCTCAACATCTCACAACCGTATGGGCCTCCGTGGCCTGTTACAGGAATACCTTTACTTTTTACTTTTTCTTTAATCATATCCATGTGTCTTTCCCACTCCTAATAACATTTCAACTGATGAATTTTTATAAAACTAATTATGAAGATCTTACCTCTAAAGGCCACCTAAACTTCATTCTTCTTAATTTCTTATCATAAACAGTACCAATATGATGGCGTGTAAACCTTAAATGGAATACCCACATCCAGTCATTATGTTCAAAACTTAGTAAAACATCCTGTATAATTAAATCACTAAGAGGAGTTTTGAGTCCAAATATGTTAAGAAGCATTTATTTTGGAAAGTTTCGATCGTTATTGAGGTATGGAATAATATTTTGGGGGGTGAAGGTGATAGTATAAAGGTATTTAAAATGCAGAAGAGGGTGTTGCGAATAATTAGTGGACTTGTTAAACAAGAGTCATGCAGGCAAATTTTTAAAGATTATGGCATCCTCATGGTCACATCTTTATATATCTTAGAGGTGTTATGGTACATGAAAAAGCACAAAGCAGATTTGGTCCAAAATATAAATATTCATAGTTTAATACAAGAATAAACAAGGATTTTCATGTTCATTTCTGCAGAACTACATTATTTAAAAAAAGTGTGGTAAATATGGGGATAGGATTGTATAGTAAGGTGCCAAACAGAATAAAAAACTCTGTGGGTTTTTCAGCTTTTAAAAAAGACTTAAAATCATTTTTATTGAAACATTATTTTTATACGATAACTGAATTTGTTAGTTTTAATAAAAAAGTGGATGGTGCAAGTACTTATGTTTGGATGTCATGAGCTGTGTATAGTATTTTGTATATTTTTTGGAATGTTGTATTTATATATTTCTTATGATTGTAACAAATGTTGGTAGTATGCTTGTAACTTTGTAGATTTATTTTGTTAACTTGTATTACCAAATGACATGTCCAAATGTTACTGTGTAGCAAAACGGATGAAATAAAATATAATACAACTTGTAAAGGTGGAACCAACAAAAATGCCACATAGTGTAGGAGCTTGAAGCATTTAAATTTTTGTACTAATACAATGTTTTAAGAGTTTTTTATGTGTAAAACAGCAACATGGTAGCCACCAATTGTATTTATATGTCCCTTTGGTGGTTGTCATTAACTAATGATGGAAGTGTCATCTGGAGATAGGTCATAAACGTATCTACTACTCCTTTATGAAATATTGTTATATGTTACTATTTTAAAACATAGCAAAGGTGTAACATTTTGAGGCTATTTTGGATACATTTAGCATAGTCAGATTTTTTGCTAGTAAAAGCTTGCACAAATGTAAGTTAAAGATGGGCTTCATAATTAATTAATTCATTCATTAATTAAGCACCATGCATGAAAACATTAGGGATTGGAAGTATAGCTCCATGCTTTGGCCCCTGGGGAAGAGATCCTGGTACCCATGGGATAGAAGGATGTGTGGGCCCCAGAGCCAGACTTGTACAGATGTGGATCATTAAATAATAAATAATTACTAATTGATACTTCATGTATGTCTTGCCATAGAGAATGAAGTGAATTAGGCATCGTAAATTCTTCACCTTTCATTACAAAATGTAAAAAAGAAACAATTTTTCCATGAACTTCATAGTAAAACACTAATATAGGTCTAAATGGTGGATAATAAAGGTTAGACAATTCAGAATATCACTGAGTTGATTATGTGCCATATTAATTTTCATTGTTTGTGTTACAGTTCTTCTTGCTGTAATATCAGTGTGTACAGCCATAGGGGCATGGCACTGGTTGACTGACCCACACACATCAGCAGTGTCATTCATGCAGTCTCTCTGGAACCATCCATTCTTTGCTATTGCCAGCATTTGCCTAGGTAATCCAGTATTTCAGATTTTGGTATTACACATAAATGCCAAAAGTCATGGGATAGCAGTATGTAAATTTATTTTTAAGTGGCGCCACCATCCCTTGACGGCTTGGGAATGCCCAGAGCAGTATCAGTTGTGAGGTGTTCTCTCGTGAGTCAGGTTGAACACTGGCCAGTCTGCTCATGGCAAGCCAACGTGAATTATTGGAGTTTGAACGGGGCATTATAGTGGGTGCCAGGAGGATGGGACATTCCATTTCCAAAGTTGTGCGGACATTCAACATTCCTCAATCCACGATGTCACGTGTGTACCAGGAATACCTTGTGGAAAGCATTTTCACCCACTGTGAACAGCGCAGTGGCCGACCACGGGTGCTTAATGATCTTGACCAGCAGCATCTAGCTAGAATTGTCTGTGGTAACAGACAAGCGACACTGGCTGAAATCACATCCACATTCAATGCAGGAGGTACCAGACGCATATCCAGCAGGTCAGTGCAGCGTTCTTTAGCTTCCATGGGATATGGGAGCAGAAGACCGACCAGAGTGCCCCTGTTAACACCACTACACAGGACACAGCGCCTCACCTGGGCTTGTGACGTCACTAATTGGACCCTGGAGGATTGGCAACATGTGGCATGATCCAGTGAGTCACGGTACCAGTTTTTTTGGGCGGACAGTAAGGTTCAGGTGTGGCGCAGACCCCATGAGGCCATGGACCCCAGTTGTCAACAAGGCACCGTGCAGGCTGGTGATGGTTCCATACTGGTGTGGGGTGTGTTCATTTGGCATGAGTTGGGTCCGCTCATCCACCTAAACATGGCATTGAATGGTGACTGCTACGTTACACTGCTTGGTGACCATTTGCAGCCCTTCATGTACTTCATGTACCCTCACAACGATTGGATATTCCAGCAGGACAATGCACTGTGTCATCTGGCCGGAGTTGTCCAGAATTGGTTCGGGGAGCATTCTGGAGAGTTCCTACGAATGGTGTGGCCACCATGTTTGCCCGACATGAACCCAGTCGAGCATTTATGGGACATGGTGGAGAGGTCCATTCGCACCCAAAATCCTGCACCTACAAATACCAGGGAGCTGTGGGCGTCTATCCAGACGGCATGGCTCAACATCTCTCCAGAGGTCTTCCATCCATTTGTGGAATCAATGCCACGTCGAGTTGCTGCACTTCGCTGGGCTAAAGGGGGTCCTACACGATACTAGGTACCTATCCCATGACTTTTGGCACTTTGTATAATATATACATATTATTCACTATCTTGGGCTTCATGTGGTTTAATGATATGTTGTGGCAGGCTGCTTTGGTGATACTCCCACCCATACTAACAGACTCACCACACAGAACATAAATTTTTCTATAATATACTGGTATGAAATTAAATTTTCTCTACAGAAGCATGATACCAAAATAGTGAATACACATCTGCCAGCTATAAGTCTAGCCATTCCTCAGATAATTTCCACTTTCTCCTCACTGTTATGTGTGGAGCCAGAATAGCTCAGTCAGTATAGTGGCAGGATACAAGCTGGATGTCTGAGGTTCGATTCCTGGCAGGGAAATAGATTTTTCTCTGGGGCCCACCCAGACTCCTATCCAGTGGGTACTGGGGGCTACTCTTCCTGGGGATAAAGCAGTTGGGGCATGAAGCTGACCACTCACCTCTAACCAGTACCAAGGTCAAGAATGGTGGCACTATACCTCCACTCCATCATACATCTTCATGGCATGCTGCTTAATTAATTAAACACAGGGACAACTTTACCTTTACCTTTTACCTCCCTATTATGTGTGAATGTTAATAAGAACGTGCATGTTCATTATACAAGTAAATTATTGAATTAACAATTTCTTCTTTCCAGCTTGTACAAGAAATCACTGTATTCCTACAACCTGCAATAAGAAAAGCAGAAATACTGCCATCAGCAATGCACATAAAATTCTGAAACATTTTCACTTTCAGTACTCCCTCTTCCTCTGTGTACAACAAAATAAAACTGTCCTTAATTACATATTTCCTGCTTTTATTTTTGGTTTTGTATTCTGTGGAATACTTTTGAGGTCAAAAGGTTTCCATAAACAAAATAGTTCAGGGAACACTAATTTAAAAGAAGATGTTTATTTCAGTGGTGCTGTTTATCCTGGGAGTTCACAAGCGGGTTATAGCTCCATCCATCATCACAGCCCGAACAAGAATTGTGCTAGGGGACTTCAATATGTCATGTGATGACACAGGGAAACTGATCCTCAAACCTCGACCTACGACCACTTAACATTGACTTTAAATATCTCTCCAGTCAGTTAAACTCTCTGATTGTTCGTGTCACATCTTAATTTGCTTATTGCAATGGTAGACTGTTATGCATGTTACCAATACATTATTGTAAATACTGTCTCCAACTTAATAACATATACAATAAAAATTAATGTAAGAAGAAGAAACTATTGTCTTCAGCATGTTACCTCTCCTGCTCTTTATCAGGAGGGCAAGGTCAGACTCACTGCATCAGCACTTTTTAGAGAAGAGGTGGCTTGCTCTTCTATCATCTGCCAGTTATATTTGATAAACTCAACAAGCTGAACTCCTCTTCACGATCCAAATAAAACGCTCTTTCAGATTCTTGACAAGGTTTCAGCATTAATAAAGAATGTGATGCTATGGAAAAGCCTTTGTGAAGGTGAAATGCTAGAAATATTTGTCCACATGAGTGAATATTTTTTCTGCTTTAATTGATATCATTATAAGGTGATATGCGTTTGCTTAACTTAACTTTCTCTTATATCACAAGAGTCCAAAGTTATACCTAGGTCTGGGTTTTTAGAAGTCTTATGTGTTTCCCTTTAACGTGCTCTGTGGATGAAATGTATGAAATGAATACTGGGCGTCAGTGTCTGATTAAGTTTATCTCTGACACTATTAAAAGGATTTAAATGAAATCTGGTATCAGTCTACACTGAAAGTTGTCAAGCAAATTTTATAATGGTTTGTATTGGTAAAATATATTTTATGTGAAACTCCAACGCAATTTATTGATTTTCTCAGAAACAGCCTGTCCTCAAAATATTTGCATGTAACACGGCTCAAGATCCACCACTTTTATGTTAAACATTAACTGATACAGAGATATTCAATATGATACAGGGAAGAATGTCATGACTGTAGATAGTGTTAATAACTGTGAAATAGTACATTCATATCTACAACATGAAACAACTGTGAAATAATACATTCATATCTATAACATGAAATAACTGATTATTGGAACTTGATTTTCTTCCTCTTGTTGAAGAAGATTCGTGTTATAGACTTCCATAAGCTAGTTGTAATATGAGTATAAGCAAACAGAATTACTTACAGAGATTATGGCCACTCCTACTAAAGCTAACGTCTTCCATGTTAGAAAAAAATAGAAGTTTAATGATCAGACCTACAAAAGCTTCGACACTGCTATTGCAGAGTACCATAATAACAAATTTCAGAGCATTAATTAGTGATGAGCAGTAAACAAATGAGAGCTATAAAATAATTTCAGTATTAAAGAATGAAATTAGTTTATTCATTTCAGAAAACTGACTGATTCTGTTTGCTTTATTCAGGCCAAATGTAATATAAGAACATTCAAGGTGCTATCAGAATGTTCCTGGACTGTTGTTGTTGTAACTGCCTCAGGGAAAGAAGATAAGAGGGGAGGCCAAGGTCACACTTCGGCAAGCCTATTGCATTAATCTGCCATGTGACATCACGCTGTGAACATGTTTTGTTTTTACACAAGCACATTTTTTAAGTTCCTGTTTCATTTTGTCTGTGATGGATGGCAAAATCAAGCAACATGTCTGCATCAAGTTTTGTGTGAAGCTCGGTAATTCTGCTGCAGAAACTCTTGAAATGCATCATGAGGCTTTTGGGAACAGTGGTTTTTGAATGGCATTCACGTTTCAAGACCAGTCAAGTGTCAGTTGAAGATGATTAATGTTCAGGGCGACCAAGCACTAGCAAAACAACAGAAAATGTTTAGAAAATTCGAGAACTCGTCCACAACGACCATCCCCAAACAATCCATGAATTCGCAGACACCATTGGGATCAGTTATAGAGTTTGCCAGGAGATCTTAACAGAAAAATTTGTACATGTGCCGCATTTCTGTGAAGTTTGTTCTCAACCTCTTGAAAAATGACCAAAAGTAGCAACATGTAAACATGAAGAAAGCAGTCTTCTGGGATTTGGCACCGTGTATATGTGGTGTTAACCGACGTTTCGGAGGAACGTATCGCCTCCATCTTCAGGGTAGAAGAAAAAATATATAAGAAATCTGCAAGCAAAGAGACCGTGAGAACCGGTAAAAGCAGACTGCTTTTTTTACCGGTTCTCACGGTCTCTTTGCTTGCAGATTTCTTATATATTTTTTCTTCTACCCTGAAGATGGAGGCGATACGTTCCTCCGAAACGTCGGTTAACACCACATATACACGGTGCCAAATCCCAGGAGACTGCTTTCTTCATAGTCACCGCCGTGAAAGCCTCAAATCTTACATGTAAACATGTGTCTTAAATTATGAGAGAAGGCTAATGAGGACCAAACTTTCATCTCTTAGGATCATAAAGGGTGACAAAAGATGGCTTTATGTTTCTGATCCAGAATCAAAACAATAATCATCACAGTGGAAGAGCCCGCAATCACCAAGAGCAAAAAAAGGTGCAGCAGGTCTGGAGTGCAACAAAGAGCATGCTCTTTTTTTTCGATGTGAAGGGGATTGTTCACCATGAATTTGTACCTCCTAACATTACGGTCAACTCTGACTATTACTGTGACATTTTGAGACACTTGAGAGAAAATATGTGATGAAAAAGACCAGAACTTTGGTGCAACCACAGCTGGCTCCATCATGACAATGCACCCGCCCACACATCCCTGAAAACCACTGAGTTTTTTACTAACAACATGGTTATCGTTCCCCATCCTCCTTACTCGCCAGATTTAGATCCCTGTGATTTCGCTTTCTTCACAAATTGAAAACGAAACTGAAGGGACAACATTTTGAAACAGTATGACATCCACAGAGAATAGCAAGTGGTACTCGACAGCATTAAGGACAGTGACTTCCACAGTGATTTTGAAGCATGAAAAAAAAAACGATGGCAATAAGTGATACTGCCCTTTGGTACATTTAAAAACACCGCTTTTATAGTCTATTTCAATCGTATAACTGAAATGTATAAATACTCTAGCTTCCTTTCTTTTCAGAATATGATTTGTGTAATACAGCTTACAGATTTAGTTGTGCAGGGATGGGCCTGAGGGACTTTTAAGGGAAAAATTCTGGACTAAACATATTGATGGGAATGTAACATCTGAACACACAGTCAGTAAGGCGTACAGAAGGAATGGAGGTAAAGTTTTGCATGATCTTAATCTCAGCACTATTGAAATTAATCAGTTTGCATTTTTAGAACACCTCACTCATAAAAGAATTATGTGCTACCTCTGAGATTAATGTGCAATATCGCATGAAAACATACATAGCACAGTTTTCAAGAAATTCAATCCTTCCTGTGGATAAATTTCATTTCAGATTTACAGGAGAAAAGAATTTGTACCTAGTAATAATTCAAAGATCATTTGTAGCTTTCATTCCATCTTATTCATGCAATATATTAGACAGATGATAAAATTCTAGTGTGGTCTGGTAAATTTATTATTAAATTTAAATTCAGAACATGTCCTGCATGTGACACATACAAATGAATGTCCCTTAAATTGTTTGCATACATTTGGCTGTACTGTATGAATCATTATTTGGGTAATAAGCAAATATTTATGGGTATTTTAGAAGGACAGTATGTAAACAGAACTGAATGAAAATGGATTAAGTGCAATTAAAGGCCATGTCATAGCTCAAGCAGTTAGTCACTGTTTTCCCACCGTGGTGGCCCAGGTTCAATCCCAGGTCTGATAAAGTGGGATTTGTGGTGGACAAAGTGGTGCTGGGGCAGGTTTTCTCCAAGTACTTAGGTTTCCCCTGCCAATGTTCATTCCACCAATTGCTCCACAATCACCCTCACCTATCATCTGGGGCTAGTACAATAGGCCGGAAGTGGCCACAGTAAAAGGAACTTAGTCCCACCCCGCTACCAATAAAAAAAAGTACCATCTAATGTACATAATTTTATCTTCCAATCTTCTGGAAACCTAAAGATTACAATGTACAAAACTATAATTTGATCTGATTGCTGGTACAAAATTTGGTGTTTCTCTGAAGGAAGACTATACATTGATCCTTCCCAAAACTAAATTGCTGAAAATATTTGGACCTAAGAAAGCAACAGATAAGTGGACAAAACTGCATACTTAGGAATCTGCAGAATCCTGTTGTGTACATGGATATATTTCAACTACAATAAACCCTCATTACAATGCAGAGATATTATCCATCATCCTGGTTTTTAAGACAACTAAGAAAAAAAGGACCTTTCAGAAACTGGATCTGCTTCAATCCTCTGGCGAGGGAAAACACCTATTCTGTTGGGTCCCTTAGAAAGTGTTAGCCTCAATCACTGGACAACTGATGTCACTAAACACAAAGGTTATAAATACCTGAGACCAGGCTAAGTCCATGAGAGCCAATAAGAAAAATATACATAACAAATTGTTCCAAACACGTACAAGTGTGGAACCAGGATAGATTGAGCCGTAGAAATTTATGTCACGAAACCAAACCAAACCAATAACCAGGTCCATGACCCCACGGCATGGAATAGAAAGGAAAACTAGTAAAAAACTAATAGTGTCTAACTTGCGTGAACAATGGAGTAAATCATGTCTATCTAATTTAGAACCTAACAGAAATCAATAAAAACATATATCACATCATACAGATCTTCTATGTGAATTGGTGACTTCATTGCTGATAATGGGGATCCAAATGGGAGAAAAGTCCTAATTCGGTTGGCCAAGCATGCCATATGGGCTGCTTCCTTGTATTTCCTATACCTGATGTGGCTTTCAATATCCAAAATCTTAGCTTCATCCCAGCCTACCCTATGTTCCTATAAAAACCAGGACGATGGATAAAGTCCAAAAACCCAATATCTCTGTGTGTTATACACCAACGTCAGAATCCTATAGTAACTACCTCATTACAATTGACTATAGGGGGGACAGGGTGTCCATCATCACTGATGTCCACTACAACCAAGTGAAGGAGTATTCACAGAAGTATACCATAGGGCACATAGCCAATACATGCAATAAACACAGAAACATAATTTGATTGTATAAAGGTTTTTATATTGGGGTTCTTTTTCATTTTACTTACTTTTCTAACTATTCACAACTGTGCACAGCCAGATTTTGTCTATTATATCCAGGTCCGTTACAAGGGTTTACTGTACTTACATACAATTAATACAACATACATTTAGGCAAGTCATTTTTATTAGGCAACATGTTTCAGTGACATAAGCACAAACTTTCAGTACAAAACATCAAGTAATAATGCAAAGCGCAAAATGCAAGGTTATATTACAAACCATATTCACAATTTCTTTTAATGTGCATGTAATACTGCCTAATGGATCTAATCTTGCAAATTCTAAACAATAACCTATATTCTGAAAGTACATTTTAATTACATAACACATAGGGATATAAAATATAAAATTCTGATCTCCTTATAAAGGTACATCACCAAACGCTACAATTGCAAGGATGAACTATAAACACTAAACAAACAGTCCACCTATAAGAAGCAGTTGTTGTGGAGAATCACTATTATGTAAGAAACATATAAATAAAGACTATGTGGATTATATTAATTGTACATAAACCACATACAGAACATATAGTATTTACATCACCGTACATATACTTTTGTATTAGAAAAGTTCTAAGTATATTACACTAAAGCTTGCAGTCTGCATTAGTAGTTGATGTTTTGGATCTGAAGATGGTGCTTATGTCTCTGAAATGCATATAAGCACAGCAGATTAAATTCACAATAAGAATTTTGCAGTTTATTATCATGCCAAATACTGCTGAAATAATTAAATTAAGAAGGTTAAGGTAAGGAAGGCATATAACAAGCAGAGAGTAAATAAGAAATGCATACAAAATTCAGGCCGGAAAACCTGAAGGGAAGAGATCACTTACCCAGACATAGTTGGTAAAATAATATACAATGGGGAGTCATATGATGACAATGGTGAAAATTTAGATTCCATAAAAAGGAACTGCTGTATCAGTTGAATAACCATGAATGCTGATAAAAGGGCTATCATGGAATTAGTAAAATTGTCATATAATTGCATTTATTTATCCCCCCTAGTAACATAGGCAAGTAGTTCAGAAACACACCTCCTTGGGAGCCACATAACTGTGAAAGTCAACACCAGGGAGTTAAAATTTAAGAATTCTCACCATAAAATAATTTTAACCCACTAATTAAATTAAATGATCCTTTATGCTATTTCAATAATCTTGATTGTCATGGTACAAAAAATTAATCGGGCACTGTTTCAATAAATTTGTACTTGGAGAAAGACAGTGCTACATGAAGATGGTTAATAGAATGACAGTGTTATGTGAAAATGGTCTGGTAAAGACACAGTGTTACACGAAGGTGGCTTTGCAATGCATTGAAATAGTTTTACTGTACACACAGTTGTACACATCTATACATCATTACAGAAATGAAAACATCACCACTCATACAAAAAACAGGTTACTGATTAGATATGTTACTGCAAATGTCTGCACTTCTTTTTCAGTTTAAAAACTATATAAATATTACAAAACTTTCAGATTGAAATATTTAACATTTTTTCATCAAAATATTTGGAGACAGACACTTTTTCATTTGTGTGTGACTACTTGTCTTGCAACAAAACAGTCAGTATTGTCATCCCAATTGCAACTAAAATCCATCTGAAAGAGAGGTAATCCATTATCATATAAAATCTAAAAAATTAACAAAGCATACAATGGTAGTTCTACCAGCTACATGACATTATTTGGTTCAACAGTAACATCATAGTAACACTGCATGATGCTCCAGCACACTGCTGACCATCCACAGAGTGTGACAAATTCCATTCAAGGTCAGGATTCCATTCTTTTTCAAGAAGATGAGTGGTATAACTACTAACCAATTACGTATGAATACTTTGCATGTACCATAAAATCATACTGCATGATGAATTCTCATTTCAGCCTTTGGGTTCACGCAGCAATAAAGCTCATTGCTGACTTACAATGGGGACTGGATGTGTTATAAATCAACATTTTACAAAAATCTTTATTAGAATCCGTTGCAACACAACAATGAGACAGTAGAGGTCAATATTATCTTAGCTACATGTTTCAGCTTTTAAAGCCATCATCAGGCAAATACATAGTTATTACACTCACAAACTATTGAACTGCATTTCAATACTGGTACTACTGTACCATCATCAGGCAAATACATAGTTATTACACTCACAAACTATTGAACTGCATTTCAATACTGGTACTACTGTACCATCATCAGGCAAATATATAGTTATTACACTCACAAACTAGTGAACTGCATTTCAATATGATGGTGCAATAGTACCAATATTGAAATGCGGTTCAATAGTTTGCAAGTGTAATAACTATGTATTTGCCTGATGATGGCTTTAAAAGCTGAAACATGTAGCTAAGGTAATACTGACCACAACTGTCTCATTGTGTTGTGACTGATTCTAATAAAGATTCTTGTATAATAAACACAACAGGATGCACTCAATGAAAATCAAACATTTTGTTACCATTTTATAAAATATAGATTACAAATATTGAAGTCTCTGAGTTCCAGCTTTATAGTTCATAAGTTCTCCCACACTACAAGTTGACCATGTTCATTATGGGTTTACTGTGAAGCTTTTATACTGGTAGATGTGCCATTCTTCTCATCCTATTCACTTTAATTACATCATCCTCTGGCCACTGAATCAACTGAACAAACAGACTCCACTAGGCCCACCAGAATCTGATTTGGGTGATGCTTAGGGGTTGCCCTTCTGTTGCATGTAATTCGTCTATATTGTCACAATTTTATGAGGTGTGACTTCAGACAGATTTTGGATTGGAAACAGGATTTACTGAACTCTTACAACTTGTAACTACACGGGTTATGCTGTCACTGTTCTACACACTTCATAAATCACTGCAGGACACACTAAGTCTTCTCAGTGTGTTACAGTTTTCACTAGCCGTTGCTTGGTAGCAGCTTCAAATGGCACACTCCCCTTCCTCTGGGTCCCCAAAGTGTCCCCAGCCTCAGCTACCAGCTTTAACAGCAACAGCTCATGACTGAACCCCAGCTGTTATCTAACTCACCAACTGACTCTCTCCACTAACTGCAATTCCTAACTTGTCCTGCTTATAACATCTTTCACAGACCACACATAAAACACTGTTCCTCTGTTGCTGTTTTGGGCCACTGCCTAGGAACAACATTTGTAGAGTTACTTATTTCACAATCACTGCTTAGCAAAGAGTCTACATGCCACAATATGTTCAGCTTACTTCCAGATTTTTGTATTAGGCACAGAAGTCTCTTCTGATACTAAAAGTTAAAAAAAAAAATCTGACAATTCATAGTTTGTATCAGTACGCTCACAAAGACAATTCAGGAAAACCAGGTATGCATAAAATGAACATTACCAGATATTTTGTTCTTCCATCTCTTGCAAATATGACATCCTGGAACAGTTTGATTCCATATATTCCTTTTATTGAACTTGTATTCAATGATCAAACTTTCAGTTTTAATGACAAATATAAAATGTAAAGTGTATCACAGTTTGCCCTCCACTATTCATTTCCTTATTTAATGAGGCTGTGGCACATATGAACAAGATTTTAGTTCTTGAGCATCCATTTATTCTGTCCACATTTTGAAATCTTATATTCAATTCTGTGTTAAGACTGAAAATCCAATTATTTGAACACATAACAAAACACTGGGTTCAATATTAATTTATGTTTTCTAATTCTAAAATCTGGATTTATCACTGGGTCAATATATAACTTTCTGCATATTAAACTGAGTCCAACAGATGAATTTGATATGGTTAAAATGCGAAATTTCGCAAGTTTCATTAGAGTAGTTGTGTACTTGACTAACTTGTATATTTAGACACTTCATCAGTGCATTTACAATATTAGTTTGCTACTCCAAGATACCAACAGCTTTGGTATTGCCTCTCATAAGGCACTGCATTCAGAATTCCAATGGCAATAGGCTGGAGCATCCTCATCTTATCAATCTAATCTCAAATAAATTATTCTCTAAAGTTACGATATGACAGTGCTTTAAAGCCAATATACACTTCCACAAGTGAAACACGGCAAAATGGTAATGCAGCAACATTGTTATTCTTATTATATTTTTATTATTACACAAACAGAAAGATGACATTGATAATGACAATGTCACTGCAATAAACACTTCTCTGTACAAACATGGTAGAGGAAGAATTCAGTTTTACAGAACATTTTGATGTGGATGTTCCAGAGTACAATAGCTTCAATCATTTGATGTGTAAAACATTTACATACTGAATCTATTTAGAATAGCTAAATAAAAAAGAAATCCAAAGACAGAAACAGAACTCTACAACCTAGTCACTTCTGACTTCTTGTATGATGCACAAAAATAGCTGATGACCATATTGGATTACTTCTTATTTGCATTATTATTCATGAAAATGCTGGTGGCTACAGTTCAGAATGCAAGAAGTGGCCTGCAGCTTTGAAATAAGCCATTTACCCTAAAGATATGTAATTGATAGCTTCCTGTGCTTTCTGAGCCACACACTATGTGTTGAATCCAAAGACTACTGTTAATAATGAACTGGAAAGGGCAGAGACAGAAACAATACTGGCCAGTTTCAAGGTTTTATGCCAGCACTCATCTGAAAAGATTAAGGAATGCTATAAATACTCAGGAGTCAAGAGAGCTGGTCTCCAGGTCAAGAATAGATCTTATGACCTCTTGAATACAAGCAGGATGGCTAACCACTATACAGTCCAGAATTTTAGTCTGTCACCTAACAATCAAATCATGTACTAGATATTTATCAGCAAAAATTTCCAGGCCATTACTGCCTAAGAACCTCAGTAAATCCAAGGACAAATCAAAAGAAACTCAGTACATCCAAGAATTAATCAAAATATAAGTGAAAACTACAAATTTTCCTCTTCCAATTCAAAGAAAAAATTCTTGAGTGGCTACTAAATCTTGTTCTAAATTTTGTAAAATACAACATTAGGAAATTAACATGCCAAATTCCAGGGGGGGGGGCACGCAGTAGCGTAGTGGTTGAGGTGCTACGCTACAAGCTGGAAGGTCGCGGGTTCAAATCCCGATGAGGTCATTGGATTTTTTTCAGTTGACCTAATCCTTCCAGCCGCACTAGGCCCTGGGGGTCTAACAGAAATGAGTACCAGGAATTAATTAAATAATTTTCCTGGGGAGTAAAGCGCGGCCGGCGCGTAAGGCTGACAACCTTACCACCATCTTTGAGCCGATTGTCTAGATAATGTGGGAACCTCAACATCTCACAACCCTATGGGCCTTTACGGCATGGTACAGGGACAGCTTTACTTTTACTTTACATGCCAAATTCCAGCATACAACTATTCATGAACCACCTGTCCACAAACTACCAGACATTGCAGTTGAAATGTCAGAAGTTCTTCATATTCAGCCTGCAGGTTGGCTATTCTGACTGGGCTTTCTATGTATACTCTCAGCCCTTCAAGACTTATACTGAAATAGTACAATAAGACTATGACCGTCCTTTTCCACATTCTTCTCAATTCATTATTTACCATAAATCCCATGCAGCTGAGAAAGTGTTAAAACCAAAACACAAAGAGTTAACAACTGATATGCAGAAATATTCAAACATAAGAGAGCAAATACACAATCACAAACCATTGGTGGCATTATGCCAGACTGCTACATAATGTAGGTCTTCATAAATGAACCAACTGTAATGGAATGTAATGCTTCACTTACTCTGACTGAAAGTTGCCTATATAAAATGTCATGTTGCTGCAATTCCAGGTTGCCAACCATTATATAATCTGTACAAAATGTGCACTAAGGCAGTGATGTGTTGTCTCAACATTAAAACACTTTGTGTCATGTGATCCAAGGCCCACACCAAATTGCTCTGCCTACATACATCCTTCTCATGCAGCCAGTAGATTCTTGATATTCTTTGGAGTAGCTTCTTCATTCAAATGTTTCGTTGTATACCTGAAAGAAATGAGTGCTTTAGTAACACTTCACCAGTAAAACATTAGTCCATTTCTTGCTTCTCTCTAAACATATAAAAAGTTTTAGGTACTTTTTAATGTCTAACAAAGAGTTCTGAGAAGACATATTGTGGTATGTACACCCATTGCTAGGCAATGACAGCAAAACAAACAACTAGTGAACAGCCCATATATGGCAACACAGGAACAACATATCCTGCGCCGTCCATGCTGAGATGTTATAGGCAAGACAGTTAGTGAGCAGTTCTGTCAGACAATGGAGGTTCAAAAGCAAGAGCTAAGACAAAACAGATGTTCATCAGCAGAACAAGCAGACCTTAGAAGTACGCATTAATGAGCACAAATAGAACCCGACACAAGGTCTGCTTGAAGAAATCAAAATTAGCCCAACATGCATATGAAGAAGGCCACAAATATGTTGGAATGAAGCAAAGGTCTTGCAGATTGAACGAACACCACATACAGGAAATACAAGGAATCTACCAATATGTCTTCGATAGGCTAGCTGATCAGTGAACCCAGCTTGAACACCTCTCCCAGTTGGACTCCCCTTACCACAGCAGAAGTCAAGAAACTACATCTCCATCCAGTGTATATTGAGGGAAAAGTTGTTTTTTTTTTTGTGTTGGTACCATACAGAGAATTTGTCTCTCCAGTGATGTCTATTATAATAGTTCTCTGGTGCAAAGCCTCACACACATGGAGTTTTTAATATTTTAATGTTTGTCTTAGGTCTTTCAGATGGTTTGTACCATGCTTGGCTTGTATACCCTACCTTGGGTCTGGAGATAGGGACAAGCTCTGCCAAATGGGCCCAACTGAGTAGATTTTACCTGAAGATGAAGACAGATTCCAGTCTCCAAAACGTTGTTTTTACATAAAAGCAGGGCACTGTTTTAGATTAAAACAGGACAATTGATAATGTCCAGAAACATAATGTATATATTTTGTTGTTTTACGTTCCATAAACAAACAGTCTTAACAGAAGTGACATATTTCTCAAAGATATATTATCCCATAAAATTTTAGGTTGCTATATTAAGGGCCGCAAGTAGCTCAAGTGGTTAGTCACTGGCTTCCCACAGCGGCAGCCCAGGTTCGATCCCGGGTCTGGTCAAGTGGGATTTGTTGTGGACAAAGTGGCGCTGGGGCAGGTTTTTGCCCCTGCCAATATTCATTCCACCAATTTCTCCACAATCACACTCACCTATCATCTGGGGCTAGTACAATAGGCTGACAATACTGCCATTAATACCATAAAACTCTAGTTTAGATAATAATACACTGTGATTTACAGAGTCAAATGCCTTGGTTAGATCACAGAATAGTCCTCCCACCAATAATTTACTATTAAGTGCCAATAAAATATTATTTATTAGATTATACGTAGCTATATCAGTGGATGATTTAACTCTAAAACCATACTGTTCTTGAAAAAGAATATTATTAGCATCTATATGATAGTGAACTCTATTGTAAATGACCTTTTCAAAAATTTTTTAAAAAGATGTCAGCAAGGATATTGGCCTATAATTGGTCATAACTGTCTTTTCTCCCTTTTTAAAAACAGGACTTATCTGTGAATACTTTAATCGAGTAGGAAATATACCTAAACTCAATGATTTATTGCATATGTAAGCTAATGGGGATAATATAAAAGACATACTTATTTTTATGATGTTTTGTGGAATCTCATCATATCGCTTAGAATTCTTCCATTTTAATGACTTGATTATATCTTGAATTTCTCTTTCAGTTACTGGGGTCATACTTATGTTTGGCAACGGTTGTTTATACACCTCAAAAAGGTAACTTAAGGTGTTAAATACATTAGTAGGTTTGTTAGATTGCATTTGATTTGATGGCATTATAAAATAATTATTAAAAATACTGGCCATAGTTTGTGGTTTATTATATGATTTCCCATCAATAATTACTGATGATATTATATTTTTCCTTTACTTGGTATTAGTTATAGATCTAATGATACCCCAAGTAGTTTTAATTTTATTTTTAGAATTTATAATAAGCCTACTATAATGATGCTTCTTTGCTAACTTTATGATATCAGATAAAATCTTACAATATTTCTTGTAGTATCTTACTAATTCAGGATTGTAAATGTTTCTGCTAAGCACATACAATTCTCTTTGACGTGTACATGATGTTTTGATTCCAGTTGTTAACCAGGTTTTATTCTTTTGTTTAGAGAAATGTTTTTATAAGGAAAACTATGATTAAATATTATTAAATAGGTATTAAGAAAATGATTAAACATTAGATTCACATCATCCTCTATAGTAAATACATCAGCCCAAGTTTCACAATTAAGATTTAGCTTGAATTCTAATTTAGTAAATTCATTTATGTCTCTTGTACTAACAGAATAATTAGGTGAATTCAGGAATTTAAGATTATTCAACATAATAATTTGAGCATCATGGTCTGATAATCAATTTGACAATGAATTTATTGAATAAATTTCATTTCTATGTTTATCAATAAAAAAATGTGACATGTAAGCAATAAGTTTGCCATATGGGTCAGAAACTCAATATGAACTAAAACAGATGTATGCAGAATACAACCAGTAGATATGAAGTGCCTATGAAGTATGAAGAAACAAATACTATGGGATAACATCTGAAACCAGAACTCGAACAACATCTAAAGCTACATGTACAAGAGAAGATGAAGTAAGATAGTGGTATGGTACAGACATCTGTTATGTATAAGCTATGATCTTGTGTTGAGAGTTTAAAATTGAAGATGCTGCACTATGAAAACCAAGGACAAAATGGAGACACCAACTGAGACAGATATACAAAAGAAGGCAGGTAAGGATTAGACATAGATACAATACAAGTGCTTATGAGAGAAGGAAGAATAACAGAAAAGGCTTTCATCTTAAGATGATCTGTTCAGCAGAAGCTAGCAGAAGCTGAAAAGAGGTGGTAGCAGTGGCGAATAATAATCTTGTTTTTAGCATGAGTTCATTCGGTACCAGTATTCTCTCCACAAAGAGGTATTTAACTCACCTCAGTGCATTTAAAAGTCCTTCAGACCGGGCAGCTGGCTGTTCCTTCAGCAACTTCACACACCCCTTCACCTGAGACCATAAAACCAAGAACTGAAATAAGAGTATACAGCTGACCACTGTTAACTCACCATAAATGGAAATTTTACTGTTATGTTGTCTTCTTCATGATGTGTATAAAACTACTGCTATATGCAGAGGTTGAATCTGTGCCTGTCTGTCCACTTTCCATCTCTGGGACTAGAGAATTCAGATTAAATTTCTGTACTGGAGGTCTATACTCAAAGGGTCAATCCTGTTTTCATTTTGGTCTGCATCAGTCCGATTTAACCCTACTTTATACATTTGAGTTTTATCAGGTTTCTCAAAAATGTCTCCTCTGTACAAATACACAGGTGACATTAAGATCTATTACAGTATAATCTAGGTAATCGGACATATATGGGACCAAGGTAACACCGGCTTACTGGAGAAAGTCAGAACAAATTTATGAAGTTGTACTAACAACACAAAAGCTTGAGAAGTGATTATCATTTAACAGAATGTATTATAATTTAGTTACTTTACATACATAAATGTGCACTGTGAATTTCTGTCCATTAATTCAACATTTGGGGCTTCATTTCACTGTTTTTTTTTACAAAAAAAAGTGTCAACTGTTTTCTGTCTTCTGTTTGTAAATGCCTCCTTTAGAACTTTTTCTTAAAATCTTTTTAATGTGAGGATGTCTTCAGCTTGCTCATCGTTTTCTTTGGCCCATTTATAACACGTGCTGAAGGCACTCATGGCATCATCATGTCATATTGTGCAGATTATCGGTGGAATACTGGGCTCCTGCTCATTCTTGCTGTTGCCATCTTCTAGCACACTGTTGATTTTCTCTTCACCTGTCATGATTTGAAGATTTTCCTTCTCATCTCCAGCTAGCCAACTACTTATGTCAGCAATTGTTGGAGCAGATGAGCCCTTTTCATACAATTTGGCTATTGCTTCTTCGAGATCAAAAGTTAGGAATGTAACATCATCTCGTAATTATTCTGGCCCTGTAAGTTCACTGCTAAAGGAAGATAATGGATATGAAGGCCACAACTTTTTCCAAGAAGAAATTATGGTTTTAGGAAGTACATTCTGCCATGCACATGAGAGATTAAAAACTATGTCTTTGAGGTTTTCAGACATTGAATTATATAATCACTTTGCGTTATTACACTTCATAGAAGGCTATTTTGTAATGTGCCTTCACAAACTGTATAGCATCCTGATCCCCTGGTTGTAGAATTTGGGTGCAGTTTGGAAGTAACTGATTTTAACTGTTCCTCATTTGGGTGTCCAGGGTACTTGCCAGATTTTAGAGTCAGCCTGTCACTGGGGCCGCTGTCAGTATTTCTCATAAAACACTCAATCTTCTCTCTATCTTTCTTGCCACCATATATCGTAGCATATCCAAGACCACACTCTTTAGCAAAATTAACAAGTTTTTCACCATCGTCAAATTTCTTAATTATTTCCACTTTAGCACTTAAAGTTAAAGTTTTATGTTTACAGGAGGCATGCAGTAGCGTAGTTGGTTCAGGCACCATGCTACAAGCCAGAAGGTGGTGGGACTGAATCCTGATGAGGTGAAATTTTTTCAATTTACCTAATCCTTCCAGCTGCATTATGGCCCTGGGGTCAACTCAGCCTCTAACAGAAATGAGTACCAGGAATATTCCTGGGGGTAAAGGGCAGCCAGTAGGTAAGGCTGACAACCTCACCGCCATCTCTGAGCTGACTGTCTAGAAAATGTGAGAGCCTCAACATCTCACAACCCTATGGGCCTCCACGGCCTTTTACAGGGATACCTTTACTTTATTTTACTTTACTTACTTACTTTATGTTTATGTGTGTCAGAACTGGACATCTTGAGAACACATTATATCCACCGCTGTATGAGAAGTACTGTACAGAAATGTATAGTATTGAAAAACTGAAATACTGTGTACTGGCAAGGGTCTAAATAGATCAGTTTGTCAAGCTTGACTGAACACAAGTCAGCCTCTGCTGCCTGTAGAAACCTGCACAAGGTCACAGACACTTGTCTGGTGCCTGATGCCAGATTACTGGACATGTCGGATTAGCGCACGGCCAGATTACCGAGATTGTACTGTACTCTCATTTGAATGTGATATATATTTAACAATATATAAGGAAAAACGTCTGATACAATTCCTCTTCTACCGTGTTCACCAGCTTAAAATAAGTAACTCTTTGAAGAACTAACTACCTACTTTCCTTTCACTGCAATCTGAGTACCTGATATGACAAGTAAAAAAGAAAACTTTAGTTATGTATGCATAATGAAGCCAATAAAACAACACATTTTGGAAGGCTCCAGTATAGGTACTACTGATGGGAGTGGTTTATGAAGTACACCTTCAGATGGCCTCAGATGGCACAATATACATACCAAGTTTTAAGAAGACTGGTTTGGGCATTCAGGTAATATTAAGGTTATTACCTTGACAATTTGGGAGGCTGCATTGTTGGTTCTTACCAAAAGGAAGGATTTATGATGTATGCCATTAAGATGACACTATCATCCAAGTTTCATGACAATCGGTTCAGGAATTCAAGTAATATTAAGGGTATTACCTCAACAATTTGAGAGGCTCTAGTGTTCGAACTACTGACGTCAGGGATTTCTGAGTAGGCCACTGAGATGGCCTAAGGTGGCATGACATACACACTAAATCTCATGATGACTGGTTCAAGCATTTGAGTAACATTAAGGCTATTATCTCAACAATTTGAGGGGCTACAGTGTTGGTATTACTAATAGGAGCAACTTATGATGTACAGCGTTGAGATGGCTTCATGTGACATGATATACTTACCAAGTTTCATGAAGACTGGTAGAGGCATTCAAGCAATATCAAGGTTTTGCCTCAGCAAGCTGAAAGGCTGTAATGTTAGTATTACTGATGGAAAGGATTTTTGAAATGCACTGTTGAGATGTGCTCAGGAGGCACGATACACATACAAAGTTTCATGAAGATTGATACAGACGTTCAGGCAATATTAAAGTTTTGCCTCAGCAATCTGAATGGCTGTAATGTTGTTGTTACTCATGGAAGGGATTTAAGAAGTGTGCCATTGAGATGTGCTCAGGTGGCACGATACACATATCATGTTCCATGACGATTGGTTCAGGCATTTAAGTAACATAGTTATTACCACAACAATGACAGGGTGTATGCTGGTATTACTGAAACAACAGATCCTGCCATTTAGATGGGCTCAGTCCCATCATATACATACCAAGTTTCATTAAGTTTGGTTCAGGTATTCAAAGGTTCTTAAGGGAGGATATACATACAGACAGACAGCAAGGTGTTCTCATAAGCCTACTTTTATTTTTTCAAAATAAGGAAAATAGGCTACAAACAGATTTGTGCCCAGAATAAATACCACAAAACCTAATAAGGTATGCAATACCACAGAGATTATATGTGGAAAATCCATATAGTTGTATGGAAAGAAAGATCCAAATAGCTCCAAGGAACTGTTCCTAGTCTTACAACCTGTAATCTCCAAAGAATACTTCAGGGGAAACAAAATGGCCTCTTGAATATAAAGCACAGTGAAATCCCAATTTAAGTGACCCACATTTTACATGTTCCCTCATTTAAAGTACATTTCTTGTGGTCTCAGCCAAAGCTTTACTGGCCTACTGTATAATTTTCCTTGGTTTAACATTTCTCATATTAATGGTTTACCTGCATCTTGGATCTCATTTTAGTGTTAAGGGAATTTTTTCCATGTGGCCACCTTTGCACAGTTCAAGGTCATCATTTACATGGCATGCAAAGCAGCATGACTGTCCCTGCCCATTCTTTGTCTATCCTCTTTGTCAATTGGAAGTTATTACTGTTCACTCTTTTTGTGTTGTCTTCAAGTGTTGAATTCTTTTTGGAAGTGATTTGAAGTAACATATCACCATAATGTTGAAAAGAAAGAAGTTAACAATATATGAAAAAGTAAAAGGGGGTGCAAAAAAATTCAACTGTCTCAAATAATGAAATTGTGGTGTTCTGTTCTCTTTCCATCATCATTAAGTAATATAACTCTATAAAAAGAGGAATGTTAGTGTGAGGCACAATCTGAGAAATAAAGAAATGTTTATTTTTAATTGAATAAACAAGATTCTGTGTTGATTTAACTAAGTTTAACAGTCAATTTTTTTTATTTGTTTTCCAAAACCCTCACTTAAAGTAGGAAAAGCCTGTACTCCAAACAAACCTTAAATCAAGGTTTCACTGTACATGCAAACAACAATGATTCCTTGGATCAGACACGCATACTCACATCTACATTCGAAGCCTTAACAAATGCTCCTTGTGGATGAACATGATCATAGAGGATGACTAATCCAACCATAACTCGAAGTACAAACAGCTGTGTTTCCTCTCGCTGGAACTGAGAAATCAGGTTCCTGGAAATGGATTTCAAGTATCAACACACAATTCCACACAGAATGACACTGGGAGAACACAAAGCCATACAACCCTTATTCAAGACCAGTATCCTTAAAAAAGAAAGAAATCCAAAGAAATATGACAACATATGTATGTATGTCCACGATTTATGCTAACCGTCTTACAGTGCATACACTTTTTCACTGCAATGCAGTAGTTAGACGTGCATAGAGAAAACGCACCTGAACATGGCACATTAGTGCTGAAACATGTAGTGCAAAAGAGAAAAGTAAGGTGAAAAAGTGTATGCACTGTAAGACGGTTAGCATAAATCATGGACATGAGTCAGTGCAACAGGACGCTAAAATATAACATTATATGTATGTATGTATGTGTATGTATGAGGGGTGGGCCACAATCCAGTCTCTGCAACTTGACGAATGATGATCTATTGCGCTTCCCCTTTAATTAACCCCTTATTAACCCTACACTCTGAATAAAATTCAGGACTTTATTTATGGGGGCATTGTAGTAGTCACTTGGTTCCATAAAGAACTGGCCCAAGTGATGAAATCTTAATTAAGTTATGGCCTCATAATCGCATAGAATATGTGTGGCTGATTCATCTTCTTTCAGGAACCTTTCACAAGTGGGATCACCTGTCAATCCAAGTTTGGAAAAGTGTCCTTTTATGTGGCAGTGTCCTGTGAACAGTCCTACCATCCATCTTAATTGGTCTCTGTTTAGTTCCAACTGATCCTTCATTATTCTGGCAGAGGGTCCTGATATAAGTCCTTTTGCCTGTTTGAGTCCAGTTTTTGATTCCCATTGTTTTATATGACTTCTGTTCATCCAGTCCCTGACTGTTTTCTTGGCATCTCCAATTGAGATGCTGCAAGCTGGTTCAGATCCTATGAACGGATGAACGGATGTTCAGATCCTATTCTCGCCAATAGATCTGCCATTTCATTGCCAGCAATACCTTCATGACCCGGCACTTATATCAGCTGAACTCTGTTATGTCTGGCCAGTTGTATGAGGGATTGGTGGCAGTCCCAGACCAGTTTTGAGAAGATCTGGTGTTTGCAAAGTTCTTTGATTGCAGACCGATTATCGGATAGAACACAGATGTTCCTATTCTCATAGTTCCTATCTAGATTCTAGATTGCACATGCCTTGATGGCATATACTTCTGCCTGGAATACTGCTGTGTACTGCCCAAGGCTAAAACTAAGTTTCCTCTTTGTTCCATGGCAATATACCCCAGCTCAGGTGTCTTTTCTTTTGTCTTGGAACCATCTGTATACTAGATTAGTTCCCCCTTTCTATCGGGTTGAAACCCCTTCTTCCATCCACTTTTATCAGGGAATCTGATTGTGAAGGGTTTATCACAGACATGTCTCAGTATCATTTTATCAGACCCCATCTGTAGGATGGGTTATTTTTCCATGTCCTGAGTCATGTCCAAAACCTTCATATTTGGGCATCCATTGTTCATTGCAACCCAGTCTGTAGTTTCCTATCTTGGCCTCCACATCCACCTGCAAGTGCGGTCAGGGGAGTCCAAGGAGGACTTCCACTGCAGCTGTTGGAGCTATGACAACACATGCATTCTAACAAGGAAAGTTGAGTACATGACCTTGAGCCATCTATTAACTATGTCAGTTTTCTACAAACAATAAGAATTAGTTATTCATAGCAGCAGTAGCAACACATATTCACTACTGAGCATCACTTTTAAGCACTAATTTTGTACAGACTATCCTAACACAATGGAATGTTTGCAGGCTGTCCCATTCTGAGTAAATCAACTATAAGCCATCTCAATGATCTTTTTAATGAGACAGAAATAATCAGCCACACTGATCAATAGTAAATTTGTTCTGGAGCAGAAGAGGAAAAGATACCTTTCAGCATCTTTTGTGAATGTGTATATTGTAATGTGACAAACATTCATAAAATTAAAGGAAGTTGACAAAAGCACATCTCTCTCATGAGTTATGTGACATATTCTACTTACGGATTCTCCAACATACGGAGGCAAACTTTGGCCATTGTACTTAAAGTCTCCGTTGTGTTTTCTATTGGAATGTCTGAATTCTGGAACAAAATAAGAGCCAAGTTATTTTACTACAACTACATTCCATTTAATTTACATTAGTTCAAGATGAATATTTTATTGATTTTACACATGTATCACTATTTTATTTACAATGCTTCATCATCATGTGACATACATACTTATGATGCCACAGTAAAATTGAAAAATGCTAAATTTTAGCCTATTTACCTTATTTTGCAAGGAAATGTACCATTATAGTATTATGACGTTCATGAACTTTTCAATGGGCAGGTTTTTATTAAACATCATATAAAATTAATGCCACTGGAAGCCATCCTACATTCATATTTTTCTATTCTATACTGCTGATAATACTAACAGGAAGATCATGTCAACTTTTGATGTGGAAGCAACACTAGCACCAATTAATGAAGGACACAGAAATGTCTGGTCAAGTGAGATTTGTGGTGGACAAAGTGGCGCTAGAGTAGGTTTTCTCCGAGTACTTTGGTTACCCCTGCCAATCTTCATTCCACCAAATTCTCCATCATCATAATCACCCAGGGCAGGTACAAAAGGCCACTCAGTGGCCGCAGTGCCAAGTGGACCCAACTGGACTCCACCCCCTACAATGCAAAAATACTCCGACGCAAAATTAAGTTCTTTAAGTTATTTAATAATGTTCAAATGTAAATGCCATTTTTTGCTGAATAAGACTAGCATTCAGAAGTATTATTTATTAATAAGAATTTTTGCTATTTCAGCAACCTCAACATATAGTGCAAAGTGCAAATATAAAGCTAGAAGTACAGGAGGAAATATGCATGTGTCTCTCTAAGCCCTTATGCTAGTATACGATCTGTCCCTTATCACGTGTAAATATGCAGTACCTTATCAGAAATTCTGCCACTTCCTTCACAGTAAATATCGGAACTTTTAAAACTATATATTCAAGAGTATTGAACGGCATCGTATAGTGACTGGGAGTCGTGCTGAAAGTTGTCATAAATGTCATATGTGTCAACTACACGACTGACTGAGGATCTCACCAACCAACCAGTCAACTGGTAACTGAATAATAAACCAATGACTCAATCTACAAACTACTGTGCAAGTAAATAATTTACCAACTAAATGATGCATAACTTACAAGCCGAACTACCTATATAACTAACCAACCAACAGAAGGTTTACTATCACTCTAGTAACAAAACCAAACAATTGAACACTGTCATTTGACATAACCCTTAGCCACTCCTACGGCGTATTTCCCCAAGATCCATTTTAAGCTTATCCTTCCATCTCCTTGTGTTTTATTAAATGACCATTGTCCAAAAGGTCTTTTACATGTATTCCTTCTCCTATCCAAACTACAAAGCTAGTCAATCTTAATCTCTTCAATATTATTATACACTTGGTCATCGACTTACAACCTATGCGACTTGCGACCACAAAAAAAAAAATATAAATAAATAAATTAATAACAAATCAGGATGTGCTACTGAGGCACATCGATGCCGGGAGGCCTGAGGACACCACCAGGCAGCTGCAAGTACGATAACTATGGGAGCATCCGGCAACACAGGCCTCCCACACACGCAGGCAACATTACTGTATTTAAAATTAAAAATAAAAGATTATTAAAATGTAAAAGTTTTTAAAAATAAATTATAAAGATGATAAATAGGTTAGAAAGGTTAAAAAATACTGTTAATAAATATATGGCCGACATACAACCAGATCAACTTATAACCTGTCAGTCAGAACGGAAGTCGGTCGTAAGTCAACAACCAAGTGTACTAGAAAATAAGCTGTATGAATCATGAAGTTCCTACATATCCTCCAGTCACCATTTAGTTACCTTTCTTAGAAAAAGACTAAAAGAATATGGTTTGAGGCAGTCTACACAACAATAAGTGCAGGAAATAAACAAGATAGACACTATCACGTCAACATCTGCTCTATTTTGCTGTTGATATCTTCACTACATGTTTCGACACTTACCTGGGTCATCCTCAAGAGTACATGAATACTTGGTGTCACCTTTCCGAGTTGTATCATTTATTCAACATAAATTCATATTGTGTCTACATTGTTACACTATCCTAACAATACACTTTGATATTTAAATAAACCAGGTAAGGGTCAAAATATGTAGCAAAGATATCAACAGCAAAATAAAGTGGATGTTGACATGATAGTGTCTATCTTGTTTATTTTCTGAACTTATTGTTGTGTATGCTCTTAGTGAATTATACACAGCAGGATGCATACCATAAAGATCTTTCTTAGGTCAACTTACATGATGACATTGTACTCATCCCTAACTAACCAACATTCCTGAAACCTTGCTTCAACTTGGCAACCAACATACCATATGTCCAAAAAGTATCCGACTTTATTTTTTTCCACTGTAAGTAATGGCCAAAGGGGTGGGGAAACTGAGCGTAGTGGTAGAAGGGACTTTCATGTGCATGCATGATTTTTTGCTGACTCGCAACACTGCCAGATGTGTCTGTGGCTGCCAGATAGCGAAGTGGTGTAACACATGTTCGTCGCATTCTCATTTCACTCAAGATCACAGAATGCTTGGAGCAGCGATACTGCATTAAGTTTTGTCAGAAATTTCGGGATACCCAAGCGGAAACAATCCACAAAATTCAGGAGGCTTTCAGCAATGATGCAATGGGGGTCACTCAAATTAAAGAGTGGTTCAACGGCTTTAAACATGGCCGTATGTTGGCGGACAGTGAGCAGCATTCTGGGAGAACGTCAATGCTGATGTCATTGAAAAAGTGAGGACACTGATCATGGAGGACTGTCATTTGGCCATCTGTGAAGTTGCCAATGAGGTTGGGATCAGCAGAGGTTCCGCAAACACAATTTTAACTGAGGATTTGGGCATGCGAAGAGTGGCGGCAAAATTTATGCCCAAGCTGCTTTTGCCAGAGCAGCAACAACTCCATCTTGAGGTCGTGCAGGACATGCTGGAGTACGCCAACAGGGATCCTGAGTTCCTGAAGACTGTGATCACTGGTGACGAGTTGTGGGTGTACGGATATGACCCGGAAACCAAAGTCCAGGCGTCACAATGGAAGCATCCAACATCCCCGAGGCCCAAAAGAACACGATGGGTTCAGAGCGATGTGAAGGTGATACGGACTTTTTTTCATTTACAATTTCAATTTTTCAATTTTTCAATTGCATCTTGAATACGCACCACTAGGCCAGACTGTCAGTAAGGAGTACTACCAAGCAGTCCTCCGCCATCTTCGTGATACAGTTCGGCACAAGAGACCGGAGCTGTGGGACACACGCAACTGGCAGCTGCATCATGACAACGCCCCAGCTCATTCATCACACCTGTTCCAGGGTTTCCTGGCCAAGCACAGCATTCTGCAGGTTCACCAGGCTCCCTACTCTCCTGACATGGCTCCTTGTGATTTCTGGCTGTTCCCGAGATTGAACACACCACTAAAAGACTGCCGTTTTGACAGCCGCAAGGGCATCATACAGAACGCAACAGCGCAGCTGCATACCATTCCAAAAGAAGCCTTCCAGAATTACTTCCAGTGATGGAAGGACCACTGGGCTAAGTGTGTGGAGTCACAAGGGGCCTACTTTGAAGGCGATTAGGTATTGTAACCACCCAGATACAGAACTTTTTTTCCCGGCCCGATGTCAGATACTTTTTGGACAGAGTAGTATATTAGCATATAATAGTATTCATCACAGGGTAAGAGCACTCATTATGTTGTTCGTCTGCACTTGCCTCTTTCACAAACATAGATGTGGCCTCACTGAGAACTTTCAACATAGGGGTGGCATGCGCATAGAAGAGGGACATGCGGTTGGCTAATTCATTGGTCACTTCTCTTGTGTCAAGGTGTTCAAACCCGTTGTGGCTCGACATGCGTTGCCTTGTGATCGTGCGTCGATAGTAGCTGAAGTCATTCTGAATAGCTGGCGTCTTCATCTGCACAAACACATGATTCACCTCTCAAATCACTGTAGTAATTAACACTCCTCATTCATCCTCAACAAGTTCTGGGTTTCAATCTCAAATACCTTGCTACCCTGACTGAGAAGTTTTGTGGTTTTCCTCAGTTATCCAGATACATTCTGAAATAACTGCAATCTAATTAAGAAGTATCAAGACTGAATTTATAGGTCAAATATGTAATATTGCACAGGGACATAACTGCACATCCTGGCATTTTACTGCATAAATATTGAATTGCATAAAATAAATACCTGCCAAAAATTAGACTTCCATGTTCCTTTAGTAAGTTTAACTAAAGTTCAAAAATGAGTACATTATTCTGGAATTACATTATTTAAATCTCTACCCCTCAATATCAAGCAAGTTGCACATGACATTAATAAATTTAAACATAAACTGAGAAAGTTTCATATAGAAAACTCTTTTTTGTTCTGCTGAAGAGTATCTTTATAGGAATAACAAATTTGTTCTTGGGGTATCCCAGTAATTATAGCTTTGTATTTTAGTTTGCATTCATTGGTTTCTTATATATATATGTTAATTGTTATTTATCTTATGTTAAGACAATCTTATGTAATATATCAATGTAATCTACTGACAATTTCTATATCCAATGGTTATGTACCTGAATGAATCGATGAATGATAATAAATAAATAAACCTAAGTTTGTTTAGAATTAGAGTGCTGTTCTCAAACATCGTCAGTCTATGTTCCTCCCTTAATGTCAGAGACCAAGTTTCACACCCATACAGAACCACAGGAAAAATTATATTTTTGTATATTCTAGTTTTTATGTTTTTGGACAGCAGATGAGAAGACAAAAGGTTCTGGACTGAATGGTAGCAAGCATTACCCGAGTTCAATCTCCTCTTAATTTCCTCCTGAATCAGGTTTCGATTTGCTACAGTCATTCCCAAATATCTGAACTGTGCCACATTTTCAAAACATTTGTCAGCTATCTTTATGTCATGATCTTGCCCTGCATTTTGGTGATGAGACAGCAATATATACTTAGTTTTCTCTGTGTTTACCTCTAGACCAACCTCCTTGCTAGCATCAATTAAAGTTTGTGTGTTCCTCTTTATCAGCATAGACCAACAGCTGATGTGTCCCATTTAATTTCAGTCTCACCTGGTTTTCCTGGACCTCCCTAATGGCATACCCTAAGGCAAAGCTGAAAAGCAGTGGCAATAAAGCACCACCTTGTTTTAGACCATTCTGGATAGGAAAATTATCAGACAAATATTTACCTATATGGACTATACCATACATTTCCTTTAATCGCATTTCAATCAGCCTAACTGGTTTCATGGATACCCCAAACTTTATCAGAATATTGTACAATACTTCCCTCCTAACTGAATCACAGGTATTCTTGAGTCTATGAATAGCTGATGCACTGTCTCATTGTACTCCTATCTTTTTCTCCAGTATTTGACAAATGAAGAAGATCTGAACAGCAGGTGACCTCTTACATCCAAACCCAGACTGATGATCCCTGATAATTTCATCTATGTATTGACTTAAACCTGAGAGAAGAATATTGGATAAAGTTTTGTATGAAGTTGATAGCAGTGATATCCTATGATAAATACTAGAGTCAGTTTTATCACCATTCTTGTGAACTGGTACAATAATAGACTCCTTCCAGTGATTAGGCAATTTTTCCTTAATTCAAAGAGAATTAATTAGCTTATGGATCTTAAATGTAATATTTCACCTCCTGCTTGAATAAGTTCTGCCAAAATGTAATCACTACCTGTCAATTTATACCTTTTATTTATTTATTTATTTATTTATTTATTTATTTATTTATTTATTTATTTATTTATTTATTTATTTATTTATTTATTTATTTATTTATTTATTTATTTATTTATTTATTTATTTATTTATTTATTTATTTATTTATTTATTTATTTATTTATTTATTTATTTATTTATTTATTTATTTATTTATTTATTTATTTATTTATTTATTTATTTATTTATTTATTTATTTATTTATTTATTTATTTATTTATTTATTTATTTATTTATTTATTTATTTATTTATTTATTTATTTATTTATTTATTTATTTATTTATTTATTTATTTATTTATTTATTTATTTATTTATTTATTTATTTATTTATTTATTTATTTATTTATTTATTTATTTATTTATTTATTTATTTATTTATTTATTTATTTATTTATTTATTTATTTATTTATTTATTTATTTATTTATTTATTTATTTATTTATTTATTTATTTATTTATTTATTTATTTATTTATTTATTTATTTATTTATTTATTTATTTATTTATTTATTTATTTATTTATTTATTTATTTATTTATTTATTTATTTATTTATTTATTTATTTATTTATTTATTTATTTATTTATTTATTTATTTATTTATTTATTTATTTATTTATTTATTTATTTATTTATTTATTTATTTATTTATTTATTTATTTATTTATTTATTTATTTATTTATTTATTTATTTATTTATTTATTTATTTATTTATTTATTTATTTATTTATTTATTTATTTATTTATTTATTTATTTATTTATTTATTTATTTATTTATTTATTTATTTATTTATTTATTTATTTATTTATTTATTTATTTATTTATTTATTTATTTATTTATTTATTTATTTATTTATACCTTTTATACATTTATATACTTTTAGATCTTTTATACCTTTTCAATTTTGCGACCGCAATTTCAACCTCAAAAGAGCTAGAATCAGGTACTAACGGCTCAGCCATATTTCTATCTGCTTAACATTACTGACTCCATGCACGTTCAGTAACTGAGAGGAGCAGTTCTTCCACCTATTCAAAATGTTGTGGGACTCTGCAAGCAGATCACCATTCTCATCCTTCACTAAGTTACTTCTAGACTGGTAATCCCTCTTGAAGTCATTTATTCCTCTATACATTGAGATTGAATCTCTCCATATGAACTCTGTGCATTGTTTTTTTACTCACCATCAGTCTTTCCCCAACCTTTGCCACCACAGGTAGTGGCCAGTATCACTGTCTGCTGCCCTAAATGATCAGACATCAAGTACACTTGAATGCCCTCTCCTATCTATCAAAACAGCTGTCTCCATCCAGGGGAAATAATTTTTGTAGATGCACTACTTCTACTGTTAAAGACATCCTGTAAACTGGAATCTCTTCATTATTACAGAGATCTTGCTTATTAAGCATCTTCCTCTGTTTTTATGCCTTTTTAATTCTTCTGAGGAACCTATCAAACTCATTCTGTCAGTACAATCTTTCCATTTCCTTGTGAGTGTTGTATAAAATCTAATGAAAGATGCTAGAAAAAAAATTCTAGTAGTATCACAAACTGGGTCTCTATCAACACTCAAATTCCGAAGTTAAAATATTTATTATAACTTTGTAGTCACATGGCAAAGTTCACTAGCACTTACCTTGTATTCATCAAATTTGAGTACAAATTCAAGAATCTCAGCAAACTGTTTGACAAGGGCTTGTTGCATCTCAAGATGCTGGGTGGGTGTCATGGGTCCAGAGCATAGCTGGAACAGAATTTTTGGGACCACAACCTCTGCAAACAGATGTACAGTACACATTAGTACAACACCAAACAAAAAGCAATTCAGAATTATACATGAGGAGCCCATGCTACCTCCAAATTTCCTATCAGGCACAAGCAAATTCTTAAACTTCTCCAAGTGTCCCTGGTTTGGGATTCACCATATCAACAAAAGAAACATCACACTCTCTTCAAGCTGTAAATTTTATACCCTAACCTCTAGGCCCTAAATATTCCAACATATTACAGACTGTAGCACTACGTCCCTACAATACCCATCCCAATCCTTTAATTTCACAATTTGTTTTCATTTTTCCTGTGGGACTAAGTAGGAGTGAAAGACTGTACATAATATGCCACCATCTGACAAAAATATGAAACTATAAGAGAATGGCATTCTCAAGGCACATGTTGTAATTGCCTCACAAGATACAGAGAAACTCTTGTTGAGGTAAAATGTGAATAATAATCTTGCAATATGATGATTTTCAGATATTCTAACAACCTTGAGGTGCACCCATTATAGTTGACCCATCTATCTGGCTGTAGCATGAAAGAAATCACAAAGCACCCAATGGGTTTTCATGAATTTAATAATGCTGTGTTTTACTAAAACTTGCAGGCATATTCCAACTTTTGTTAAAATCATACAAAAAATAACAGACACTTTACATGTAGACCTACATCCACTCCTGCATGTATCTCCAGCATAAGTAATGAAATATTTATCAAAGTGAAAAGTTTAGAACAAAGGTTGTGGAGAAATATGAAACACATAGTTTAAGTCCAATATGCTTTTCCATAAATCATATGGGTTCTGAGACAATTAAACTGAAGGAACGCAATGCATACATTTCTAAATGTGTATATTCATCAGGACTGCCACTGTGGTCTAGTGGTTGGAGTTCCTGGCTACAGATCCAGAGGTCCCAGGTTCGATTCCCGGCGCCACCAGATTTTCTGAGACGTAGTGGGTCTGGAACAGAGTCCACTCAGCCTTGTGTGGATAACTGAGGAGCTATTTCAAGGAACTAGCGGCTCTGGTCTAGAAAACTGAGATTAACGGCCATGGGGACCCATTGCACTGACCATGTGACAACCTCTATCTGCAAAAGTTGGCACTAACTTTGCTGACAAGTGGCGGTCACTCGGTCAGTATAGTTCACTTGTGGATTACAGGCCATGGAATTTGTTTTATTTATGTTTATATTTTGGGAACTTCCCTCATACTAACACGTGCTTTCGCCGGTCTAACAGACAGCACTCAAATCTTAGTCAATATCCCATTGCCGCCAGCACTCGTATTTATACAGCAGTTATTGTCCAGCCCATATTTACATCATCGCGTGCGCTAGCCAATCAGCTCTCACAATCACAACTGCAACTGTAGCTCCAACCAGCAAGCATGGTATAAAAGCAGACCCCAAAGCTTGCAATCATCAGTGATCACATTCAGTCATCAGAGTCATCAGCTCTTCACTGCGGCAAAGACAGCTGCCGCAACTCTCCAGCAACCACGCTCTGTGACCAGACAGCTAACGTAGCTGCCGCAGCTCTCCAGCAACCAAGCCGAGACAACAGCTCAGTCATGACCTGCACCATAGGCAGCTGTTCCTACTGGCACACGCAGCACCAAATCACCGGCCGGACAAACCAGCTGAATGGTCGTAACGACTTGGTCTATTACAAAGGAGTAAATTCTGCCAGCGCACTCACAGTGGAACAAACTGCCCTTTTCAGGGCCAGCCAACTTTTGAACATCGACATTCCACATAGCTTTGTAGCTATTCTGTACATTCAGTTTATACAATTTAGTATGTACAATTGTTACAGTTTTACGTGGTTGTCTTTCAGAACATCGACAATCCCACAATATATTCATCAATCAACAATGGTCTCCTGAACACATGTGAAGGTTACTGAAGTCACTTATTCTTGATAATAATTAAACAAAACTTCTCATCTGAATTTATAGGTCTACTTGCACATAAATATGAATATAGCTGATTGTGCTGCTGAAGTATTTTATTCCCAATCATAACAGGCCAATCTACATGAAAACAAACACTTCATAATGGGAGAGGGAATATTCTTGATTGAGTTCAGACTGCACTGAAATGAAATTTCTTTCCTTCTTTCAGTGTAGCAATCTACAACTTCAAAACACATACTAAGAAATTCATATACAGTGGAACCTCGCTTAACAAGCACCTCTCATAACAAGTAGTTCGCATAACGAGCATAACAAATTGTAAAAAAATGACTCGCTTAACGAGTGACGTTTTGCATAACGAGTGACAAGAGAGGAAGATCTGGATTGTGCGCTTGCTACCTCAGTCTGTGTTTAGCAGTCGTTCCACTAGCATCTTAGTGTCGCTTGTGATCACACATTTTTCCAAACTTGTGTTCAGACATATTATTGTGATTCTTTTTGTGCAAAGTTTAATAACCCTTGCAAAATGTCCCTGAAGAAAAAGCCACAAAAAGACAGCCATAAGAGAATAAAAATAACCATAGAAATGAAACGTAAAATCAACGAAAAGCAAGAACGAGGTGTGAGCGTGGCTGATCTAGCACGCACATACAATCGGTCTACATCAACGATTTGCACTATCCTCAAGAACAAGGACAAGATTAAGGAGACAGATGCTTCAAATGGAATGACAAGAATATCTACGCAACGGTTATGTATTCTCGACGATGTTGAAAGGTTGCTCCTCATATGGATTTTTTTTTTCTGCAAATCGAATTTGCATTCCAGGTTGGTTCATTCCGCATTGAAGAAAAGAAGGTGAAGTCATCCCTGTACTTAACCAATTAAGCATCATGCCATGGAGACATGCTGTAACTAAAATACCACACATTCCTTCCGTGGTGCATTATAATTTCCCATATAGAATTTACTCCCTTAGCCCAGAAAGTTCTAGCTGTAACCCTCTTGTAGTCTACATTCTTGAAAACACTTCCACATCCTAGTCTACATGCTTGAAAACACTTCCACATAAGTTTTTCCTCCCGGCCCTAGATGTCAAAAGCATTTGTTTCCTTCTTTTATCCTGCGAACACCAATTGGAGAGCTATTAACTCCTTGATGTTTTAATAAACTGTAAGATATAAGACACTGTTCCTCTTATACATTGCTCCAGTTCCTAAGTTATTTTTAGTAACCTTAAATAATCTACAGTAACAATTCTTTTTTGGTGAAATAACAGGTATAAAATCTAGATTACCATCAGCATGAAATGAGCCAGGACAGACTTGACTCTACCCTACTGTCTCAGCAACAATCTTATACACATCTAGGTGTCACTACACATGCAACAATTCAGGTCAAGTCTTACCCAGCTCTGTAGAAAATTCATAAAATCGCTTCAACCTAGAAACAAGTGGCAACACAGCATGCCACGCCCTCTGCTGAAATTCTTCTGTTGGGGTGGAGATTGCCTGAAAAAAAAAAGACTGGCAGGTTTCCTGGTTATTCCAAAACTACATCAGCTATGAGGTTATGTAAATATGAATGTCATGAGAGGATGATTACACACGGTGAGCTGGTAAGGACTTTTGGCAGGAAGCAGTCAGTCTGGGATGCTGTTTCAGCATTCATCAGAACTATTGAAAACCTCAGTCAACACATATTATTCTCTGGGAATGACTCACACCATGTAATTCCCCCAAATACAAATCAGGTAAGCATATCAGCCATAAGACAACCTTGCTTCAGTCTAGGGTTCTGTAATAACTCATGCAGTCTGTCTTTCTTTTGTAGGACTTGATGTTCTCACAGAAGTGGTAATGAAGAGTACTGTCTTCTTGGATATAATGCCATGTAGTCTGCTGAAAGTCAACGAACGATTCAAATGAAGATATCGCCTCTATCTTCAGGGTTGAATAAGCCAAGGAAGATACGAGTGTAAAAGCAAGTGGAAAGCTGAGTCAATATGATGAACCAATTGGTTCTTGTATTCTAATACTCCATCCTTTGTTTAATTCTGTAATTCTGAGGACAGGTGCTCCATCCTCAAAAATGGATTCCTTCACTTTGTACCAGGTATACAAAGTCAGAAAGTTAAGAAGAGGCACTAAATACAAAGAAAATTCTTTTGTGCCCCATTTCTCTAGTGACTCATTTTAATTTTCTGACCTTGTCTGGTTATCCCCATCAGACCTTGAATACTGTGGCACTGTAGCTGCACAATTCAGTCTTCTGTTCAACAGTTGCTTCAGTCGATCAACTCCAATCTACCTGTGTCGTGTTCAAGTCTGTAACCACTTATGACACCAGTCTTGTCCAGAGTTCTGTCACAAATAATTGTGGATTCTGGATTAGACGAAGCTGTTTTATTGGATAACTTTTTTACAATCACAATTACAATCACTACAATTACTCTGAAATAACGTTTTGCATACGATGTGACCTGACTAGCCCATCATCTCTGATCTGACCACTGATCAGGTCTTCTCTGATTCTGGCTGACCTGGTTCCTCAGCTCTGCTCCGTTCGCCACTGTTCTGCTCCAGTGTTCCACTTGGTCTCTTATCTTCTACAGCCGGATGGACTAGGAGACACCTTCTTGAAGGGCATTCATTGCAGCAGGAACTGCAGTAGCTCTAGCTTTCATTCCCATAGTAACATCTGCCAATGTACACGTCGTGTTTACAATTGCCACCTAGGCAATGATGCATGCACTGTTCCTTGTTGTATGGGAAACATAGTTATTGAGCCTTTGTCTAGCAATGGACATAGGCGCCACAATACATAATTATATGGGTAAACATTATTTACTTCCCACAACAACACACTATCCAGATATTTGAAATCTATTAAGATATAAACACGACAATCAAGTGTTCGTCTTAATAGCTGTTTAGTGTTCACATCTGCTGCGCACACAAGGATGTACCACAAGCCACAGATGGGAAGGATGAGAGAAAAAGGAAGAGACAAAGAATGAATGATGAGAAGAAAAAAGAACATTAATTCCCACATCTAAAATTCCTAAACAACTTACTTATTCCTGATTATTTGGGGCTAAAAGGGTAAGGAACCTACACCCTGTTAGAACTTGACATGTACTTACTTCTCGGATCTCTTTTCCTGCTCCCTTGTAGCATTGGATCTCTTCAAGTATCGGCTCCGAGTTTCTCAGCACATGTTGCACTTCCTCAAATGTCTCCTGTTCCCCATCTGTCGGTTGGGCATCTAGTGACAGTAACACAACCCAGCTTCTTGCTAATGCTGTATCACAAATTCTGGGACCAGATATGCATGACTTGTTCACTTTCATGTTTTCCATAAACATGCGTTAACAAACATGTAACATATTACAGTTACATATTTATTTTTCGCTCTTATTTAAAGATGCTGAGTCAACTTATATGTTATACAGCACTGAATGAGAAATGAGAAATTGAGTATGTGAGCTTGAAAGGATGTGATCATAAACTATTTCAGAGTTCAATACTGATACTTCTTTACTTCTTTGTAGGGATTGAGGAAAACCACAAAACCTCAGTCAGGACAACTGGTTTCCTGGTTGACATTCAATCCAGGAACCTCCTGAATACATGTGGCTGGTCGTATGACCATCTGGTTAACCCAAGGAGTTGGAGTGTGAATTTACAAGTTCAAAATCCCATGAAATGTTCAGTATGCCATGAAAAAAATCTGTTTCCTTTCTGAATAATAATGTACAGTAAACTTGTTCTCATCTGATATCCAAGCATCAGGAATTTTCATGCAACCAGCATAAATTTCCAAGAAAATTTTAAAAAACAAAGTTGTGACACACATATGTTCAGCTGCCACACAACAACTTTCCCAGCCAGGTTGCCTATCATCCTCCCTCTTGCAGGTGCAGCTATTACATGATTACATTTGAGGTTAGCCAAATTTGTGATCTTATTTCAGTATATCTGAAATCTTTCACCCATTAATCTGCTACATCTCCTAAGATTTAAATGGAACAATTAAGTGTTATTCTGACTTTGAACCAAAAACTTAACAAAAATATTAAAAGGTAAAGCTATCCCTGTAACGGACCATGGAGGCCCATAGAGTTGGTGGGCAACTGACAAATCCATGTAACCAGAAGAGTCCTTTCCCCATATAATAGGGGATTTATTATAATTAGAAATATAGGATTTGAATGTGGACAGTCCATTATCTGTATATAACAGAAGCAAAAATAAACTGTGACTCAACAAAACAAAATATTTTATTTCATTTTTCAATACAACTCCAACACCCAAAAGTAAATCTTAGATACATGATTGGCAAACCCTTAAATAGTAATGGTATCTGTATTTTGAACTGGGGTTAGCGGGTTAATGGTAACACTACTGACAGGTATTTGAATCTCGTCCATGTTACAACCATCCTGACCTCTGAACTTCTGAATTTCACAGATAAATGCCAAGACAGTATCAGGAAAGAAGCCACAACTACCTCCTTCCTAATTCTTATCTACTCACCATTCACGATTTCCTTCCCATCTCATTTGAAGCTGTATAACCTATTCAGTTGAAACAGTCTAAATTAATCTAATGTCCAGGGCTTGGTAAAATACGGCAGCCTGCCCGAAGTGAGATTTTGTGACCTGGCAAGCAAAAATTGAGAACAGTCATTTGCATTAATGGCCTACAGTTTAGTCCTTTTAAATTCTTTTGAACGTTGATGTTAATATGGTGGCAGTACATTTCCGATAATGAAGCCTTAAAGTAACTGTTGGAACTGATATAAAAGGAAGCACAAATGGTATAATGAATTAGCTGTTTAAAGTATGCTTTATGTTCAACAGAATTAAAATAAATTCTGAAGTTCAAAAGGGCAATGAATAAAAGTATATTCTTTCCTCAGTGTTGAGAAGTTACGGTGATGAAAATGACCATAACGACAATGATGATAATCCATATATACATTTGCCAAACATTAGTACATTTGTCCCACTGTTTGTCGCAAATGGTACATTACAGGGAAAAACATTAAAGGTAAAAGATGTTCCTCCTAGAGACACAACCCAATGAATTTTCTGTTATATGCATGAGTGTGAGTCCAAGCCACCTTCTTTCCCCATTATTTCGTCCGTAAGAAAAGCAATGGGATGGTGATGATAAGCATGTAAGCATATGTTTTACAGTAACCATGGTAACAAGTCATGTTTACACCAGATTATAGTGTGATGCATTTTCATTTTATTCTCTCATACATGTAGTACAGGCCTACATGAGAAATTATTGTGATGGTGCAAAAACTGACTTGTTGAGTGTTCACCATATAGCCACAGGGCATGCCATTTACAAGTCTTACAAAGAAGTTCTAAATGAAGAGCAATATAACAGGGGACAATGGTAATGTTGATTGCCTGGGATGTTACAAGTAATGCATCCATATGAGGGAGAGTTCATAAATAGGTCACAAATGGACATAAAATGCAAAATGTGATATTTGAACATGGAAAGAACATTTATTTCTCGACATATCCTCCACCAACATTGACACACTTGTCCCATCCCTTTACCAGTGCGTCAAAGCCTGCAAGTCTTTTGGCTGTTGTCTCAGCCCCTTCTGCACCTCTGTTTCAACCTCTTCGTCATCAGCAAAACATCTGCCATCAAGGTGTGTTTTAGCAGACCAAACAGATGGAAGTCACTGGGGGCCAAGTCCAGGCTGTAAGATAGATGCTCTCTCCTGGGTTGCTCAAACTGTATGGGGCCTGGCACTGTGATGATGAAGCAGTACCCCTCTTGAGCGTTGGCCTCCAAGTTTTCTGCAAATTGCATTCCGCAGTTTCAACAGAACTTCACAGTGATGCAGAATTCACATTTTCACCATGCTTCTGAAAATAGGCTAACAGTACTACCTGAGAATCCCAAAACACGGTAATCATAACCTTCTCAGCTGATGGTGTAACCTGGAAACTTTTTGGTTGAAGGTGTACTGAGTTGTTTCCATTGCTCTGAAACACGCCTTGGTTCAGGTTGGTAGTGATGCTCCCATGATTCATCCCCAGTAACAATCCTGTTAAGCATATCTTCTCCTTCATCTGCATACCACAAGAGATGTTGCAAGGGCAGACCCATTCAGCTCATTCTTTCTCAACCCTTCAGTTCTCTGGGCACCCATTGTGTGCACATTTTCCAAAACTGCTAACACTCATGCATTATGCTGTATGTTAAACCATGGGAATACCCTAGTGCAGTTTCTACACTGTCTACTGTTATCCTCCTGTTGGTTCAAATCAACTCTTCCACCCACTGCATAGCTGCTTCTGTCAAAATCTCAACAGGACGACCTCGCCGGCATTATCTGCAACTTCTGAACATCTTACAAAAATTTCTCGACCCAGTTGTGAACCGCAAACACTTCCCACCACAAACAGAAAATATTTATTTAAGAATATCCTTTGCGCGAGTCCTTTTGCCCACAAAAATGCACAACAGTACACTCTCTTCGGCAGTGTGCTCCTTGAGCATGGTCACCATTTTGACTACTGAACCCAGCCTCTAAATATGTGCATGCATGTCTCCTACCTAGACTGTCATGAAGCCAGACCATGCTGCTTCCTAGTGATACACACAGAAAACCTATTACATCCATTACACCTGTTTTACTTCCAATTGTGACACATTCACTGATTCTCCCTCATACATTATTAAAGGCCAACTGCTGAATCTTTTGGCTAGTGGTCACAGGAATGTGCATTTGCACGATAGTGCTAATAGTAGTAGCAGCAGTATTAGTAATGGTGGCGGAGGTAGTGGCGGCAGCAGTAGTAGTAGTAGTAGTAGTAGTAGTAGTAGTAGTAGTAGTAGTAGTAGTAGTAGTAGTGAATACAATTTTTCTTTGAGAGCTGAATTATTTTTAATATGTTATAAGTGTGATTTCTTAAATTTTTTGGCTTTGCTAATGTCAAAATTTACACTCAAGTGCAGACTCTAAACATAAGTTTTAAAGTGGTCTTGACCAATATTAATGCATTGTTGGTCACATAAAGTTACCTGTGCAGCTTGTACACATACAGTAGGATATGTTGTCAGTTTGCTAAGTTCATATATATGTATCCAATATTGTCCACCTAACAAAAACATGTTCTAGCTTTGCAAGTCAGTCTAACACATTTGTAATAAAGTCAATGAGGTTATTATGATTTGAACATGTTGGAGACAGATTGTACAAACAAAAGTTTGCTGGAAACCTTTCGTGAAATAACCACTTGAAAGACGAAGGAGATATAAAAGTAGCAAGAGTATTAAAAAGAAGAGAGAGGAACATGAAAGTAAAGCTTTATGTACGTCTAACCTTGGGGTTAAATGAAGATGAGCAGTCAGCTCTACAATGCAGACACTTTACCACCTGGAAAGAGTATGTACAAGATACTGTGGAAGGAATTAGTGCATATCAGTTTTTTGTAGTTAGTCAATTGTGGTTATTTAGTATTTTCAGCCTCCAGATCTACCAAAGCTCACAGAGATAACCGTCGTAAGCTTTACTGCCAGTAATTAAACCTGAAATTTCCACTTCGGCGTTTTTATTCAAATTGAGGTTAAGTATGGTACTTCAAAAGATAATCTTATTTTTCACTTTTCATGAACAGAATCAACATTTCCCACTCACTTTCAAAGTCCAGAAAGACGTCGTACTTCTGAGGTGAGCAGCAATTTGAATCATCGCGAGCCAAAAGGCTCAACAACTTCCCCATGTTCAGCTAGCTCTCTGGTCTATAGTTCCATCATTCTCGTATCTGCAAATAATTTTATAAATTTACTCACTTCAATCCTGTATATTTCGAAGCTGTTTCAATGTAAGGTACAACGGTACGAGAAACCCGTAATCTGTTTAGAATGCATGTCGGCCTGCATCTGAACCATTCCTTCCATAGATATTACACTCACGTTTTTGTCGTGGCTAGTAAGATAACACGCCCACCGACTTCCCTCAGCCCTTTAGTTTCATGCTTCCCAATAGCTCCCAACATTCATTATCATATGGAACACCTAAGGTTCTACATTAACCGCCCCAACAACACAAATTTACTTAAGAAAGCACGTTGATACGCGTGACACAAAAAAAATGTAATTCCTGATTACAGCCTTCTCGTCTGCTATCGCTAGGCCTTACACTGCGCTTCTAAGTACGTTTTTGTTTATCTAATTTACACTATGGCCATCTATGGCGGACAAATCGAAAGTATCCAGAATGACTGTGTTTTAAGTGACATCATACAATTACACTACAACGGTCGGGCATTTTTAACTGATTGTACTGATAAACAGTAATCAACAATCTCCTGAATTTGAGGTTATCATAACGATAACTGAAAAGCACTATCATCTTCCATGCAATATCCGTGTAGTACAGTGGAAATGCATCCTATGCTTTCATATTTAGGGTCAAAGAATAAGCCAAGCAAGAAGCAGGCAACAAGTGTTTGATTTTATTCCGTGGAGTCTAACGTACCATTAAACCCTAATTCGTGTATAACACATGTAGTGATGCATGCCCTAAACAATCCGATCTGTGAGTTACTATGCAACGCGTACACGTTTCAAGACCGGTGGTAAACTGCATCCCAGAAGACGGTACTTAAAACAAATCGTGTGCTTAACTAAACGGACTCTTTTGATGACAGTCTTATGGACTTCACATAAAGCTCTGGGTAGAAGGTAGATTATTGTCATTGTAATTTACACATTTCACGAGTGTTGCATATTGTGAATGGACGTGCTGTAGTATAAGATGTGCAGAATCGTTGGAATTTGTGTGCTACTACATCAAGGTAAGCACTTTTACTTTTCAGAATTCATGTTTTCTCCCAACGCCCACGGCTGTGAGTTTATAGACAAACGGTAGTGATCAATTAGGATTCTAGTGACATAACATATAATAAGTCTGACAGCGTCACTCATTCAACATAATGATTCAAGCAAAAGGGCGTAATATTAATTATACGCCATAAATCTTTTTCCATGTACGTAATTTGGAAATAATGCACATAAGGAAACGTTCAGGGCCAATAACCTATATATTGCCAAATATTAGGCGCGCCTCTGACAGAAATATACTGGAAAAGCATCAATTGCACATCCTTTCCATTTTGTCGGATCCCAATGAGCAACTTGGCTGAAGCCATAACATTTTTGTCTTATATTTGGTAGGTGCCCGGTTCGAATCTCGACGGGTACACCGACTGTCCCAAAGAGTTCTTTTGGTGGATTTCTATCCATAACAGATTCCTTTTCATCATTTCCAATTCATTACTAACTACCATCTTCTACTGAGTCCAAAAACATTTTACTCTGCACCGAAACTTGTTTCTGCATGTAAAAACGCTGTCTGCCTTTTTTTTTCCGATATAACACCAACTGTCTGGCTGTCATTCTTCTTGCATCTGAAGACAAACTGGAACAGTATCATTTATATACAGAAGTAATGTGAAATTAGAGGAGGGCCGACACAAGCCTAATTCTGGTCCTCACTTACTTACTTACTCATGGAGCTGAGCCCTTCTGGAGGAGCCGCCAATTCTGTAGCTACTCAAGAACTTCCCAGAATTTTATGGAACTTGTAGGTACATTACCGTGTTCACAAGAGCCCTCCACTGGTCCCTATCCTGAGCCAGATCAATCCAGTCTTCCCAATGGTCTCTTTCCCTCTGGCTTTCCCACCAATATGCTATATGCATTCCTCATCTCCCCTATTCATGCTACATGCCCTGCCCACCTCATCCTCCTTGACTTGATCATTCTAATTATACTTGGAGAACAGTACAAGTTATGAAGCTCCTCATTATGTAGTTTTCGTCCATGATATGTATGCAGTGTCCGTTTTTTTGTGCACTAATTTTCACTTGGAGCACCTGATGATGGCACTATAGTGCCGAAACCTGTTGTGAAATAACAAGTGAAATTGAGTGCACTAAAAGACGGACACTGCATACATATCATGGACGAAAATCAGTGCAACAGGACGCTAAAATACAACATTATGTAGTTTTCTCCAGCCTCCTACCACTAAATCCCTCACCCTGTTCTCAAACACCCTCAGTCTATGTTCCCCCCTTAATATCAGAGACCAAGTTTCACACCCATATGGAACCACAGGAAAAATTATAGTTTTGTATATTCTAATTTTTATGTTTTTGGACAGCAGAAGAGAAGACAAAAGGCTCTGGACTGAATGGTAGCAAGCATCACCAGAGTTCAATCTCCTCTTAATTTTCTCCTGATTCAGGTTTTCAATTGTTATCACTGTTCCCGATATCTGAAATGTGCCACATTTCCAAAACATCTGTTTCCTGTCTTTATGTCATGATTTTGCCCTGCATTTTGGTGATGAGACAGCAATATATACTTAATTTTCTCTGTGTTTACTTCTAGACCAACCTCCTTACTTGCGTTGATTAAAGTTTTGTGTTTTTTTCTTTATGGTATCTATATTATCACCCAGTAGATTCACATATATAGATGAAATTATTGGGGATCATCAGTGTGGGTTTCGACGTAACAGATCAACTACAGATCAGATCTTTTGCATTCGTCAGATACTGGAGAAAAAATGGGAGTATGATGAGACAGTAAATCGGCTATTCATAGACTTCAAGAAAGCCTGTGATTCAGTTAGGAGGGAAGTATTGTACAATATTCTGATAGAGTTTTGAATACCCATGAAACTAGTTAGGTTGATTAAAATGTATTTAAACAAAACATATAGTAAGGTCCGTGTGGGTAAGCATTTGTCTGATAAATTTCCTATCCAGGATGGTCTAAAACAAGGGGACGCTTTATCGCCACTCCTTTTCAACTTTACCTTAGAATATGCCATTAGGAAGGTCCAGGGAAACCAGGTGGGACTGAAATTAAACGGGACACATCAGCTGTTGGCCTATGCCGGTGATGTGAATCTACTGGGTGATAATGTAGATACCATAAAGGAAAACACACAAACTTTAATTGACGCAAGTAAAGAGGTTGGTCTGAAAGTAAACACAGAGAAAACTAAGTAAATGTTACTTTCTCGTCACCAAAATGCAGGGCAAAATCATGACGTAAAGATAGGAAACAGATGTTTTGAAAATGTGGGACAGTTCAGATATTTGGGAACAGCGATAACAGATTGAAACCTGATTCAGGAGGAAATTAAGAGGCGATTGAACTCGATTAATGCTTGCTACCGTTCAGTCCAGAACCTTTTGTTTTCTCGTCTGTTGTCCAAAAACATAAAAATTAGAATATACAAAACTATAATTTTGCATGTGGTTCTTTATGGGTGTGAAACTTGGTCTCTGACATTAAGGGAGGAA